GCCCCCCCCCCCCCCCCCCCGCTACCCCCCCCCACCCCCCGCTTCCTGGATACCCTGCCCCCTGTGGTCAGGCTCTGGATTACCTGCACTTGACTGTGATGCTTTCACTCCGTCCCCACTCTCTCCCACATATACCCATTTGTTATGACTTTTAGGCTGAATTATTCAGGAAGGGGCAAAGGGGAAAGAACATTAGTATCTTCGTCATCAGTAGAGCTGAGTTTTGAGTCAACTTTGAGAGTTTTCCAGAGCATATTTAACTTCTGAGATTTTTGAAATGTCATGTATGTCATGCATTTGCATGGCGTTAAACTAGTTTTTAAGATTTGTCCTTTACCTATATATTTATATGCATAAATTATATGCATACATATATGTAGCTGTATATCTTCACAGTATAACAGTTTAGTACATTGCTTAAGTAACCTTTTATAAGCTTGTTTATAATAGCTAATAATTGTTTCTGTCTCCTGGAATGATTCTAATTATGTTTATTTTTAGGTAAAAAGTTTAGAATGGAAGAATAAAGAAAACCAAGAAAGGGGATTTTCATTTTTGTTTTCACATTTTAAGAAATATTACTTGCCTTACATTTTCCCAAACATCTGCAAGGAGAACAGTCTGTATCATCCTGTACTTGGTAGGTGGTCTTTGGAGTTTTCTAAAAGATTGCACATAAGCATAAGGTGTACCTTAATGTAAGGTGGCATTTGTTACCTGCAGAAAACTGGTAACATTTAATATTTGTATTGATTGATTAGAGATATTATACCTTCATTCATACTGAAAGTGGAGTTTTATTGATAGGAAATTTTCATTGAGAGTGAGGAGCTTTTATAAAAACTTATTCTCTGGATCTCACCTATTGGTAAAAGTTTGCCCACCAGAAATATTTTTGATTATAAGTTAAACTTAATTCTAATGTTGAATATGATCCTTAAACTATATTGTAAGTTTTCCTTTTAAGGTCCCCCAAGAGTTGAATTTAGAATGTCTTATTCAAATTCTATATGAATAATAACACTGTCGTATACTTTGATCATGGCTTGTCCAGTATTTAGTGGCTATGCCAAGATGTCTGGTGGAGCCTTGAAGCTAGAGCCTCCTGGACAAATCCTGGTTAGAAGCAGATCTCTGCCATTTATAGAGGGCATTGGCAGTCTGTATGAGGAAATGTTCCTTTTGCAGAAAGATGTTCCTATTTTAAGCTCTGTCAAGTTTAGGCGACTAACAGGCTTAGGCAAAACTATTAGGGCTATTAGAAATGACTTAAATTAGGCAGGGTAGCAAACCTTTCCAGTTGGGAACAATATTTGCTTTAAAAATATTTTTGCTGGAGAAATTCATATTTGTATGACTTCAAAATATGTGTCTCAGTCTTACGTTAATTGAAGTGAGCGCTCATTAATTTTAAATGGCTCTGGAAGCTTCTCTGTATTTAGATAGGATTCATTGAGCATTCTAATGATATTTTACCAAAAGATATGTTTTCATGTATCAGCCATATATGGTTCACTCTTCTAGATTCCATGCTGATATCTGGCAAATTATTTTAAAATATCAGTTTTGTACTAAATCTACTTCCAAATCCAGACTATTATTACAATGTTTTCTCAAATGTTTTAAACTGTAGATTTATCTAAGCATGCTTCCTTTCTTATTTTGGCTTTTGTTTTCCTTTTATTTTACATAGATATCCCCCAGATGAGACCAAAGCCACATTATGTCATGATAAAGAAGGATACTGAAACCAATGAAGCAATCTATTGTACAAAGGAGCCTTTCATTAAGGCTCGTGTTATTGTCATTCGTTGGCTGGTTTCTTTCTGGCTTGAGCCAAAGCCACATACAGGACCTCATATTCCTGGGATGGAAGGTGAAGCGGTGCCAAAGAATATTCAGGTAACGTACACGTAAGGCAAGCTTGTTAAAGTTGGAAATAGCTTATGATATTTGTCTGCTGATATCAGTTGCCCTAGGTGTAGAACACATTTAAAACAGGTAATAATGATGTTTTCTTTGTGTAAGTGTATTTTATAAATCCAAATTTTAACAATTATTGTTAGAACCAATAGTTTTCTTAGTAAAAGAAATAAAACTTGGAAGGTATAGAAGATTATTTTAGTCATATATGAGTCTCAACTTCTGATTTATTTTTTTATGTACTTTATACATTTTTATGTTTGCATTTATATATTTTTATGTATTTTGTTACTTGTACAGTACTAAAAATATCCTGAATTGTACAAATAAATTCTTGCGGTTGGAAACAATATGCGATTAAATGGTTATAGAACCTTCATAGTTCTTTTTAGATTTCTAGGCATTCAAAGAATGCTGATTTAAAGTCCTGTCTGCATCTCGTTCCCTCACTTTGTGTTTCAACAGGGACACTGAATCTAGAAACGTGATGTAAAGTTACTCAACTATACAGTGGAGGGACTAATATTTAAAATTCTATTTTTGATTAAAGAGTTTTCCTCTTTTTCATACTTTTTTTCACTTTCTCCTTTTCCCTCAGTTTAGTTTTTCCTGAACTAGTCTCTGTTATAGTGTATATATATTTTACTATTTTTATTTTCCTTTTCTCAGATTTCCTCATTTAGTTTTAAAAATCTTATAGTGTGTTTTTTAAAAGACTTCTTAAATCTTTTAAAAATTTAGTGGAGGTATAAAGGGTATTTAGTTCATTGACACTCAGAAAATTTGACTTATGTTCCCCTTAGCCTTCTACTTATCTGTAGCAGACAATGCAGTGTGTTTTCCCCAAAACTGTCTTCCAAGTTCTCTACAAAAAAATATGGAAACTATTTTTACGATCCCAGAACTTAATGGACTAAAATCAGATTTTTTTGATTGAGAAGGCGTATTTGAGATCATTTACTTAAACTCTCTTATTTGATGATGAGAGAAAAATCAAGTAACTCACCAGAAGCTAATTTACCATCTTCCTATTATCCCATGTAGTAATTTCTTTATCACCACCTTAAGAGTTTTACTTTTTCCCTAGACTTAGGCTTCATCTTCAGTCGTGGTGTAAGTTCTATTAAGTTATTAGAACATAGAGTTTTCTAATATTTTCTTTTAGCTTCATTTCTGTTTCTTCTGACATAATTTTTCTTTCATTCCTTTGGATTTTAATTTAAGAAGTTTCTACTTGTGTAATTTTGTCTAAGTGAAGATAGAGATGATTTTAAACATTAAGACTTTATTGGGTAAACAGTCCAGTGTTGTTATTTACTTATTATTGAAGATCAGAGCCAACTTCATCTGCATTATTTACTCAGCTTCAATTAGTAACTTGTTTGTACCAAAAACATACTCAAAAACAAATCTAATTATAGGTGGATAGATGATTAGTGAGTATCACTATATTGCTTAGATGTTGAATTATTTGCATTGCCATTTAATTGTTTAGAATGGATTCCAAATGAAACCCTATGCCCGGATTTTAAACACTGCTGTAAGTTACTTGTGGAATGCTTTAGATTCTGCCAGTATTTGCTATTAGAAGACAAAATCTGAAGTTAAATGATTGTGATATTCTCCCCCTTTTGTTTTTATTTTAGAGAGCAGCTGCTAGTTTAGTATCCAGAGAAGAAAACAAAAGTGATAATGCTGATAAAGCAGATCGAACTGCAGAACCAGAACAGTCTCATTCCAATACGAGCACGCTCACCGAGCGAGAGCCGAGCTCCTCCAGTCTCTGCAGCATCGATGAAGAGCATCTCACAGACATTGAAATCGTTCGCAGGGTCTTTTCTTCTAAAAGAAGTAATGTAAACTTTGTCACAGAGATATTTCGTCAGGTAAAATACCTCTCAGTATTTTTCATTTGTAATAGAGACTTTTTTTTTTTTTAAAGATTTTATTTTTTCCTTTTTCTCCCCAAAGCCCCCCGGTACATAGTTGTGTATTCTTCGTTGTGGGTTCTTCTAGTTGTGGCATGTGGGACGCTGCCTCAGTGTGGTCTGATGAGCAGTGCCATGTCCGCGCCCAGGAATCGAACTAACGAAACACTGGGCTGCCTGCAGCGGAGCGTGCGAACTTAACCACTCGGCCACGGGGCCAGCCCCTGTAATAGAGACTTTTTAATATTGAAATACTGACTTTCAGCTATTTAAAATTTATTCTCCAGGGAAATGTTTTTTAAAGTTTGTTTAGTTTTTTAAACTTACTACATCTAATCCTTTAATATTTTCTGTTATTTATATATTTTAGTTTGTGGTGATTTTAATTTAATAACTATCCCCCCGTACTCCTTCTGTATCAGAATAATTTTCTTAGCTTTGCCCTTTATGGTTTGAAACTTTTCTTCCTATCATTTGCTTAATAAATTATAGTAAAAGTATTTTATCTTTCACTCTCCAATCAATAAAAAGTCATTTATAAATATAAGCAGCGATGTCTTCATTGCTTTTATCTTCCCTTCAGAGGCCCAGTTTTGTCTCTAAGGCATTCTGAAATTAAAGTTGCTTAAGGCAAATATTATTTGGGGAATAAAATAGAGGGAAAGAAAAAGAATAAAAGCTATTTCACATAAAGATAGCTAGAAATTCCTTGAGTACACATTCTCAATTCATAGAAATTTTGTGGAAAATAAACCTCAGGAAAACTACTCATTTGCTCCTAATAGCAAAGGTACTTCACTTTTGCAGGTAAACATCATTGAGTTTTGTAGCTGAAGGCGATCGTTCAAGTCTCACTACAAGTAAGTGGTAGATCTGGCCTAAACTCACAGATCCTGCCTCCCGTGTCAGTCTCTTTATTCTGTCCCACACAGCCTTCACATGCCAGGGCGCTCTCTGGGCAGAGCAGATCTTCATCTCCTGCACGTGTTTACTGACGTGTAAAATGGAGCCAGAGGCAGCAGTAGCCTTGTCAACCTAGGTTAAAGAAACAAACTTGGGGTAACATTTTGTCCGGCTTTGGCGGTGGTTCTGGTTGCCGGGTTTAAGGTTGTGTTGATAGAATATATAACAGATGAGAAGGAAAGATATTTGACAAATAATGTTGGAGTACTTTACTTGTGGGAAAGTTTAAAGCTTGTAGAACTTTTCAGGTTTTCTAGTTCATGAGTCAGTTTGAATAAGTTTATTTTTCTAGGAGTTTGTTGCATTTGTTTTCAAATTTGACAGAAAGTTTATTCTCTTATAATCTTTTTATTCTCTGAAGGATTTATATTCATGTTCTCCCTTTTCGTTCCTGTTAGTATTTGTCTCTTGTTTGTTTTCTTTGTAATGATTCTTGCCAGAGATTTGTCAATTTTATTAGTCTTTTCAAAGAATGAACTTTTGGCTTTGTTGATCCTGTTTTATGTTTATTTTCTCTTTTATTAATTTTTGCTCCTTGTTATTTTCTTTCTACTTTTCTTGGTTTTATTTGGTGGTTCTTTTCCTAGGTGATTAATTTTAGCCTCTCATTTTTCTCATGTAAGCATTTTTTGAGGCTATATTTTCTCATATAAGCATTTTTGAGGCTGTTTCTTAATACTGTTTAACTACATTCTACAAATTTTGATATATCACACGAGTTATTTACTTCTAAACATTTTCTAATTTTCACATTAATACCTTCTTTGACCTATGAGTTATTTAGCATTGTGTATCTTCCAAATATACTAGATTTTTCTATTTTTTTCTTACAAATTTCTAATGTGATTCTTGTGGTCAGAGAATACAATCTGTACTAATTATTTAAAATTTATTAAAACTTACAGTTTAGTATATAGTCAGTTCTCGTAAATGTCCTGTGTGCTTGAAAAGAATGTACCCTTTTCTGTTGAGTTCAGCGATCGTGAAAGTCTGTTAGATCAAGCTTATGATTGTGTTGGTCAACTTTTCTATATCCTTACTTAAGATTTTTGGTCAGCTTGACCTCATAGTTATAGAGAGGGCTGTGTTAAAATCTTAAAGTCTGATGGTGATTTGTCTCTTTTTTTCTTTATAGTTCTAGAAATTTTTCTTTGTACATTTTGAAACTGTGAAATTACGTACATACAAGTTTATAATTTTATATCTTCTTGGTGATTTAAACCTTTTATTTATGGCCCCTGTCATCTATAGAAATTATTTTTGCTTAAAGTCTGTTTCATATACTATTACTACATTTATACCATTTTCTTTTTATTAGAATTAGCCTTATGTATTTTTTGAACCTTTTTCTTTTCAACCCTTTCAAATCATTAGATTCTATGTGTCTCTTGTAAATATGGTTGGATTTTTAAAAATTTTTGTCTTTTAACTGGAATATTTATATTTATTATAATTACTGTTATATTTGGATTTATTTAATTTGTTATGTTTGGATTAATTTCTCCCCCAACTTATATATTGTTAAATTATCAAATAATTCAGCTCTGTTTTGCATGTTTGTGTTTTGACTCCAGTATTATTGTTCTGTGCATTCAGTATGGATTTACATTTCGTTAAATATTTATCACTTTCTTTGATTATGATTTCTTCCCTTTCACATCATCTATTTAGAATCACGTTCCTCTGCTTGAAGTTCATCATTTACAATTTACTTTAGTCGATGTCTGTTGGTATCAAACACTTTAAGTTTTTCCTGTCTGAAAATGTCTTTATTTTGCCCACATTCTTTTTTTTTTGAGGACGATTAGCCCTGAGCTAACATCTGCCAATCCTCTTTTTGCTGAGGAAGACTGGCCCTGAGCTAACATCCGTGCCCATCTTCCTCTACTTTATATGTGGGATGCCTACCACAGCATGGCTTGACAAGTGGTGCCATATCCGCACCCGGGATCCTAACCAGCCAACCCTGGGCTGCCAAAGTGGAACGTGTGCACTTAACCGCTGTGCCACCCGGCTGGCCCCTGCCCACATTCTTGAAAGATGTTTTTCACTGGACATGGAATTCTAGGTTGACGGTGATTTTCACTCAGCACGTTTCAGATGCTCAGATACTTTCCCAGTCTTTTCTGTGTTACGTTGTTGCTATTGAGATGTCTACTAGCAGTTGAACTCCTACTGCTTTATAGGTCAACTATCTTTTCTCTGGCTCTTTTTAATATCTTTTTTAATATTTGGCATTTTGCACTTTACTATGGTGTGTCCAAGGTCTAGATTTCCTTTTATTTATTCTTCAGGGGATATTTTGGGCATACTGTATTTATGGATTAATATATTTTGACAGTTCTGAAAAATTTTCAGTCGCTATCTCTTTAAATATTGCCTCTGTTCCATTTTTTCTTGCCTTTCTAGAACTCTGACAGGATGTGTGTGTTAGACCTTCTCACTTCCTGTTAACCTCATTCATATTTTCCACCTCTTTGTCTCTCTACTACATTCTGGATATTTTTTTTTTATTACAACTGTTTCTGGAAGTTGGCCAGTCTGCTTGATAATTTTATTGTGTCTGGTTCTTTACTTATATTTTATATATTAATGTAAACATAATTTTATATCTTGAGGTCTTTATAGGTCTGATTCTGCCATATTTTGTTTCTGTATGTTCTTTCTCTTGGTGCTGTATTCTCTTGTGTTTCTTGCAATCTTTTGTGATTTCAGAAATTAGGAATTTTGATTCTGAGCTTTTGCTTCTTGTGACTTTATTTCCTCATTTGGTTTGCTAAACATTGATTCTTCCAGAGAAGAGTTAGATTTGCTTCTTCTAGATGCAGAGACATTACCCATTTTACATTAAACTGAATTCTTGATTTGAGGTTCAGGCTAGCCAAATAATATGAATGCACAGTATAAACCTGTGTTAAGGCTAGCAACAAATGTCTCTGGGGAGATTTTTGTTGTATTATTATCTACTCTGTGTCTAGATATGGGCAATTTTCCTTGCAGACTTTTAATGGAATGGGTTTATTCCTAATTCAGGCTCACTCTGACAACATATAGTCCTTTGGAACCTCAGCTTTGTTTAGAGGTTTCCTGCTGTTCTCCCTGCGTCGCCCCAGTAGATCCCTGAAAACCAAAGTAAGTGGTTCCACTGAAAGTGAAAATCAGCTTTACTGCTCCCTCTAAAACATCTCTGAGTTTGGATTTCATGTAGGTTTTTACTTGTGAATATTTTTTTCCTACTTTTTGGCTCATCAGTGCATTTAAAAAATTTAAAGTTTTAAAAAATCCATCATTTTTGTCTTTTCAATTGGAAGGTTTCTCAGATTACCTAGTTCACCATACTATTGGAAACCAAGAATTCCCCTCATTGAATTTTTAATCATGCTCTTCATATTTTAATTTTTGAAAGTTGCATTTGGTGGTTTTTTCATATCTGCCTAGTCATGTTTTTCAGTAGTTTATTCTTTAATCATATTTTCACTTTCTTCTTAATCAAAACATTAAAAATGCTTATTTTATTGTCCTTATTTCAACAATTCAAGTAACTGAAGTTTTTGCAGTTTTGTCCTTGTTGTTTCTGTTTACTGACTCATGCTTGTTTGTTTTGGGTTTTCACGTTATGGGCTTACATTTCTTTGGAATTCTATGGGAATTACTTTGAAACCTGGGTTAAGGATGTGTTCCTCCAGAGAGGATTTGTTCTTGCTTCTCTTAGGTATTCAGGGGTCCTGTCAACTGTGGTTTACTTTAAATTAAAATTCTCAGCTTATGATTCTTCCCATTTTGCTGCACTCAGAGTTATGTGATGGCAGCCTGAGAAGGTGAATTTGCCGGGAAGACTCTTCTTCCCTTGTACTCTTCTGCCCCACGTCAGTAGACACGTCTGCTCACTGACTCTTCTCTGGAGTCAGTGAATAGTGGAGAAGCTTTTTTTCTTCCCTTCCCAGCTCACCTTTGTCTTGAGGTGGTAGCCTTCATTGGTTTCAGCTTTACCTGTAGGACCTGATCTGTCTGTCCTTCTGTACAGGTGGCCAGAGCTCTCTAGGCTGTCCAAGGCGGCAGCCAGCAGCTTCATTGCTCACTTGCCTCTCTGGATTTGTACTCCCATTTTGTTCTAGGCTCAGAATATCCATACAAGCTGAGCCATTCATTTTAAACGGTACATTGTATTTTTTATGTGACAGTTTTTAGGCATTCTATGCAGGAAGATTCCAGGATACATTTTTATGATATTGCTGTGAAATGAAGTCTTCTGAGATAATTGTTTTTATTGTAACCATTATCTTTTAAAAGTGACTTAAGGCAGAACTAAGGAAAAATACATTTTAGGATGATGACTCCAATAAACCATCCATATTTTGAAAAGGAATCAATCTAAGATTGCAGTAGGAAAGCTATTTTTATTTTCTTAATACTGAGGATAAATTTGCCAAATTCTCAATCTGTGAAATAGTTTCTTTCCTTACTTTGAAAGTTCATATGTTCCATAATGTAGTATAAACAAAAATATTCCATTAATTATCAGGTGTATGGATATATAATGATTTTGCCCTTAGCAATTCCAGCTAGAGTACAAGTCCTTCTATAGGTAAACAAGTTTAGTAGAAATGTCTTTACCTGTCATTTTTCAAATAATTCCATCCTCGTAGCCTCCAAACTTACTGGTTTTCCTATCTGAACTTTTGTTCTGCAACCTTCCTCTCTTTCCTCTGTACCCATTCCACCTTCTCTTTTCACCTGGCTACTCAGCCTTTAGGTCACAGCTTAAATGTGACTACACCAGAGAAACCTTCCATGACCAGTCTAACCCACCTGCCCAAAGACAGTCAGATGCACCTGTACACCCTCAGGAGAGGCACTAATGAAAGCGTATTAAAAGAACATCAGAGACCAAAATGTTTTGTTAGTGTTTATTCGTGGAAGAAGAGAGCCTTAGCTACAGTAAATCAGATCCCATCGGCGAAGCCAGTTACTAGAAAACTGTACCAGGTTATCTTAAGCTGATACCATTAATTATTTGACTTTTCTCTCTCCTGCTGTTTTGATTCCTTTCCGTGTAGTCTTTTTGGTTGTGATGTAGTTTCACAGTCATAGAATCGTAAAACTGGAGATGACCTCATGCAGTTCTGTCTACAGAGAGAAAATTTGTTGAGCGTGTAGATTCAGATATTCCTGCCTATGATGACAGTTATCCTTATTATTAATTAATAATTGATGTCTGATTGGTGCTATCATAGAGGGATAATGTGCCATATGTGGATTTAAATGTTCTGGTTTCTATGGCAGTTAAGTCTCATTGTAAATGTATAAATTGGTTCTCTGGTTTTTACACAACAGTGTTTTAGCCGTGGTTAATATCGGTCTTTCCTCAAGATCCATATTTAGTGTGTTGAAAATCAGATTTTGGACCTGTTAGGACAAAGCTTATATACACTTAGGTCTTTAATAAATTCATCAAGCCACTTGGGATATAGTATGACAGTTTATGCAATAACAAATATCTTAGCTCTGGAGATTACTAATATTTTTTAAATTAATAAACTTTATTTTTTAGAGCAGTTTTAGGTTCACAACAAAATTGAATAGAAAATACAGAGTTCCCATACTAACTTTTTAAGATTTTTATTTTCAATTTTTTCCTTTTTCCCCCTAAAGTCCCCTGGTAGATAGTTGTATATATATATATATTTTTTTTTTAAAGATTGGCACCTGGGCTAACAACTGTTGCCAGTCTTTTTTTTTTTTCTGCTTTATCTCTCCAAACCCCCCCGGTACATAGTTGTATATCTTAGTTGCAGGTCCTTCTAGTTGTGGGATATGGGACGCTGCCTCAACGTGGCCTGACGAGCGGTGCCATGTCCGTGCCCAGGATCTGAACCCTGGGCCACCGCAGCAGAGCGTGCGAACTTAACCACTCGGCCACGGAGCCAGCCCCGATAGTTGTATATTTTTAGCTGTGGGTCCTTCTGGTTGTGGCATGTGGGACGCCGCCTCACTGTGGCTTGTTGAGCAGTGCCATGTCGGTGCCCAGGACCCGAACCGGCGAAACTCTGGGCCACCGAAGCAGAGCGCGTGAACTTCTCCGCCACGAGGCTGGCTCCGCCATACTAATATTTTAAAAAATAAATTAATTTCTCGGTATCTAAGACTAGAACTTCTTTGAAATTGTTTGAGCTCTTTTTTTTGAACCTTTGTAAGGAAGGCTCACTTGTTGCTACAATTATGAAATAGCCTCAGAGCAGGCAGTGATGATCAAAATCAGACCATTGACCATTAAACTGCTGGAATATGAGAATATGAGAGTGGAATATGGAATTTGAGAATGGGTTTGTTAGATGGAGAAAGTAGCAAGTAATGTAGTTTGCTAGGGAATCAATAATAGCAAATAAATAAAAGGATTACCAAACAGCATATTAAATACCCTGTTGCTATTATGCATTGACTTTTCATCATTATCTTGGGAAGCTGATTTTCTTGGCTAGTTTCATTCAGATAAAATAAAGTCATTTGATGCCATGATTATTATTAAATACATATACTGATAACTCTAGAGTAGGAAGTGGCAGGTTTTAGGTAGAAGTCTTGTGATTTTTAGAGTTAAAAATAATAGTTTTTCTAAAAAGAAAAATTAAAAGCAATTTAATTCCCTTTCTATTTGCAAATAAAAAGTAGAGTGAAAATGTTGATGCATAAACACAAACATGCATAAGGAAAGGACTTTGGGTAGTGAGATTCTTTTTCTTTTACTGTTAATTTTACTGTTTACTGAGATGTTTTATATTTGCATGTCTGAATTGTATAAAAAAATCTTTTTGCTATGAAAATGTAGTATTTTTGTGGTGAGGAAAGCATTTACTTTTTTAAAAGTTAAGGCAACCCAAAAAGTACCTAAAGGAAAGAATAACCGTAAGATACTCCTTTTAATTTTCTAAGTATTTTGCCTTATTTAACTTCTATAATTTTATTATATGTAAAACAAAATTAAAAAGCTGTAACTTGGGGCCGGCCTTGTGGTCGAGTGGTTAAGTTTGCACGCTCCACTTCGGCGGCCCAGGGTTTCGCTGGTTCAGATCCTGGGCGTGGACATGGCACCACTCATCAGGCCATGTTGAGGCGGCGTCCCATGTGCCACAACTAGAAGGACCCACAACTGAAATATGCAACTATGTACTGGGGGGACTTGGGGAGAAAAAGCATTAAAAAAAAAGATTGGCAACAGTTGTTAGCTCAAGTGCCAATCTTTAAACAAAACAAAACAAAACAAAACTGTAACTTTTTTTTAAATATGCTTAGAAAAGCTAAATTGCCTTGTTACATGTGATTTTTATTACTTCTTGGAGTTAGATTTTATTTTTTAATTAAAATCTTTCTATCAAAATTTATTTTAATAGTAATCTAAAAAGCAATAAGTTAGAAAAATGTGATTTATTATGAAAAGTTGTATTTACATTGACCTTTGTAGGAGTACAGTTATTTCACAAAACAGGAAATATTTTCGTTTTGAGAGAGTACAATTCAAACAAGTCTTTGCTCCTTGTACTTGAAATCAGTGTCCATCTACCAAAAGCATTTCTATCTCAGTGTATTTACAAGTTGTTTGGAGACAAAAGGCTTTTTCTGACAATAAGTAGATTGATTTTAACTCTTTAAGCATCATTTATATCTCACATTTTGTAACGTAATAGCAATGTATGTATTAGTGGTTTGTGTCAAAGTAAGTATCATTATCTCTATTCTCTTTTTTCACTAGGCATTTTTATTACCAATTTGTGAAGCAGCCGCTATGAGAAAAGTGGTAAAAGTATATCAGGAATGGATCCAGCAAGAGGAAAAACCTTTGTTCATGCAAGAGCCTGAAGAAATTGTCATCTCTTCTTCAGACTTACCTTGCATTGACAGTGTCACAGACCGTGATATTTCAATGGAAGAAGGAGAAAAGAGAGAAGAGGTAAAATGTTAAGATTTATGTATCTTAGAATAGGTTTAATAGATAAGATTTTCACCAAAGTGTAATATCATGTTAACACATATATACTTACTAAATGGGAATGTGAAGGCACCTTTCAGTATATTTTGCAATTTAGATAATATGTTACCTCAGTACTCTATCCCAAAGCCCTTAGATATCACAACTTTAAATAATTAATATTGAGGTTGTGTAGTAATTCTTGAAGTCATTGTCTAGATCAAAATTAGGTGCTGTTATAAAAGGTGGAATATTTTACCCTGTGGTACTAGATCAAAATGGATGTTGCAGTATCATACTTCTCAGAGTGATTACCAAACTACAGTTCCCCCTGGCCTGTCTTATTCTAGGAGTTGGGTACCCAGCACAAACCAGAATATTCTGAGCTCGTTCTTGGAAATTTTTGCACTAAGTTGATTGCAGAATAAAACATGTCTTGACCTGCTAAGAAGCTGGTCTGTGATAAGAAAGACTGGAGTTTACTCACAGAGGGAAAAAGATGAGAGAAAAGAGAGTAGAAGTGGAATTTGGGTTCCTGGTTCTATTTATTCCTTAATTCTTTTGTTTTGGTTGTTTAACCTTTGTCATAGGTCAGGTTCTCACCAAAATGTTGGAGTCTAATATTGACATATATCTTACTAAATCTAGATGGGAGCAATTTGGTAGTGTTTATTCACCCTAGTGATTAATTTAACCTCATCAGTGGAGTTTATCTGGATGTTAACTTGTGAACAAATAGGCCACATTCTACAGAGATCCAATGCATCAATATTTATAGATGTATATATGTGATGTATATATGTAGAATATCCTCCCCTACTTCTAAGAAGGGGAAAAATGTAGCTAAGAAATATAATTGAAGCAAATAAAATTAACCATGTAAATTATGAAATAGTAGTCTCAGTTATATTTGTATGCACCAATAAAAATATCCAGTTTTTGCATAAAGCTAGAAAATAAACCTATGGATCTAAATAATTTGTTTTCCTCCAATTTTTTGACATGAATTTATAGCTCCGTACTGAGTGTAACTTGTGAAATTTACTCACCTTTAATAAAAATGATAGATAATGTAATCTATCTACATACATAATTTAAAAAACGAACAGTGGGAAGGAGAGAGGAAGGCAGGAAGGAAGGGTGATGTGGGAGTGTTGTGAAGGTGTGTTCTGTTGGTTACTCAAATACCGCAACCAATGTTGCCATTAGAGATGTGATTTTTCATCTTGCTAATGGCATGAATCAAAAATAAAAGATATAATCATTCATTGATTATATTTCTGATAAATTCAGTATGTATAAAAATCACTTAAAGTTTGATGTTAATTATAAAATGGAGTTATAGATTCAGATAATTTTATAAATGGGTTTTGTATTCACATAGTATTTGTGAAACATTTGAAAGACGTGGAATACAAGACGGTTTTTGTGTGTGCAGGACGGCCTTGCACCTTGTGGTGTGTTTAGGATTCCCAGCTCACCCATTAAATCTCAGTAGTATTCTCAATTCTTGGGACAACAAAACACTCCCCCAGATTTCAGAGAGCTCTGTAAAACATGGTAATGCCCACACTGAGAACTAGTATTGGAGTAGAAACATGTCAGTCATCGTTTCTACCTTCACATAACTTATAATTTAGCAAGAAGAAAAACATGCAAAGTAAGTATTATAAAACAGTAATATTGCTGTGATCTTAGAGTGTGAAAGGGAGTACTTAACTCTGCTTAGAGAAGGCTTCCCGGAGGAGGTAATATAATATGAAGGGCAGGTAACACATGGGAAAGGAGCCACACAGTGTGAAAAGCTTGTGCAAAGATGTGAGAGGCCTTGAAAATATTTTTATTTGACTGTAGCTAAGAGCAGGTGGGAGAGAGTGGTAGGCAATATGAGATATGCGAGAACTAGACTCTGTTCAGTAACTCGTATGCCATTTTCATGGACTTTGATTACCTAGACACTGGAAAACCTTTGAGGGATTATGAAGAGAAGGATGGTAGGGATAGTTACTTATTTCAGAAGGATCATTCAAACCTAGAGTGGAAGATAGATTGGAGGCCAGTCTGGAGCAAGGAGACTAGTTCGGAAGTATAAGCAAAGTTCAGAAAGGAGAAGATAAGTACCTGATAGAGGACGGGGGAAGTTACGATGGGAATAGAAGGGAGAAGACAGGTATATGAGCTCCTTCGGCGGTAAAATCATTGTGCCTTGATGATTAATTGGGCTGAGAGAAATGAGGAATGGTGAGGTGTCCCAAGTTTCTTTCTTTTGCAACAGGGTAGTTGCCATTCACACAAGAATAGGAAGAAAAAAAGTGCAAGTTTGGTGGTGGTAGCCAAGGTGGCCAGAGGAGTTGGTAGCATGGGGAGGACATGGTTAATAAACTTACTTTTAAGTATCTTGAATTTGAGGTGCTTGTGGGTCGTTCAGGAAGAACTATTTAGAAGATAGCTGATGGTGGGAGAATGGAGAAAGAGAAAGGTGTAGACTAGACCATAGTGTATTGTGTTGGCTGCTCAGGTAGAGCTGAGTTCCAGTACTGCTTCTGGTAATGGCAGAGTAGTTATTTTTATTTTTATGTTTTTAAAGAGTTTTAAAAATTTTTTTCCTTCCCAAAGCTCCCTGGTACATAGTTGTATATTCCTAGTTGTGGGTCCCTCTAGTTGTGGCATGTGGGATGCCGCCTCAGCATGGCTTGACGAGTGGTGCCACGTCCACGCCCAGGATCCGAACGGGCAAAACCCTGGGCGCAGTGCACTTGGCCCTGGGGCCCGCCCCAGCGTAGTTAGTTTTAAACTAAACCTCCTGCATGTTACAATCATAAGCTCTAGACAAAATACGAAAAACAAAAACTGTTCGAAGATACTAGTGAGTGACCAGAAGCAGAAAGAAACTAGAGAGAAACTTAAAAGGAACAACACTGAGTGAAGTTCCTGTTTGTGTGGCTTTTCACCTGAGGGAAGTCCATAGTCTGCAGGACGTTTGACCGCTAAAACTCGAGCAGAAAGCTGAGTCTCAGTGCTTTGAAGTATCAATATTCTTCTGTCTTCAGATAACAGAATTTTTACTACTCGTAAGTAGGATAAATAGAAGCTATTTTCTGTTGTGTTATTTAAGTTATTTGGATTCTGGTATTTACTTTAGAACAGGATTCATCTCTTACAAAGCTGTAAATAATATAATCCCATTATTGTGTGTGTAAGTGTACAGAGGGGAGGTTTATACATTATATACATAGAAAAATGTCTCTATATCTGAAGTGATATAATCACTGGCTGGTCCTTATGGATGATTTTTTACTTTCTTTATATTTTTATCAACGAGAACCTTTTTTACAGTGAACATTCTTTTTCACTTTTTTTGTAATCAAATAAGACATCTTCTATTTTGAGAAGATGCTTAGCAGTGGGACCCAATAATTTCCAGTTTACTTCTCCAGCTTACTGACTTGTCATAACATTCTTAATTAATGATATATTAACAACTTGATTTTGCTTCAGGAAAATGAGACTAGTATTGCTGATCACGTTCGAAATTCTGCTTGGGCAAAAAATGGCACCTACGAAGATGTTCTTCATAATGCCTCTGAAGAAGCCATAGAACAAAACACACGAGCTGGTACCCAGGCAGTTTTACAGGTGGATCACATTTTGGTTATTTTTAAAAAATAATAATCGTTAAGTATTTCAAAGATATATAATTCAGTATTTCAGTGTAGAATATAATTTTTAAGTGTAATAAGTTCACCACCCACATTTATCAATCATCATTATGCCATACTTTGTTTTTTCCTTAACTTTCACTTTATAATATTGATAAACTTTACATATTTTTCTAGACAGTTTTTTAAAATTTATGTGAATGTGTCATGGTGTATTGTCATCTGCAACTTTTTGCATTAACCTTAAGTTTTTGAGATTTGTTGTTGATATATAGCATAATTCATTCATTTTAACTACTTTGTGGTATTACAATTTATGATTATTTCACAGATTATTTTTTCACTTTTCTGTTGATGGTTTTTTAAATTGTTTCCAGTTTCTCACTATTGCATGTAGTGCTATATTGAACATTCTTATATATGTGTATTTTAGCACATGTGGGAGAATTTTCCTAGGATATCTTCCTAGATGTGGAATTACTGGGTTGGAAGATTCCTACATTATCAGCTTTACCTTACTATTATTGCCAAATTGTTCTCCAGTGTGGTGATAATAATTTATAATCCCTCCAGTAGTATTTGTGAGTTCTTATATCCTTATATCTTCCCCATTACTTGTATGGTTAGATTTTAATTTTTGCTGCTCCTATATATGAGATAAATGTCATTTATTTTAAAGTTTGTCTTTCTCTGTTTTCATTTGCTTTTCCTTCATCAGTACTGAAATAGAGCATCTTTTCTTATCTGTGAATTCCCTATTATATACTTTTTCTTTTATTCTGTTTGGTTGGTTGTCTTTTTCTTATTGATTTGTAGGAGTTCATAATATTTACTCATTTTTTACGTCAGACTATTGTCAAAGCCGTATGTGACCTCCACATTGTTAAATGGACGTTTTTCAATCCTAATCCTAATGGGCTTGTCGGGAGCATTTTTGCAGAGTAGATCTTTCTCTCCCTGTTGAAACTCCTCTTCACTTGACCTTCAGAATAGCATACCCCTTGTTTTTCTTCTAATTCACTGACCACATCTCAGAATTTCTTTTTTTACTGATTTTTCCATGTCTCCCTGACCTTTTCATATTGAAGTACCCAGGAATCCATTTTTGGATCTCTTTTCTACTTATTCTCTTGCTGATTTCATCCATTCCTATGCCTTTAAATATCATCTATATGCTGCAACTTCTACATAACATTTTATCTCTAGTCTGAGACCTCTCGTCTGAACTCTAAAAGGCCTGAACTCAAGTATTTAAATGCCAGGTTGGCATCTTCACTTGAATATCTAATAGACATCTCAAACTTGACATGTCTAAAACTTGGCTTTTCATCTTGCTTAACAAACATGCTTTTCCTGCAGTTTTCCTCATTTCATTTAATGGCAGCTCCTTTTTCCAGTTGCTCAGGCCATCTTATTTCCTGGGTTTTTTTTTGAGGAAGATTAGCCCTGAGCTAACACCTGCCGCCAATCCTCCTCTTTTTGCTGAGGAAGACTGGCCCTGAGCTAACATCCGTGCCCTTCTTCCTCCAGTTAATATGTGGGACGCCTACCACAGCATGGCTTGATGAGCAGTGCCATGTCCGCAGCCAGGATCCGAACCAGCAAACTTAGGGCCACTGAATCAGAACGTACGCACTTAACCACTGTGCGACCGGGCCAGCCCCTCCTATCTTTCTTTTATATTTTACATCTAACTTGACAACAGATTCTCTCGGCCTTCAGAATGTATGCAGAATCTGACTACTATTCAGTCCTCACACTACCTCCTGTGCCTGAGCCTCTAGAATCTTTCATCTGGATTATTGGAGTAGTCTCCTAATTAGTATCCTTGCTTCTGCTCTTGCCCACCCATTATTCTCATTCATATAGCCATATTCTCAACACAATAGCCAAGGGATCCTGTAAAATGTAAGTCAGATCATGTCATTTTTCTGCTCAAAATCCTCCAGAGGTCTTCCATTACCACTAAGCGTAAAAGCAGAAGTCTTTCTAATGATCTATAAGGCTGTCTGTTATTGCTCCTCAGATTGTGGTCCATAGACTAGTGCTGGTCCACAAGATAATTACAAAATTGAGTGTGAGAGTTTAGAAGCGAAGTTGTTTAATATCTTGATTCTGATGAAAAGTTTGAGTTTGTATTTTGTATCTCTTGTTTCATTTCCTTTTTCCTATTACTTCATTTTTTATCGTATTTTTCAGTAGGATTGGTCTGCGAAAGACTTAGGGGGAAAAGCCTGTTCTTTCACCACTGGCAGTGTGAGAGCCTCTGCTCCACATGCCCTGGCTCAGTTTCTCAACATCGTCTCCCACTGCTTTCCCCCTTCCTCACTTCACTTTATACTCCTTGCTGTTCCTCAGATATGCTAGGCAGGTTCTCACCTCAGGCCTTTTAAACTTGCTTTTTTTTGTTTTTTCATCTGGGATGCTTTTCTCCCTGAATGCTGCATAGTCAATTTGGTCTTTTCCTTTTCAATTCATTCACATTTACTTTCATTGTTTATCCACTCCACTTCCTTTTGTGCTTACTGGGTCTCCCAGGACAATGAGGTAATAGTGAATACCTTTGTCTTGTTATTGGCTTTTGGCAGTACTTCTCAGGTTCAATTGCTGTTCAAACATTTGCTATAGCTCTTAATAAATGCTTCTTTTCAGATTCAGGAATTTTATCTTTTTTCTTAGTTTGCTAAAAATTTTTTTAAAAATAAGTGCTGAATGCATACATTATGATGATCATGCTTTTTTCCATTTTACTCTATTGATAAGAGTATATTGTATTAATAGACTTTTCTGATGGCAAGGCATTCTTACATTTCTGGGGTAAATACGACGTGGTCATAAAGTATTGTGTTTTGCTCAATTTTTTCAAGATTTTCATCTATATGTTCATAAGTGATATTGGTCTCTTATTTTCTTTTTTTATATAGGTTTTGTCTATTTTTGATAACAGGATTATATTTTTTGAAAAACAAATTGGGTGGTTTTCCTTCTTTTTTGTCTCTGAAACAACTTATGTAAAACAGGGATCATCTTCCATGAAGGTTGGGCAAAACTTTGCATGTCAAGCCGTCTAGGCCTGGTGTTCAGGGCTGGATCAGGGAGACTGTTACCGCTTCTCTCTCTTTCCTGGTACTCATGTATACATCTTTTCTATTTCTCAAGTCAGTTTTGGCAGTTACTGTTTTGTCTACAAAATAATCCATTTTAATTTTATGATCATTAAGTTATCCACTGAACTATCATTTTAAAATTCTCTACTGGATTTACAGTTATGTCCTTATTTTGTTTCTAATGTTTATTTGTGCCTCTTTCTTTCTTTTCCTGGTCACTATTGCTAGACTTAGAGAGTCAGCTCTTTTCACTCGTTTAGAGTTAACTTAATATTCTTTTCTCACATTGATTTTACAACTATGTTTTGTTATGTAGTTCATCCAGGAGATTTAAATCAGAATTATGGGTGTAGAAGATGTAAATCTCCTAGGTTCACAGTAGATGTAAGTTCTGTTCCTCCGAAGTGTCTTTGAGAACCTTTCCACATACCTGTCACCGTTATAACTTTGTCCTCAATAACAAAATACAATTAATAATTTGATTAAAATGAATTTAAAGATACATATTGAGGGATCCTTGTTAGTAGTGCTATAATACGCAGACTATTACCAAAACAGATATCACACACAGCCAATAAACTTGAAAAAAGAGAAGAGTTGGTTTTGAACACCTCATTCAGAAAATTCTTCTTGATTTAGCTATTATCTTTTATCCTAAACTATTTGTATTTTTTATTGTTCTTTTCATTTTATGACAGCAATAGTGTTTTTTTTTTTAAGATTTTATTTTTCCTTTTTCTCCCCAAAGCGCCCCAGTACATAGTTGCATATATTTTAATTGTGGGTCCTTCCAGTTGTGGCACGTGGCACGCTGCCTCAGCATGGCCTGATGAGTGGTACCATGTCCAGGCCCAGGATCTGAACCGGTGAAACCCTGGGCTTCGGAAGCGGAGCTCTCGAACTCAGCCACTCAGCCACGGGGCCAACCCCAGCAATAGCGTTATTATAGTAAAGCTCTCAGTTTTAAGAAAGGCTGTTTTTCACTCGGTTTATTTTCTTTGGGTGCCTAGTAGTAATTTTATATTTGTCTGGATACACATAAAAATAGACGGGTTTAATGAGTTTAAATTTCAGATACCAAGCTGATGGTAGAAGTAGGGTTAGAATTAACCTATAGTCTTAGGCTTTTAAGTTCATTGTAGATCACCTAGTGATGAGTGTATGTTTTTTTTTTTTCTTTGAATAAGAAATTTGCCATTGAAATTCTATAGTGAATGGCTCATGATTTCTTTTATCTTAGGTGTTTATTATAAACTCATCAAACATATTTCTTCTTGAACCTGCAAATGAAATAAAAAATCTTCTGGATGAGCACACAGATATGTGTAAACGCATTCTTAATATTTATCGGTTCATGGTTGTGCAAGTATCAATGGACAAAAAGACTTGGTAAAAAACATTTATCCTTGTTTTTTTCATTGTGTATATGAGTATAGTAAGTTTTAGAGGAAAAGTATGAACAGGGCTTATTACAATGTTGTAGACACTTTTATTATTGAACGAATGAATAAATGTAATATTTTATGTGATGATCATGACAATAGTCTCCTTCACTTTATCTCAAACAATTTTGATCAAACTTCCACAACATCCCTTGGATTATCTTTCTAAAGGGCAATGATGACCTCCCCCCCATCAGAATGGATACATGTATGCATGTATGAATAAATGAATTTATGCATATGTGAATGAATGAATGAATGAATAACTAACTGATTGCATGGGTAAATGCCTGATTCCTCAACCTGACAATCAAGGCCACGTACAGTCAGGCCTCTGCCTACTTTTCTAGCCCTCTCTCAAGCCTAAACTCCACCTGGCAGGATAGACTCCTGCCTCCCAGCTTTATCAAATTACCTTTCCTGAGCACATTGTGAACTTCTCTTTAGAATGTCTAATTCCTGCCATCTTTTCCTTTTGTCACCGTAACTATCCTTAGAGTCCACCTTCCTTTTTCCACATACCCTTACTTACATTTTTTCCCTCACTTTCGTTCTGTATTTGTACCTCTCTTATAGTTCTTGTCAAAATTGTTTTAATTCCTAAATTACTTTATAAAGTGATTTATAAATGTCTCTTTATCTCACTGAATTGAGAGGCCCTAAAAGGTATATACTGGTTGTCTTGTTTTTATCTTAGTACCTTATATATTATTGGTACTCTATAAATATTTGTTTAATTGAATGGAAAAAAAGACCTTTCAGGGAAATAAGTCCAGTTCTTCAGTTTTTGTAAAAATAATACGTATTCACTATAATTTTCAAACAAAGAAAAGTTTTAAAAAGAAAATAAAAGTTGCCTGAAGGCTCATTCTCTAGAGGTGATCGTTGTTTGCCCTTTGGTGTACATCTGGTTCAGCAAACCACACACCCACTCATTCAGTATTCTGCCATATGTATGTAGCATTATTTTCTTAACCAGTCACCTGTTGATGGATTTGTAGTTATTTCATTTTGTTGTTGGAAGAGGGGAGAATGATGAACATCCTTATATGTATATAATTTTCCTCCTTTGACTTATTCTTAAAAAATGGGAGTACTTAGTCATAGAGTATGCCTAATTTATGTTTTGCTACATATGGAAAAATGGCTTTATTTTGAAAAAATTCTTAACAGTATTAATATAGTTTCATTTAGAAGTAGTTATTGTTATTAACTTATTTGGAGCACTTTTCTGTGCCAGGTATCTTTTTAAGCACTTTATATGCATTTTCTTTCTTAATCCTTGTAGCATCCTATGAAGTAGATAATATCTCTGTTTTACATGGTGATTCAAGTTCCCTTGCATTATGAGAGATTACTCACGTGTTTACATCAAATTTATAAGACTTTATGAATTAAAATCATTATTATTGTATTACAAAGTGACAGGTTGCCTGACATATGAGTGAGTTATGATTTGACCACAAATCAGATAAGATTTGGAAAATCTATACTGTATTACATATGTAGTTAATTTCAAATAGCTTTTCATTTCTTATAGTTAAGTTGGAAGCCTAAGATTACAAATGTGGTGCTTTTGATTTTTATTTTGTGAATGAATGCGTGCATTTGTTTGTTAATAAATTCACAATATTTTTAATTGATACTTTTCTATTTGATTCTGCCCCCACTTCCCAGAAAAACCATAACATCTAGATCTGAGATCTGTTGCTGCCTGTGCCACATTTCTCACAGGGACTGTCCCACATATTGCTGTTCCTAGAATGAGTCTGCCAATAAGTCAAAGGGGAGGAGGCTGTGATAGGGACTTGGGCTGGTAGCCTGGCTGTACACCCAACTGAAGTCCCCTTGTCAGCCTCTTTTTCACAGGTGGTTGAATCAATTTTCAAATTATCAGGTGTAAGTAACATAGTTTGATGGTCTTAATAATAAGCATCTAGCAGAAAGAGACCAGGTGAGGATAATATTAGGATTGGCTTGACTTGGAGTAAAAATAGTCAAACTAAAAAGGATGAAAGAGGCAATAGAGTGATGGTCCTTGATTACTTGTCAGGCTGATTGTGATCTGTTAATCTTAAAATATCATGTTGTTTTTTAAATTGCACCTGGTACTGTTCTAGATATGTGCTTGTTCTCCATATTGTAAAGATGTATTAGATGGCCAGGCATCAAGGTGGAATTATCTTGTATAGATAGATGAGTGTGCTTCAGATAGCTCCCTAAGATTACTACTTGATTGTGGGGTGGTGGGATGGGAGCACTCTCCACATTCTTACCCCCTGTTCACCAGCTTTTGCATAAATTTTTATTTGATAAGAGGATTTTAAAGCTGAAAAATGGTTTACGAATGGCTGGTATAGATTTATAAAATGGAATTTTAAATTTCAATATTTAAAGAATTTTTAAAATTTGAAAGATATTTGATATTTGAGTTATTAAAAGATAATACCATCTTTATAACAAATATTAATTTGAAAGTTATTCATTAACAAAAAGCAAACATGCAGGAAGGAAGCATTAATTCCTGTTTTTCCTTTAAGGGAACAGATGCTGCTTGTGTTGCTCAGAGTCACGGAGTCTGTACTGAAGACGCCATCACAAGCTTTTCTGCAGTTCCAGGGGAAAAAAAACATGACCTTGGCAGGTCGACTTGCAGGACCACTTTTCCAGGCAATAAAAATAAATAAATAGATAAACAGATGGATAGATTGTTTTTTTTAAGATTCATTGAGCCCTGAACTTGTTATCTGGGGAAAAAAAGTTTTAAATCAGAGATCATTTCAAGTTAAACAATCTTTTGTAGAGCTAAATTAAAAGTTGCTTATCAAAATAGGCTATTTGCCATACATAGAATAAGAATATAGAAGTGGATGAAATAGCAGGCCTGTGAAAAAAGTGTTAAAACAGGTTGGTGATGTTTATCTCCTGTGTGGCGTCCTTATGTGTGATTGCTGAAAGCTGCCCAAAGGTGTCCTGAGGAATGGCCGTATTGTTTGCTTTAGAGTGTCCAAGTCTCTGAAATTGTTAGCAAAACAAAACTTTCTTTTAAATTGTTCTGTAGTAACGACAAAGTAGTAAATAATCAAGATTCTTTCTTAGCATGCTGTTCCATAAGACTTTATTCTCTTCACTTCTTTATTTGAAGTATCAGTGGTAGTTTCGTTATATAGGAATTACATGTTGTGTTTTCCAACCTGAGGATTGAATACTGACTTTAAATGTATGATAGATTCTTTGGAAAATACAAACCAAAATAATATTTTCTTAAGATGACACATTAAATACAAATACTTGGATAAAATGGTTCCTAATGTCAAAGATAGAAGCTGTCTCAGATCTAATTCTCGGCCATAAGTATAACTGTTCAAATTAATTTTTTTTCAGATACACTAGTTTAGCTAAAATTCTCTGCTGGTGGCGAATAATTCTTTGAAACCAGCTACCTTTATTATCTAAACTCCTCTTGACTTCATTAGCTTTTTTTTGTCTAAATTTCCCTGTTATTAGAACTAACCCAATGATGGGCGCTATAGGAAGACAAAATTTTAGCTTGCTATATGGAATAACTTTTTTGTAGTCTGTTTAAAGATAGAATGGAGGGTCACTAGCTGTTACTATACTGTAAACTCTGCTCATTTTCATCTTTATATTTAATGTGTAAATTTATGTGAATTCCTTAGTGAAATTTGTAGACCTCAGATTTTGAAAGACTTTATTTTGTGACTTGTTTCTTCAGTAGGAGGGTGTATCTTCGGTAGAAATCTGTAAAATCTCAGAAGTACTGGCTAATCAGTAATTCCGGTCCTGTTATGAATACGTTTTTTAGGCTATGATTGGATTTATTACAGAATGCTTTTGATTCCTCTAGTGTCTTTAAAATGAAATTTAATTTATCCTTTAGTTTACATATAATTTTTCAAAAACACATTTCATTAAGTACATTTCTAGTAACTTGTTTTTTTAGATATTCAAATTGTGTAGTTGGTGATTTCCATCTTTAAGAATGTAGGTTTTGGTTTTTTAGTTCAATAATTTCAACACTTAATAGAGTGGGGACTTTTATCTGTTTTTAAACAGCATTTATTTTATGTAACATTAATGTAATACAGCATGAAGGATAGTTACAACTTTAGGAAGATTTCTTTTCAGTTTTGGCAACTTGTCTTAATTACTAGAATGTTGGGAGTTGACAGTTGTTGAAATGAAATTTATAGTAGGTGCTAATGATTGTGTGAATTACTTTTATAAGTATTATGTACCAAGAAAGGGTCATGAATATTATGTGATTTAAAATTCTGCTTGTTGTTAGGTAATTTTAAAATAATTGTCTGATTTTGAACATATTTCATTGTTGTTTCTGATTATTTGTCTTTATAGACTCTTATAGTTGCCTGGATCAAGGCAAATCTAAATGTGTACATCTCCCGAGAACTGTGGGATGACTTACTCTCAGTATTGTCATCGTTGACCTATTGGGAAGAGTTAGCCACTGAGTGGTCACTGACTATGGAGACACTAACTAAAGTTTTAGCTAGAAATTTATATAGTTTGGATCTCAGTGATTTACCATTGGATAAGCTGAGTGAACAAAAGCAAAAAAAGCACAAAGGGAAAGGTAAGAATTGTTCACGGAGATGCTCCATATAAAGTGGTTTAAATAATCTGGTCTGGGAAAATCAAGCCAGGGAGAAGGTGAGGGTAGAAGTCATGTTTTCTCTTAATTATTCTCTCCTTCATTTACCCTGGAGGTTAAAAATTTTCAATAATAAGCCATGTAGGTACCTTGCAAGTTTTCATGAATTTTGATGAGAGATAAAGTGCTCTGTACATATCTAGCTAAAGTTAAATACTTCAGAATCTTAAATATCTCATTTTTAATAATTAGCCAAAATGAAAATTTATAAAACCTTTTTTATCATATGCAGTTTTTTGTTAGAACTTAAAAGGTGATTTCATGTTATTCTATTTAAAAAGAATTATTTGAAAAATTCTTATGAAAGCATTTTCCTGGTTTTAACTAAAAGCAAACTTTCCCTAGATGTGGACTCTGTTTCTGTCTACTGTTAAAAAGGGGGAGAGTGACAGTAACATAGTGATTATATCATGAATACATGTTTTTATATCCTTGGTTTGTTACTATTTTTCACTTCTAATAATTACTTGCTAGCTAGAGATTACATCTGAGTCACATACTTAACAATAGTCCAGGGTGGTAAGTACTTTTTCCTGGACTATTTATTTTCCCAGTGGCTGTTACTGGCAACTAGAGATTTAGTAACTTCCACCCCAGGGTGGCTTTTCGTCAGCTCACTTTGTTCTTTTTGGCTTGTGCAAATGTTTCATTTCTATAATGAAGCAAGTGTGTGGCAGGGGATTTATGGTAATTTATTGTTGACTACGTATTTTTTAAATTCTGCATCAGTTTTGTAATATGATTTTTACATAAAATGAAGTTCAGAAAAGCTTTACAGTACACAAGCTTTTTATCTTGTTACTTTAGAATACATTATGAGTAAACCCAAGAATCTGAGGCAAGGTGGCACACATAATTTGAAGAGATTATTGATCAGGTGACAGTATACTGAGATTGGAAATCTCCATTTCTAGGAGTTGGACATGAATTTCAGAAAGTTTCAGTTGACAAGTCATTTTCCAGAGGATGGAGTCGCGATCAGCCTGGCCAAGCCCCCATGAGACAGAGAAGTGCAACAACCACTGGTTCCCCAGGAACCGAAAAGGCGAGGAGTATAGTACGTCAAAAAACAGTTGGTATGTGCTCTTTAAAATCATGAGAATTGTACAGGGCAGTGCGTTTATACTCCTTAATAACAATGTATGTAAATACGTAGTTTTCTTATCAGTTGATTTTTGTTGTTTTATGAAAATTTTATATAGCAAAACCTTTTTGTCAGTAGTACTCAGAGTCCAATGACATGCTGTATTAGCCCTTTATACTATTAAGATTTATCTTACATTATATACATTGTTTTTATGTAGTTCATTTTATTGTAGATATAAATTATTTTAAACTTATTTTACAGAATTGAAGAAGTAGAACTCTGATTCACTTTACAGAACTCATGCATTAACTGGTATAGTTTCTACTAAGTGAATATACTCACAAACATGGAAAATTAGGGTAGCTAAGTTTCAGTGGTACAGTTATATAGTTAGAGTGGCTTCACAAACTTGCGGTGAAGACTACGTGCCCTCTACTTGCAGACAATGAGGCCAAGGTGGAGTCTGTTGCTTGTTTCCTTGCTGCTTTTGACAGACGTGGAAGAAATTTCTATAATTTTGGAAACAGCAGCAAAGGAGCAATGATGGGAAGAATTTCTGGCTGTAGGATCACTCAGCATAATGTGGACCTAGCTACCATGTTGTTCCTTTTCCTCTCAGAGATTTAGCAGTTGGTCTGAATTGTAGTAGAAAGAGTGCTGCAATGAAAAACAAGAGGGCTTTGTCCTAATCTCTTTTCTCGCTCTCTTTCTTCACTAAATAGCTAGGTGATCTTGAAGAATTTCCTGAACTTCTAGACTTTATTTCCTTCATCTGTGTGGTGGGAATGTTAATACTTCACATACCTGAAGCAAAATTGCTTGGTGTTCCTCCAGGGTGTACAATCTGTTATGAGGAGAGTTTTCTCTGGGAATGTATCTGTATTTAATGGTAATTAGTGAGAAACACTATTTTAAAGAAATTTAAAACCATTGTTGGAATGATATGTCTTCTGTAAAATGGTTCTAAAGTGTTAAGAATTACAGTTCTAAAGGAAGAAATAAAACTAGAAAGAGAATAGGGAAACTAAAGATTTTAAAAGGGTTAAAAATCATGGTTAGTTTTAAACCCTTCAAAAGAATTATATTTTCACAATTGTCCTCTGCCTCTGAAATAAGCAGAGAATTATATTGATTGTATATGTCAAGCAAGAAGAGTAAGAAATTATACAAGGAAAAAAGATATTGATGGATTAAAATTATTATAATATGTAGAATCACTGTTTGAAATTCTTAGGAAGATGTTGGTTACATCTAAAATGCCTTTCTTCATTTTATATTAATGTCACATTGATAGAAAATGTTTGTGTATTGGTTGGGAGGGAATTGTTCTTTTAAGTTTAAAATTTTACTTTGTTTTACTTAAAACTTGAATCTTTTTTAAAGTCTCATAGTTTTTTCTGAGTTTAGAAGTAATTTATGCTTAGTGTGGAAGATAAAGTTTAGGGAAGCGTAAGGACCCATTAGATGTCTAATGAGAAGTAATCACTGTTAGCGTCTTGGCATATTTCTAATCTTTAAAACGCATATAATGAGTAAAACATTCCCCTTAAATTCATACCTGACTATGATTACTTTCTGCTACCTATGTCAAAACAACCTTATTTGGCTTGTTCATTGAACAAACTTATCAAATAGAAAGTTAAAGCGTTAAAAAGTTTATTAAGAAAGATACCTGCATAAAGTTGATTTAAATACTAAAAGGGGCAGCAGATTAAATTAGGATATTCTTTGGACATATATTTTCTTAAATTTTTCAAATTTATTTTTTAAGATTTGTGTCATTCTCCATTTCTTAAATTTTATGACTTGTATTGAAAGAAATAAATCACATTGATAATATTTCTGACTTTAATTTACATTTCTGTTTTCTGCAATATTCCCTTTAATAACAAACGTAATTCCGCTCATTAAAACTATCATATTCTTTCCCATGACTTGGAATTACCCGATCAAGTAACAGGATATGTAACTTTTTTAGACCAGTTTAATTTAAACAGCTTTGTTTATACTAGAGGTCTAAACTTATGTAAGCACCTGAGGTTATAATTTATGAGGACACCAGTATAGTCTATGGTGAAATTTATAAAATAGTGAGTTTTTTAGATGATATTCAAAGCCTTATTTTATAGGTTGCTTTCTAGAATTTTTAAATAGGAATTCTGCTACAAGAATTTATCATTTGTTTTTCCCTTAAAGGTAACTGCATTTAAAAAAATATTAAACATGGTATAATCCTTTAACCTTCAGGTTACCTGAGATGGTCTTACTAAGAAATTTCTGTTATTAATATATAACTTAAGTTTAAAGTTTAATTTAAAAATTGTATCTGGCCAGCATATCTAAGAGTTTGCTTATGCCAACAAATGTTAAAGGAGATGCAGTGAATTTAGGACATATTTTAGAGTATATCTGTGAGACGCATTCTATCTTGTTTGCAGTTATAATTTAGGACAAGGCATTCAAATTTTGGAACAAATATATCATGCTTTTGTTTTCTAATGTTCCTCTTAGTTTATGTTCATTATGATATTGGGCCTCAATTTGGGGATGAAGGAATTTCTTCCAGTAGAGAAATATGTATACATGATATGAATTTTACTTAATTATAAATAGGGAAAAACATGTGTAACATTTTGGAAATGAGAAAAGGCTAGAGTTGCCTTCCCCCTGTTTATTGTGTATGTTTGTGTGTTTTTAGTGATCCGTCACATTTGCTGTCCATGAATTTCTTATGCTCCATGGGAACTCTGGAGTGAAAGTTACAGTCTTTGATATAGTGTGTATATTCTGTGGTCCAAGATAAATTTATGTAGAGTGCATCTATTTTTCTTTCTTATTCATCTTTTTGAGAGAGGTGAAGATAAGCCTTCAAAAATCGGCATGTTTACCTGTTTGAAAATTTGTTTTGAATTTTTGATGTTATATTTTCCATACCACCCTTCCATCTACATAAAGCATATTACAGATTTAAGAAGATCACTGGGGCCGGCCCCGTGGCCAAGTGGTTAAGTTCATGCACTCTGCTGCAACAGCCCAGAGTTTCGCCAGTTCGGATCCTAGGCGAGGACATGGCACCACTTGTCAGACCACGCTGAAGCAGTGTCCCACATGCCACAACTAGAAGGACCCACAACTAAAAAAATATACAACTATGTACTGGGGAGATTTGGGGAGAAAAAGCAGGAAAAAAAAAGATCACCGATGCGTGTGGCTTAGGAATGTATGTGGAAGTGGGAATTTGAGTGGCTTTACAGAGATTCTCTGATTTAAGCTTTAGATGAGTAAATCCCAAAAAATCCCAGTAGCTAATTCATTGTCAGTAATTTTCTATAGTGCAAGTTGCTCAGCAGTGAGGCTCTTGACACATTTCCTGGTATGCATACAGACCTGCAGGATAGTAGCTAATGGAGGGGTGCATTTTTGAAGAATTCATTCAGGAGCATAACACAAACTCACATCACTGCAGTACGGAAAAAGCTCCAAGGGAAATGCCCAAGCTCTTCCTTCAGGTTGGTGGTGGGAAAGAAGGAACACAAGGAATTTTTAGCTCCAAGGAATTATATAATCCAAGGGAAAAATAGAGGAAAACTTGTAATTCATCAATGGAGTTGAAAATTTGATTCAGTTTAGTTTTAAAAGAAATATCTCTAAAAATCACATCTGATTATAAGTGTAGAGGAGTATTTTGCCTTTTGTGTTAAGCAGCGCTTCAAGTTTTGCATGTGTTTGTGTTTTTGCTCTAAGAAGTTTTAATGAATGATTATCCAGAAGTCAGCATAACTTTTATTTCAAGTTGGATTATACAATTGTTCATCACTTCCACAAGAAGGAGAAGAAGCCAGCAGGAAAACATGAGTAGGGCCAGATTCTGACATTTTGTCTATGGGGTTCAATTTTCAAAATACCCTTATCTTTAATACATTACATGGCAAACCATCTACTGAAGGCAGCTTGCTTCCATTATCATAATATGTTCCAACTTCCCATGTTTTACTGCACATAAATTTACCTAAAAGCTGCTTGTAAAGAATTATTTTTCCAACATTAATAATTTTTTTAAAAATCTCTATCTTTTTCTATTTACGAACTCTGTGACATACATGTAGTTCTTTTGATTTTCTCCTATATGTGTTCACAACTGAAACTTGTTTTTCAGGTGATTGTGCTGGGCTGCCCAAATATAGACACTATTCAGTAAAGATTTACTGAGCTTATATGTGCTAGGCACTAGGGATATAAAGATAAAAGAGAAGAGGTGATAGTTTTTGCATTTGAAAAGTTGGGAGGCTGACATAAAAACATACAACCCACTAAAAAAGAGATTGTAAGATTTATAAAAGCAGGAATTCCTGTTTGTTTCATTCATTGCTATGTTGCTAGTAAGTTAATATGTGGTAAAGTCAGAAAAGCTTCACAGATGAGACGACATTTTCAGTTTGAGGGAGTGTCAGGAAGAAAAGAAGACCAAGTATATTATGAACTCATAAAGCCATGCTGTTATGCAAGAGCGAGAAGTTTTCAGGGAACAGTATACAACTCTGTGGTGGCAGCATGGGAAAACAGGAGGAGGGGGAGGTGACGTTTTCGTGGTTATTCAGCTGGGTCACAAAGGCTTCGTGTGACAAGCAGAGGAATTTAGCATCAGAGAACCAAGTGTTTCCAGTAATCAGAAGCATCCAAGGTTTTGAACTGACGTTAACATTGAAATGTTTTGTGCCGACCTTCCTCTTGCCCTGGGTATTATGCAGCATTGCCTCTTTTAAGTCCTCCATTCATACGTGACCATACATCTGCCTTCATTTATTCAGGAAGCTCTAGACTAAAAGTGAAGTAAAAAAAAAGTTTGGGAAGTGTAAATTTGATTATTAATTTGTTTCAAAGTGTATGAAAATTTGTCTTTAGTTTTGTGAACTGGTGACTCTCCTTTTAAGAAATTAGAATACAGCTACAAATGCAATTTTAAGAAAGTAATCCAGTTTTTCTCTTTAAAAACTTAATCTTTTCAGTTTTTATATAATATGCTTAAGATTGGAATAAGCACAAACGTTTATTTTTCTCAGTAACTTGATTCTTCATGTTGATTGCAAATTCTATTTTCTGTAAATGTTTCTACTTAAATTTTTTAAATTATACTATTAGCTTTAATATAAATAAGATATACTGATTTTATTAAGCATTCTTCTCCTACCAGGAACAAATAACTAACCATGAGATTCAATCCTTTAGATTATGAATTTCATAAAATTTTCTAAAAAGACCTATGAGTGACTTTGAAACTTTATTAGGGAAGAGTATGAAAGTAGGAATGATTTGTTCTTGGAAGTCAGCTTCATTAAGAAGAATGGCTCAGAACTGCCTCAGAATGGCTCAAGAAATGCCCAAATATGGTACCAAAAATTTCTTTGAACTAATATTGAGCTTTCTTCGATGTTTTCGTTCAATGAACTTTTCAACCCTTGGTTTTGAGTACATAGTGCTAATTAAAGTGTCTGCTGTTTTTAATGCTGTACCATTGTAACTGCTAATAATGAAAAGCATTTTCCTGCTTTACACCAAAAAATTCACATTTGAAATGTCATCTGTGTTCTCTGATTTCTTTTCTTACAGCTTGCCAGTATTTGCCGTGCTGAAATGTTTTAATTTAAAATTTCCTTCCTTGTATCTTTTAGTTTTCTCTGTTGCTGCTTTTTCTGTGACACAAGCCTTTCATTATAGTCACTCTTCTTTTTTCCTTCCCCACTTCTTTCTTTTCCTTTTTTAAAGCCATGAGAAGCCGATCCATTGGTGAATGTGCTCTGCCATCGGCCTATATACGCAGTGCTAAAAGTGCTCCTGTTCTGATCCATACTTCCAAACCCTTCTTGCCTGATATTGTTCTCACTCCCCTTTCTGATGAGCTTTCAGGTAGTGCCACCTCTGCTAATTTCTGCACCACCTATTTCACTTTTTAATTCTTCTGCTTTCAAATTTTGCTTAATCAAATAAACTCTGGAAAGTTAATTTCTTTGGGGGAGGTGTGGGAAATTGGGAAAGTGGTTGAGAAATCAACATTTTGAGTTATTTGAACTCTAATGCTATCTTTGCAGTTCATTCTGGAAGTGCTAAGTTTAGTGCTGTGCCAATGTCCAATATTTTTGGTTGTAAATGGACAATTTTTTTCTGTTTACATGTGATTTTTTTCATCTTCTTAGGTGGTTAAAATAAGCAGTAGTATATATATATATTTGTGTTAGTATAGATGTCTCGCAAAAGATGACATGGAAGATAATCAGAGCTTTGACTTTTCATTTCCCATTGTTTTAACTAAAGATATGGTAGGTCTTGAATAATGCATTCTCCATTATCTATAGTATAAGCAAGGGGAATCCATGATTGAGAAAAGGACATAATCTAAAAGTTGCTTTGGAATAAATCTTTGTATTTATATTAGATTATAGTAGTATGTAGAATTCTGAGAGCTCACTCATTTTTAAGCCAAATAAAGAAACTACTCTGTGAAGCCCCAGTTTCTAAGGAGCCTCAAAACTTAGCTTCCAGTTCTGCCTCAAGTCTTTGAAGCCCAGTCCTGGCATGGTCTGCTCTTTAGTAAGGTTTAATTTATATATAGTAATAATCCATAGATCTTGGGTTTAGTTCAGTTCAGTTCAATGAGTTTTGAGAATTGCGCACACCGCTGTTAACCATCACCCCAAACAAAATATAGAATGTTTCCCTTACCCCCAAAATTGTCTGGTGACATTTTCAAGTCAGTACCCTTCACACAGGCACACACACACTCACTTTTTGATTTCTATCACCATAGATTAGTTTCTTCTTTTCTTTTAAATTTTATATGAGTGAAATTATACAGTGTCTTTTCTTTTAGACAAAGGCAAACTTTTGAATATAGTTACTATGCAAAATGTGCTAATTCAAAGAAAGTTACTTGTACATTCTTGGGTACTTTTCTGTCATTCTTCTTAGGAGTGTTTCCCTGATGTTGCCACTTTGGTGAGGTTGCTGATTTTTTTCTTTTTAAACAACCTATGTCTGTACCCTTTCAATTGCTAATAGATCATAGGCTCATTCGAGAGAATGTGCACTTTTCTTAAAAATGATATTTCAGAATGAAGTCCCTTCCACCACCCCTAATCCCATTAAGATCAGAAATTTCTCCCAAATCAGATGTGAGGGTTGGGGAGGTTACATAATTGAGAGTTAAATATGTGTGAGTACACAGACAACTCTTGCATTTGGTATTCTTTGGAAATATTGTAAATGTAGAAACTTTGTATTTGCTTTTCTCAAAATGAGAAAAATATTCAATTATCAGATGTAATATGTTTGTATTTTCTAGCTCAGGATACCTTGTTTGGGAAACAGTTACTTCAGCATATTCTTTTTCATATTTTTGCTAGGTGTTCAGTATTATTTTTGAAGCCAAAATACGATTAATAAGAAATAATGAATTTTATAATGAAGTTGGTAGTTGATTTTGCAGTTTTATTGATGACAATAATAAAATAGGAAACTTTACTTCAAATCCAAACCTGAATGCTCAATAAATATTGATGATGAGTGATTATATTAAAATATAGTAAAATTAGGCTACATGAGTAATTTAAACTATCGATGCAAAAAGTAGTAAGATTAGGAAATATATAAGTGGAATAATACATTTTAATATATGGAAGGAAACAGCACATATTTTTGTTACATATCATGCTTAGCTACAAGCAAAGAGTTAAGATATTTTGTCTCTTTGCTGCTCCATTTAGGCACTGTACCTTCTTATGTAAGTAGGACTGATTTTGGTTGCTTACATCAGATTATAATTTAGTTACTTAAATTGGCAAACGAAACAATGTTTTTGTTCTTGTAACTAAATTAGATATAGCTAAAGGAAACTCCCAATTTGTTGTAAATTTCTCTTAGATGTATTTTTTTGCTTCAAGCTTTTTCCCTTTTTAATATAGTTACACCATGTAGTGCAAACCATTTTTGACATGTTTAGAAAAATTAAAATCAGTTTTGGCTGCCAATTCTTAAATGTTTCTTGGATGAAATATTCTACTACTGTCTTAAAACTGTCAGGAAGATTTATTTTTTTCTCAGAATCTTAAGGGCTTTACAAAATTTCTTGTCTGAAACAAATAATATTTTGGCAAATATGCACATTATGTGCTAAAATATTATTAAAAAGCTAAAATAAGGGTGAGATTGTTCCCTTTAAAATGTTCCAAAGTAGTACCTTACCCGGGATACGTTCCTGTTTCCTTTGCTGTAAATACATAATTCAGAAAGGTTACTGTTTATGATGTGATGGGGGAAGTGTTTTATGAAGGATGTTTGAAAGGCGTTTTCTAAATGGGAGTTTTATCTGTTCTTTTTTTCATTTCCCGCATTTGAGGGGGATTTAGATTTAAAGATTTAGATAATAGACACTAGTCACTAAATCAAAACAAACTATATATTTGATTATCAAAATAATACATGTTAATTTTAGAAAATATGGACCCTATGGAAAAGTATATGAAAGAATATACAGAATCCTTGAAATGAATGCTTATTTATCAATAAATTAAAATATAGTTGCCTTCATTTTTTTTGTGCAAGTGTACATATAAAATGTAAGAGTATAATTAGACTTAGTTATTTTGAGTAAAAATCATTTTTCTCTTAGGATTTAAAAGCGAGTGGCAAGGAACATGTAAAGTAGCAGCAAACACCGTCCTTCCTGAGAACTGGCTTGTGAATGAATTCAGCATTTTCCAGGTTGACATGTACATTCAGAACACTTTCCAGGTGTTAGTAGGTATTAAAGGGTTAAAGATTCCTATTTTATGTCATTTTATTAAAGGCCCCCAGAAGTCCTGTTAAAACAACAACTGTTTAATCCATTATTTATCAAACTTATTTAAACATGGAGAACTTTTCCTGGTACACATATTGACATCCTGTAGCATGAAGTTTCCAGAGAGAACAAGTTGGGAAGATATAAAACTAACCTCATAATTTTAAAAATTAACTCTATGAAAATTGGGTGAGATTATCCTTGTACAAGCTTACACAGGAGAAACCTGAGATACTGGATTTTTTATTGCCTGTCTGGTTCTTGGAGGCGAATTGAAGGCCTGCAGTTTGCTTCTCAGGTGTTCAGTGCGTTGAGGGGGTGAGGGGAGGGGAAGAGAAGGCGAGGAGTGGGGGAGGGAGGGAGAGAGAGAGAGGGAGAGGAAAAAGAAGTTATATGAACAGGGATTTTATGTTTAAATAGTGCTAAACTTATAAAAGAAAATCACTGCAAACTTCATTTCTTAACCAAACTGTTTATTTGCTCATGTTTTCTTCCAAGGTTTGAATAAATTTTACTTTAGAATAGTTTAACGTACAGAGAGAATTAATAAGGAAAGTAAACTACATAAAGGGGAAAAACAAAAGTTTTTCGTAGTTTGTCTTTTTCCCTCATGTGAGCAGGCTTAATCAAAACTCGTAATATAACCTGTTTCCTGGGTGCCTCATCTAAGACCAGGAGTGGAGGTTTCTGTAACTACTTCACCAGAAAAACAGTGAAACTACTCATAAACAATCAGTCTAGCTTTTGATCAGAAGCAGAGTTTTTCAGAAGAATATTTACCTGATACTCTTGAATACTTATGGAGGTAAAAGGAATCTCCTTTTAATTCCTTTTTTTTTTTTTTAGCAGACTAAGATGTTTAAGAATAGACCATCAGTTTTCAAAGTACCCTACTTTTGTCCAGTCATTTTTTCTCCTTCACTGTTCTTGGTTAGATGACCATTCTACCCGCATTCATGTGAGTGTGTTGCCATATGGTATAGCTTTATATTGACTAAACTGATTGAATAGCTGAATATCCTTGAAGAGCTTTTCTTAAGCTCTGGACACTAGTTAAGGGCATTGCCACTATGTCAGTGACGTTAGTTCTTAACGTCAGACTCATCTGATGTTGAAGAAATATTTTTTCCCAGGCTCCTGCCTCAGGTTTTGGTATAGTATGCTGGGGGTTGCACAAGACCTAGCATTATTTTTTAAAGCTCTGCAGGTCATGCTGGGGTCTGTTGGGCAAGCCACACTTTTGCTGCCCTTTCTCCTACACTAGATTGTACTTGTACACATTTGGTAGCCCAGCCTCGCAGTCTTTATTTTCCTGAGAAACGGATTAGAGAGAAGCCAGAAATCGCAATAATTGTTCTTAAGCAAATTAGCTTTTACTGCCCAAAATAATACTTTACTGAAAGAAGGGACGTAAGAGAACATACGTATGGTGGACATCTGACTTTGTTTATACTTTTGTAACTGTTTCTTATTATTGCCTAATCAAATACTGTGGGTTTCTCACCCTGAAATTAAGTTTACAGACCCACCTTCTTCCAGTTAGTTCTCAAAACTGCTAATTTGTTTACCATAATTGTTGCTGTTAGACTAGTCTGCCTAGGCCGTATTACATAGGCTGCTAATGTTACTAACAATGCTTCATTATTTAAATGGAGCTTTGTAAAGCAAAATGTTTTTATCTTTCTACTTTTATTTTCTGAGTCCCAAGAGAAAGAAGGTGGTATCTCTCATACCCTCTCCAGTTCCTGGATTCAGCCTAATTGGGAGGAGGATTTTGCATCTCTTATAAACAAGTAGGCGCTTCTCTACACAATCAAGGAATTTCTTTCTTGTCATCAATATATGATAGTAATATTTTACAGCTTTTCCATGTGTATTCTGCTGATTCTAGCATAATTCTAAGTTAGATCTTTTTTTTGGCTGAAATAATTTGTGTTAGTTCTTTGAAAAGTACATCTCAATAAAAATGTGAAGCAAACTTAAACATGCTATTATGTCACACGCTCATAAACAAAACAGTGTAATTTTCTTAGGATAAAAAATATATTGATCTAGATATATATAGATATATGTCTATTTCCAGAATTTAAAAGTCAGGGAAACAATATTAGGAGGATAAAGAGTAGAAAATAGTTTAGTGTTTTAATTTTAGTGGCATAAAATTAAAATTAACTGAGCTTGGTTTGTTGCTTTTCAGTCTTTTCATGTGATTTCAGTGATGTAGATACTGCTTTGAATTACCTGCAAATTGAAGATCTGGTCTTAAAAAGGTGTACAGTTTTTGCTAGCCTCTGTTAGTAATAAAATTGGAAAAATAGATGCTCTATAGTTCTTACTTACCTTGAAGGTATGTTGCCATTGTTGCCCAAATTGGCAAAAAAAATTTTAATTACATAAAGGACATTATAATTTCCTTTAGGTAATTCCAGAAAAAACTTGAGCTTCAAAATGGCATCACTTTCTGCGTATACTAATATGAATGATTTTATGAATTTAGGAGCTGTAAAAATAAGTTCGTGTTTGTAATTGGCCAAGAATAGAATTTAACTTTGGTAAAAGGAATTTTGACACTTAATTCTGTAGCAGAATTTCGTTTTAGAAATTATTAAAATTTTCTAGTAGTATGTTAGTATTATAACTTGAGGTGTTTTTCCTGAGGAGTTAGCTTGCTATTTTATTAATTAGCAGCTTCTGATTTTTAATATAAAAGACATGCTTTCCTTCTGCCAGTATTTATTGAGCCCCTCCTGTGTGACAAGAGCTACTTCAAGCAAAGGGGATATTGTGATGTTAATACAAAGAAAATCCTGAAGAAATGTAAATTCTAGTGGAAGCCTCTTTTTTTTTTTTTTTTTTTTTGGTGAAGAGGATTGTCCCTGAGCTAACATCTATGCCAATCTTCCTCTATTTTGGATGTGGGACACCGCCACAGCATGGTTTGATGAGCGGTGTGTAGGTTCACACCTGGGATCCAAATCCATGAACCCTGGGCCACCAAAGCAGAGCATGTGAACTTCACCACCATGCCACTGGTCTGGCCCCAGAAAGAATGTTTTTTTGCACATTACAAGCAAATATTGCACTTTAATTTATAGCTTATCTTTTGAAATAGCAAAGAAAACTTTTCTTTGAAACAGAATATTCAGAAAAAACTACTACTTGGTTCAGAAATAATTTTCAACACTTTAATACTAAACATTATTAAGCAAATCTAGAGATAAAACTTAACATTTCTAGTACTTTGTAGGCTTCATAGGAAGCATTTTCTCAATGTTCAAGTTTTTTTTTTTTTAGTTTGTTATAAACATTTTTCTTGTTCTGCTCATTCAATAATTACTAATACTTTAGATTAAGATTCTTTAATTTAGAGGCTGCTACATTTCAAGGTAAAATGTAAGTGGCATAATTAAATTGTTTTGAAGGCCATTTTTGTTTAAACCTGATGCCACCATTATTTTTAGCAATCCAGTAGAAAGTTTATTAGTTGTCTTTTCTTGCATAATTTACTAAAATTCATATTTGACTAAGTTTTGATTTCTAAGATTCTTACCTTTATAGAGATAAATCACTGTGCTACTTTATAATTTCTTAACACAATTTTTACCAATTTAACAAAATTATTTCATGAATATGTAACATATATTCAGGGTACTAAGAACATGGATTAATTTTTGCCTTCCTTCAAGTCCCAGCTCTCCACTTTATAGCTATGTAACCTCAGGCAAGTCACTTAAATAGTTTCTTCATCTGTAAAATGGGGCTAATAACACCTACTTCACAGGTTGTCGTGCGGATTAAAGGAGTTAATATATGTAAGACATTTGGAATAATGTCCAGCATATGAAAAATCTATGTAGGATTTAGGTATTATGTAGTCCTTTCCTTCTTAACAAGGTTCAGGTATATTTCCTTAAATTTAAGTCTTATTAGAGCCGATTATGTTTAATTCAAGTGCTGACATTGGTTTCCTGTCAGCAAATATTTTCTTCTTTGATTTTGTGCAATTAGTATTGTCTTTAAATTTAAATTCTCTAATGGTACATTACTGAAAGAAAAATGTTCTTTCTTTGTTTTTAAAGCTCTTGCCCTCTTAAACGTTCATGAGAGTTTTAGCTATTCATTTGTAGCAACAAAAGTTTAGGGAAAAAACACTTAGACTGAAATAATGGTTAAATTTTCTAATATGCAATGTAAGGACCGAGTTTGGGAAGAAATTCTGAAAAACAGAACTTCACAGTCTTTACTGGCTTCTTTAGAATGGGAAAATTATGGAATATCAATAAACTAAAAATTGAAACTAATATTCTGCTTTTCTCTTAAGTTCATGTATTTGCTAGTCTTGTAACATTAGACTTTAATAAGGTTCTAAGATCCTGATTTTGAATTTGGAGCTGATAAAATACAATTCCAACTATATAATTGTTAAGAATTTTTATAGAAGAGTTATACAGTCCTTATCCTTTGCTGAGTCCTGTTAGAATATTTCGTGGAAGCAAACTTGGGGTGTGTGTTGAATATTATCTCTGTCTTCTAGGCAGAGGATCTTACAAATTGTGGGAGATAGAACAGACGAAAATACTTATTACATTCGTTAAGATACACAAATATGCATTAGTTATCTCCTGCAAGAGTAAATAATGAATATAAATGTGCAGTTTCTGAGGAAATGTTTTGCTTTTCATTTAGAAAAATTTCTAAGTGGAGTGTATGAAGAAGAAAGCCAGTGTCGTTTTTTAAAGTATTATATTCCCCTCATCTTAGTGATAAAAGAAATGAATTGTTTCAAATTTAGTAGACAGGGTGCATTTGACTGTGCTGGGAGTATAAATGTGTATCTTGAGGAATATAGTGGATATTGGCAGAATAGAAACTTCTCTTGATCTGAATTTAGTGCAAAGTGGCTCCTTTTGGACCTGATACAAAGAGGGTGATATGAATGAAATGGCAGAAGGACCAGCTTCCTTTCATCCACAACATGGATCCTGAGAATGTTTTGAATTACTGTCCCCATCTTAAAGTGAGAAAACTGGGTCTCAGAGTCTAGAGTAAGAAACCCAAGTATTCTAGACCTAGCACATCACTGAATTACTTTGTCGTCTTAGACGAGTCGCTGTTTTACTCTGAATCTAAATATTCTCTGTTAACTCTTCACTGGTAGTTCGCTTACTTATATAACCTTTGCATTACAAGCCTAATGAGTAGCAACATCTGACTTTTTGACTTTTTATCCTTTTTACATTATATTTTGCTGGCTTCCGAAAAAAATGTTTTCAGTTATTTCTAGGTAACGTAAAGGCCATGATAGATTCATAGACACTGATGTTTACTTCTAAACTTACTATCTTATATGTATCTATACAGTTAAATACATCTTGTGATTTTCAATTTCATAAAGATTTTTGAGGATTTCAATATACTTATCACTTCACGCAGCAAAAAAGTGTAATGAATGACATGGAACACAGCCTGCTTCTCAGACTTGACAATTATAAATTTGAGAAAGTGGCTTCACTTTCCTCAGAGAGTTAGATAACCTGTGATGTCCATTTTGACTCTAAAACCTGTCGTTCTTAAAACGAGATGTAAGAAGACACAGTTACAGTTTTTAGGGTTTGATGGTTATTTAATGGAAAGGACCAGTGATAGGCAGAGGATTCTTCCTAGTAGATTAAATGGTGTTTGTGTCAGAAATGAAAAAAGTACAATGAACTTTTTAAACACTGTATTGATTTTATTTGATAAGGATGAATAGATTTTAATACTCTAATAAAATAAACACCTCAGCAAAACAGATAAATTGTTTCCTGACAATAGAACTTTAGGAGGGGGGTGGAGATTTCCATTTGTAACATGTGATCAAACAGATAGGCAAGATTTGAAGAAAAGATGATGCCTCTTGCCTGGTAAGAAAAACAGGGGAGTTTCTGAAATCCTGTAAGTTTTTACAATGGGATATTTAGATCGGCTTTCTGTGTTAAGATTGCTTTTCTGCTTGGAACTTAAATAAGTAGGAAAAAGTGAACAGCAAGTTTGAATTGCTTGATTTATTGGCACAGCTCTATCTTTAACTGCACTTCCAAATGTTTCATCACCTCACTGTCTGTTTCTTTGCATGTTAACATTTTAAAATGTATTCTGGTAGTTTTCTAATTCATTGACACTACATGCTATATTGGCTTGTGCCCATCATTATTTATAAACAGATTTGTATTTTTAATAGATTTTCTTTCATTGAGCTTACCAAAAAATCTAAGGATTTTTTATTTTTTAAGCGTATGCTTAGGGTATGGTTGAAATTAATGCTTTTCATATTTATGTAGTTCCTACTCTACATAATTTGTCTTTTTTGCAGATATTGATGATGCTCAAATACTTCCCCGCCCAACTAGAGTCAGACATTTTTCACAAAGTGAAGACACTGGAAATGAAGTTTTTGGTGCTTTGAATGAGGAGCAGCCATTGCCTCGAAGTAGCAGCACTTCTGACATCTTGGAACCATTCACTGTTGAACGAGCCAAAGGTGCAGTTCCTGTCATTGACAGTTCATCCCGTCATGCGCCAAGCTTGCAGAGTTCCACAGAGGCTTCTTCAATAACTAGATCCACTGAAAGCCACATCACTGATACTCATAGTAGAGAGTCTTCTCTGGAAGTTGGTGATAGCATATATGACCATCTTTGCCACTTAATAGATCCAGTAGAACTTGCAGATTCAGCTTTTGAACAGATCCAGTACATTGACCTTGAAGGAGATGATGATCTTCTTTCCTCTCTGAAAGAATATTTTAAGGAAAACCAGGAAAATCATAGTAAAAATGAGTTAGGTAAAGATGCAGCTTCTCAGGAAGTGATTATTGCCGTAAATAGGGATGAAAGATCATCCTTAGATAAATTAGAAAACATAGACCAGGAAAGTAAATCAGAAAATATCACCTCCTTTGTTGGGACTCCTGAAAACATACAGTTTCAAAAAGAACCAAACTCAGCTGTCTTCATGAGTAGTATTGCACCTAACCAGTTAGACAGTTTTATGAGAACAAAAACTTCTGAAAAATCTAAACAACTAAACAGTGATAAACAGTCATCGGAACCTAGTTCAGGTAGCCCTTGTGATAAAGAGAAGAGGAAACATCTGTCTAGACAGACAGCCACAGAATTAGATGCCTGTGTAGATATGACATTAGTTGAAAAGGTTAAGAGTGTGCAAATTAATGAAAAAATCACTGTCCCACATGTTATGCATGCCAAGAAAACTACACTAAAAGCACCTGTTAACCGTAGAATGCCTCATGTTACAAACACTAGCAAGCTTTCTCCAACTAAAAGGAGCTTGTCTGAAACAGTAACTCATAGAGCCAAAATCATGAAAATTGCTACTAAAAAGCGAAATAGTGTTCATGTTACTTTTAGACCATCTACTGAGTCGGTTCAGTTTTATAACCCTCTGGAAAACAAAGAGGCTCCATGGAAGATGAGACTGCGGAAGCTCAGTGGCTTCAGTAGTAGTAGCAGTAGCAGCACCAGCAACACCCATGCCAGCTCAAACAGTGTTCCAGAGCTAGTCAAACCTGGTGTGTACAGGCCTCTAGATACAGTTAGTGCAACAACAGTAAGTAGTAAAACAATTAAGGAATCTACAGAGATTCCCACCACCATATCACCAAAAGAAGGAGTAGCAAGTAATCAGCCAGGGAGTCGCAGTGCTCTTAGGTCAAGTCACGAGGCAGGGCTACAGCAGGGCTCCCTGGGTGGCGTTTATAAAACTGTTGTACATGCTCTTTCGAAGCCGAAGGCAAATGTTTCCCCACAGAGGCAGAACAGAATGCCACCAGAGGCTCCACTGAGGGATCTGTACAGTCATGTAATGGGCTATTTTGGAAGGAAAGCTGCAGGTGAGCACTAACAGTGTGCAGAGCGCAAAAGGAGAAAGACAGCACCAGTTTGGCTTAATGCAACTGAAGCAAGCTCTAAGCAATCAAAAAGCTTTGGGATGGTCACTGCTTTCTCTCTGTTTGGTTATGCATGCGCCTTTTCCCAGCTGTATTTTTCCCAGCATAAAACGTTTATTTAAATTACTAATTTCCCTTATAAGGCATTTAGTTAAACCTCTTTGCTGCTGAACAAGATAGGAAAGAAGATGATATAGGAAAATTTTAATGACCTTTCAAAGCTATCTAAGTCAAATATTTTTCCTCAGTGTGTGCCTTGAAATTACGTTTACTGAGGAGTCAGAATACTTTCTCCCCTGCCCCTATAGTTTATATTTAAAAGGGCACCAGTTATATCTAATTGAGTTCATCCATTTTTAATGCTGATTTATTTGGTTTTATCTTTTTTCTTGGTAAAAAATTACTTTGACGTTATATAACATAATGGAAATCAAGGTCCTACAACCAGCACCAACATTTTTAGTTAACTATTATTGAAGAGGAAATTATTTCTTAAATCTCAAAGTGGATTTAGTTACTTTTCATTTAAGCCATTTCCAAACAAGCTGTAGGCTTTTTAGTTTTGCATTCATATGTATAGAATGCAAGTTATGGCCTTGAAACACTTATCATTACTTTCTTTTTTCTGAGATTTTAGATGTGCATAAAGGTTTCATGATAGCCAATCATGAGTTAAGTATGGAACCTCTATGGACAGATTACAGAAAGCAAGATTATGGTAACTGTTTTCTCTTATCTTGATTCAAATTTAAAATAACTTTACAGATATAGAAAATTAACTTTCAGCAGTAAGGTAGGTTTTGATTTTATTTGTTTAACATGATTTTGTTAGCATGATTAACAGAATGCTTTATAATGCATCTTGCGTTGAGCCATTAATGCCACTTGAGGGCAGTATTTGACAGCTTAGCAAAGCCTGGCCAAGTAATATAAAGATAATGGTATTTCACAGTGAGCTCCTGACCAGTGTATTTTCTTAACCTCAAATGCTTGGTAGTTCATAAGGAATATAAACAGTGCTTATTTTCTTTAAATTGCAGAGAAATCAAGTTTTCAATAGTGAAATAAATAAATATCTGTTTTTTGTAAGTTAGTTTCCCAAGTTTAAAACTTTCCTGTTAATGTAAATCATAATGTAGTCAGAAAAAATTAAAATAACTATTGTGGGTTTTTTTCACGGAAAAAACTTTGTGAAAATAAACCTCTTCTTTCTAAAAGCAATAAAATTAGATTTTGTAGTGAATAGAAACATTATGTCAAAATCATAGAATTTTTATTTATAAATATCTGAACTTAAATGAATTTATATCCCACTCAGATTTGCATAGATTTCAAGAGATATATTCCTTGTAAATAATTCGATGGGGGAAAGTGGGATTATAAATTATTAAGGCTCTGTGTAGAAGCATAGAGGCAGGAAGAAAGATAAATATACCAGTTTCTTTATAGGCAATATTAACCTAACTCCAACTAGTGCTTATCTGTAAGCTTTCTTGCTGTTTAAGGTTATACTGAAGATTGACTAACATCTGCTTAGTTAAATAAAGTAAATATCAATTTACTAATTCTTAAAATTAAATCTAAAAGGAGAGAAATTATTCGTAAATGCATGTTTGCAAATAATTGATATGGCGTAGATAATTTGTTTTGGATTGATTTTGTTTGTTTCAAACTTAGAAAATGCAGTCAAGTCTTTCCTCACTATATATAGTTATTTATTTATTTTTAGTCAATAAAGAGGACATGAGCCCCAAACTGCCCCCTCTTAATAGTGATATTGGCAGCAGCAATGCTAATGTTCCTGATCTGATGGATGAGTTTATAGCAGAACGACTTCGAAGTGGTAATGCCTCAGTAAGTGTTATTCTGTTTTATTTATTTGATTTTAGAGAGGAGGGTAGAGAAACTAAGCTATGTACCTGCATACAAATATATGTATAGAATATATATGTGGAAATTTTTATTCCAAATAGCCTTCCCCCAAAATTTAACTTTTTTTGAATTAAGATTTTTAAATTATATTTTTATAATATATTTTATCCAGAGACATAGAACAAGCAGGCTCATAGTTTTGACCAGGCTAAAAGATTGGAATACCTGTTTGCTTAGCAACTTAGGGATAGGCCACTACTTCCTTCTTCCCGCTCTTTTTCATCTTCGCTCATAGGTTACCCTCATGTCCGCTGCCAGCCCTCAGCAGAAAGGAGAACAGTAGAGGTCTTCTGGCCCACCTCTCATAAATTTGATAGCATGAATACTGATTGCTTAATCATTCCAGATAACTTTGGAATCGATTTTAAAGTTACCTATATCCTCAGTATTAGAATTATGGCAAAATGAAAATAGGAGCAGTTTTATTCCTAATAATGCTTAAGTGTTAAGGAAAGATAAATATGTGTGGAATTGCTTTTTTTAAGTGGTCATATTCTCTTTGGATTTCAGCTTATCTTTAGTGAAAGTCCATAGCTCCATTGCATTTTCCTTTTTTTTTTAGTTTTTTTCCTCGAATAGGAAAAATTTATAAAATCATTATATGGAATCATTATAGAGTGACATCTTTGTCATCATTCTTCCCTCCCTCCACTATCTGCTTCTTTTTCCATTTGAATACTTTGCTCTTTCTACTGTCTTAGCATATGTTCAGTCCATTGATCCGTTTGAGGCTTAGGAGTCTCACGCTCAGCACCATCTGACATGTGGGTCTTTGCTTCAGTCAGACCAACAGTAAGCAGTTCAGACTCCTGCTCCACACAGCTATGTAGATTGTTCTGGGAGTGTTTTCCCCCTCCCACCTCAGGCGCTAAGTCTCAATATTTACTTTGATGATTGTCTTCGGAATTAAAGATTTCAGATGCTTAGTGAGAATAAAAAGACATTTTTTTAATGGCAAAAGTTCTTGAATTTTCAGACTATGACAAGAAGAGGAAGTAGTCCAGGCAGCCTCGAAATTCCCAAAGACCTCCCTGATATTCTAAACAAGCAGAGCCAAATGCGTCCTATCGATGACCCAGGTGTGCCCTCAGAATGGACTTCTCCTGCTAGTGCAGGGAGCAGTGATCTTATCAGCTCAGACAGTCATTCGGATTCTTTCAGCGCTTTCCAGTATGATGGCCGAAAATTTGACAGCAAGTATCTTTTTCTATTTGAGCAATATGGTTTTTTGTTGATTGTCTTCTGTTAGAGACTGACTCACATGTTATATATAACCATCGCCTTCCTCTCTAATGTTACTTAGACAGAGGTTCCCATATATATTGATTTCATTTGTCAGTGAAATTCCAAAGGAAATTTTAGGGAATCACTTCAAAGTTAGGATCGTTTTATGTTGCCAAACTAAAGATATTTTTAAAAACAAAAAACTGTGCTTTCATAGAACAAATGATATTTTAAGACCAAAAATATAGAAAGGAAAAAAAATTAGGGTGGGCTTGATAATAGAATAAAGGACAGTCTTGGTTCTGAGTTGGCGCTATTTCACGCGCTCATATTCGGGAACCGCTGTCTAGCCACAGTCATTGCTTCAGTGTGTGCAGTACAGTTATGTTCAGAGCTGCAGTACCCAAAACTCGTGAATAATCGCTTCATGTTAAAATGACATCAGTGGTCTTATTTGGTGCTATATTGCTGCCACATAACTTTTCTGTTATAATTCTCTTTTACACTTGAAAGTGGATGAAGGTTACCAAAATTTTAGAAAAGAAACTCAAAACCTTGGGAACCAAGTTTGTGAGGAGCTAAGAGATGCATTGGAGAATTACATGTTTCCTGCCCTTATGGATTATATACTAGTCTGATCTCAGACTGGGAATATGATTTAAAAGAAAAATTATTTTTACCATATATGTGCCATTTTTATTGTATATACCTCTACTAGAGATTATGAAATACTTGAAAAGCCGTAAGTATACAGTCGTGTGCCACGTAACAATGTTTTGGTCAATGACAGACCACATATACAACAGCAGTCCCATGAGATTAGTGCCGTATAGCCTAGGTGTGTAGTAGGCTGTCCCATCTAGGTTTGTACACTCTATGATGTTCGCACAATGACAGAATCGCCTGATGATGCATTTCTCAGAACGTATCGCTGTCTTTAAGTGATGCATGACTGTATTATCAGCCATCAGAAAACATGGCTAAGAATAGTGATGAGATATCATCTGTCTGGCTGTCTTTTATCATTATTCTTGTTAATTATAAGCTATGAGAACCTTTAAAAAATTGTTTCTAATTACAAACTTCAAAGTGTTAACATTATTTACACTTGCCTGAGTGGTATGTAAGTAGAACAGATTTAGGGGGAATGTTAATGTTTAAGCATTTTGCTGAAGTAGCTGTGTCTCTTTTGTAAGTATTTTTGTTTTGTAGTTGGGAGGTCTGTATACTAGCATTTCTTTTTTCTATAGATTTTGGCTTTGGAGCTGATACTGGGATTGTGTCCTCTGCTGATGTGGATTCAGGTTCTGCCCATCATCAGAGTGCTGAAGAGCAAGAAGTGGCCAGTCTAACCACGCTTCACATAGATTCTGAAACAAGCAGTCTTAATCAACAGGCTTTTTCTGCTGAAGTTGCAACAGTTACTGGTAAAGTTACTCAAGGGAATGTATTCCTTAAATGCATTTTTTAAGCCACCAAAGAATCTCTTGAGAATTTTATTTGATAGAATTTAAGTTTTACTTATTACTATTTAAGTATGATTTTTTTCACTCATCTTTATGTAACAATGGAGGGGAAAAAGAATTCATGTAAGAGTTTCTTGATCTGGAGTCCACATGGAGAAGCTTCAGGAGAATTCCAAATATTGTATGCAAAATTTTGAATAGGTTTGCATCAGAGCAGTTCCTACAGTGATTTTTAAATAGGTAACCAAAAAAAAGTTAATAAGCACTGCACCATACCTTTTTCATTGTCTTTCAGAGTTAGCCTAGATTTTTATAGATTTCTTTGGCAAAGTATTTATTATAGAAAAGGTAAAGCACATTGCCTAATAGAAGGCCTCATTGTCAATATACTAATATTCTGTATTTATATGATAAATTATGCTTTTCAGCAACTTTTTCTGTGTGACGTAACCCAATGAACGATAATATGACGAGCAGGGTTCAAGAAATTCAGTCGTGAAATGCAGGGTTACATTATTGCAAGATTAGTGCAGTGACCAGAGTGGCCTGCACTTGAGGGGTTGCACTGTACCATCCAGATTCATTCCAGTTCCCACTGCGGTCAGATGCCTTTTGATGGGCTTGATTGTCCATTCCAGTTTAAATAGCAGTAAGGTGGGTTTTGCATCTTGTGGAACTTCTGAGATTGGAGCAGTGATTTCTGCATGTCTGAATTAGGCACATTTCCTCAGCCAAATCCAACAGATGAAATTTGGCCAGTGGAATACTCAGTAAGCAAGAACCCACTCTCTGTTTTCATATCCTACTGCTTCCTTTTCACATCTTTCCTATCAGAGGATGGTTAAGAACTTTTGCCTGCCCCACTGCAGAATAGGGGCTGATTAGAGCACAGAAGCCAATGGGGTCAAATCCACAGTCCTGTAATTACAGAATTTAAATTACTCAGAGAGAAATACCAAAGAAAAGTCTTATGTTATAGTAAACACCTTCACTGTAGTTGTCCTTAAAAATAAATGTAGATGAAAAGATGCTCAATGTTACTGGAAATCAGGAGATGTAAATAAAAACCACAAGATACCACCACACACATCATAACACAGCTCACGTTAAAAACACTGACAATACCAAGTGTTGAAGAGGGTTAGAGCAACTGGAAATATCATGCGTTACTAATGGAATGTAAAATGGTAGGGCCATTCTGCAAAAATATGGCAGTATCTTTTAAAATTAAGCATACATTTACCATATGACCATTCCTAGGTATTTACTTCAAACAGCTGTATGTGAAAGTTCATGGCAGTATTATTCGCAATAGCTAAAACCTGAAAACAACACAAATGTCCATCAACTAGTGAATGGATAATCAAATTGTAATGTATTCATTCGCTGAACATTCATTGAAATAATAGTCAGCAATAAAAAAGAATTAAATGCCAAGCTAGCCCTAATGGCCTACTGGTTAAAGTTCGGTGTGCTCTGCTCCGTCAGCCAGGGTTTGGTTTCCAGGCACAGCACCACAGCACTCATCTGTCAGTAGCTGTGCTGTGGCAGTGGCTCATGTAGAAGAACTAGAAGGACTTACAGCTAGAATATACAACTATGTATTGGGGCTTTGGAGAGGAAAAAGAAAAAAAAGATGAAGATTGGCAGCAGATGTTAGCTCAGGGTGAATGTTTACCCGCCAAAAAAAAAAAAAAAAGAGAGAGAAAAGAGAACACACAAACTGTTAAAAAAAAGAAAAAACCAAAAAAAGCCATGGTTTCAAATCAGGTCCCTTTACCATTCCAAAATATTTCTGCAATTGCTTTGAAATAAGAAATCAATATATAAACAAATGTTTCTCAAGCATTATTTGTGTGCCCAGCACAGTGGTTTAGAAAACTCTTTTCTTGAAGAAGTGTGGAGACATTACTGAACCTTGAAAAGAGTGGATTTTCAAAGTGTAAATAATGAAATGCCTGAGAAGTTTTCTCACTGGTCTGGAGATCCACTGCATGACCCTCCCAGCCTGTGACTCAAAAGAATCTACAGGATGTGTCTCTGTCTTAATTTGGAGACCAAGTATTCTTTCAAAGGAATCAAGAGTTTCTAAAGATCATGCTTACCGGTGAACCAGAGATGTTTCCCATGCAAGCCATAGTCTAGTTTTCTTTAACCTATTAATCAGACTATTGTGTTTTCAAAAGATTACAATATGTAAAAGAAGTGTGACCACACTTTTTCTTTCTTATTTCTATTTAGTCTGTAAAATAGTTCTATAAAAAAGTTCTAAAAATAGAACTGATGTGTATAGAGAACTTGTTTTAGGCCTTTTGCCTCAATATGACTTTTGGATAATTCAATATCTAAGAATTTTTAATATGTATGTAACAAATATTTACTATTCATAGTGACTATTTCTGGAACTCTACTAGGAAGTTTTATTAGGAATTCTAATCTTTTTTTAAGGTATGCTTTTTTTTCTTTTTTTCCCCCCAAAGCCCCAGTACATAGTTGTATATCCTAGTTGTAAGTCCTTCTAGTTCCTATGTGAGGGGTGCCACCACAACATGGCTTGATGAGCAGTATGTAGGTTCATGCCCAGGATCCAAACTAGTGAACCCCAGGCTGCCAAAGCAGAATGCATGAACTTAACTACTACGCCACTGGGTCAGTCCCTAGGAATACTGATCAGTGCTGGTAGTATTAGTGCAAGGGTGTTCGTCTGAGACACTAAGCAGTTCTTAGATTGATTTCTGTTTAAAAGGCATAAAATTCAGCAAAGAGTACAACTCCTTATACTCAATATACAAACTATTCAGCACAGTATTTTCTAAAGGTGAAGTTTGCTTATGTTATCTCACTATTAACTTTAAGAATAGCTGTGTTCTATCAAAGGGATGATACTAGTCCTGAAATCTCCTTTTATTTTCTTATAGTCATTTCAGAAACTACAAAAGAAATCTACTATAGGAGATATGAACAAAAATTAAATAGCCTCTTTTCAGGGCATGAATATCACTATAACAATACTTTATTGAAAAACTTTGACAAAAAAGTCTTTCTCAGCCATTATAGATTGTTATTAATAAAATTAAAGGCATTAATGATTCTCTAATAGCTAAACAATAAAAAATTACTTAATGACTTAGTTCTTTAAAATGAATCAGATTTTTATGGGTGAAGATAACGTATGGAGCTAAGAGAAATACCAGTACTGATTCCATACTAGTCCCGTGGCAGACGTGAGATGAGACTCCTCGATATAAAATCTTGTACAATATTATGATTATTTTGACCTCTTTGGCCAATTTATAACCTGTTTTATCTTCTGATGTTTTTAGTTTGTGCTTTATTGGGGTTTTTAAGCATTACGTCATAGGTAGAGGTTATTGAATATCTTCTTCATGGTAATTTTATGAACTTCTATTTACAGGTTCAGAAAGTGCTTCTCCCATCCATTCAGCTCTGGGATCCCGGTCACAGACGCCTTCTCCCTCTACCCTGAATGCAGATCACATGGAGCAGAAGGACCTCCAGCTGGATGAGAAGCTCCACCACTCCGTTCTTCAGACACCAGATGACCTAGGCAATCTTTCCAAATTAGATATTTGTCGTTTTTCCTTCCAGGGCATTAGTGTCAGGAGATCTTAAATAAGGCATTTTAAACTTGATTATGTATTTTATATATATTGATTGTGTATTATTAAAAGTCTTTTAGACTTTTCTAAGTCTTTTGGAAATTTTTTACTATAACATTTATTCTTGCTCTTAAAGATATTTATACTCTGATTTTTGTTATTTATTTTATTATAATTGAGTACAGTCCTCACATTAGTGATTGCATTATTTTTGTATATTGTACTATCATTTATTGATATAGTGCCATTTCCTAAAACAGGAAATACATAATTTGGCTTCACAGTTCTTTATGTTGTACCTGAAGAACCCTCTGACTCACAGGAGAAAGTAGTAGCATTATTGCTTGCTTATCAAGCTTTCAGTGAAGCAGTTGACTAATGATTTTTTATTGATTTTGATTCTGTAAGTATATCAACTAAATTTAATTAGAAAGTAGGCAGTCCAAATGAAGCATTATTATTTTTAAGTAAGTGTTAAAAAGTGACTAGGAAATCTTAGAAACTGCAAGTTAAAAAAGTTGTTTTTGTTAAGTCCAACATGACATAACAGGCATCAGGATAAAAAGCCATTTTGCAAATATGCCAAAAACTTCCATCAAGGACATAGTTGATGAGATATTTACAGTAAATAATATGAAATGCCAGTTTTCATTGGTAATGCAGCACATTTATGCTCTGACTGAAGGAAGCAATTAAAGCCATGTAACTTCTGGCCTTTTTTTTTTAACATATTCATTCTCTTAATATGCAATTACCTTGCAGTTACATAGCCCTAATTTTCTGGTTTGTGGATTATTTCTGACCTTTTCCTTCCTCCTTTTGGCCTGCAATTTTTGGTTGTTTTGTTTGTTTTCAGTTTTCTCCCCAACATTTGGAAATAATTTCAAACTTCAAAAATGTTGCGAGACTGGTAAAATGAGTACCCATAAATCCTTCAGATAAATTCACCAATTGTTAATATTTTGCCACTTTATCTCTCTCAGTATCTACGTACATGCACCCACATGCGCAAAAAAAATCCTGCCGTCCCTTTGTTGTTGCTTTTGCTGAGCCGTTAAAGAGTGAATTGCACATATCAGACCCTTCACACCCAGACAGTTCAATGAGTATATCCTAAGAATAAATGTCGTTTCCTGCATAACCACAGTATAATGGCCATATTCAAGGTACTTCACATGACACATCACTACAATTTCAGTCCATAGTCAGATGTCCTCAGTTGTCCCAAATGGTATCCTTTTAGCTACCCCATGCCACCACCAACCCAATCCAGGATTTAAAGAAGGATCATATCTTGTTGTTTGCTTTGTGATCATTGAAAATTTTGTTAGCTTTACTTCAAGAAGGATAAGTTAGAGACAAATCAGTTGTCACTCTATTATGAAGGTTCTGTAGAGTAGGGAGATGTTCACAGTCATGGTTAAAACAGCAGTGTTTTTTTGCTTTCTTTCATTTTAGTGGGTTTACACCAGAAGCCTATTTTTTATTATTGTGAAAGACTATTTAGTAACGTTGTTAATAATACAATGAGTTATTGTACACTTTACATGCAAAGAGAAAAAAGTTAAACATTAAGAGTAAAGGATGTACGTATACTCAGAATGAATTTGTAAATTGTTAGTACATTGAGATATTATCAAGCAGGAAAAATCTTTGCTGACTTTCTAATGATTTTGCCTTTTCCTTTATATACATTGACTAGAATAACGGATTTTTTTTAAGCTGGAGGAGAGCTATGATACTTAGCTGAACCATCTATGTTACAGATGAGGAAGTGTAGCCTTTATTAAATAACTTGTACAACATCATGTAATTAGTGACAGAAATGAGACTAGGACCTAAGGTTACCCATATTTCTTACATATAATATTATCAATATTAATAAACAAAAATATGGAAATTTTATGTTTAAATTTTAGTAAAAATGCCATTGTGATATCCCTTTTAATGCTAGGTCTGACTTAATTAAATATAAATATATTTCTTTGGAAGTTTTAACTGTAAAGAAACAGGCTTATGAAGATATCCTACAGGATCTGCCTTCAGCCTGAGATTTTGTATTAATTTGCTGATGTAACCTGAAGTAGGTATTAGATGAAAGAGTATGTAGTTATAAACATGGTCTTTTTATATCAAATATAAATTTCTCTGTCTGGTGTCTACATCATTTCCTCCTTGGGTAAATCTAGATAGAAGCAGTAATGAATAAGTAATTATTGCCATAATAAGGAATTATGAACTGATGAGGTTCTGACCTTATCAGGTCATATGATGCATATTAACATTTCCTTTATTCACTGTTGTAGGTGTTTTAAGATTAATTTGACTCTTTTCTGTTTTTGTGACCAATGCTCTAGAAAAGTTACTGACACTAGTATATTATTTTTTTTGTAGAAATCAGTGAATTTCCATCTGAATGCTGTAGTGTGATGGCAGGGGGTACTCTCACGGGATGGCATGCTGATGTTGCTACTGTAATGTGGCGAAGAATGCTAGGCATTTTGGGAGATGTCAACGCTATCATGGATCCTGAAATACATGCTCAAGTTTTTGATTACCTCTGTGAACTTTGGCAGAATCTAGCTAAGGTAAAAAAGAAAAGAAAGGGAAAAGGAAAGAAAAATAAAGTTTTAAGAAGTAGAAAAAGCCTTAGTTAACATTGTCATGCACCACCTTACTATAACCTGGTGCCCAGCATGGTGAAGTTGCTTAACTATGATTAAATATTTAGTTAGTGGTAGAAACTGGACTTGAACTTAAATTTTAAGGTAAAACAAACTGAAAGAGAATGCTTTTCATAGGTATGTTGCATTTTATTTGAAAATTACAGATTAGAGATAACCTCGGCATTTCAACTGATAACCTGACCTCCCCTTCTCCACCAGTTTTGATTCCTCCACTGAGAATTCTTACACCTTGGCTTTTCAAGGTAAGCATACTGTATAAAATAGTAATTTAAGTTTCATTTGGTAAATAAGTATATGGTCAGTCTTAAATATTTGATGGATACTTTAGCTATTGTATAGACTTCTAGAGTACTTAGTTTTTAATTAATCATTAGGGGTTATATAGAGAGGTGAGTGGACATAAAATTATTATACAGAATGCATCATTTTTATTTAATAAAACAAAAATGAATATAGAAAATTATGTTTTTATTGTATTTAAGTAAAATATAAACCTTGAATTTGTGTCATAGAATATGCTATGTACTTTTAAAGGTCTAATTCTTTTAAATATTATTTGATATGTTTGGTGCATTTTCCTAAACGAAACAGTGTGTAGTTATTCATACCTATGTTGTGTCATTTTAATGATAACAGTAGTTTCAGTAATCCTGATATTTAGTTCATTAAAGAAATTAGGCCAACATAGAAATAAATGAAAACAAATATATTGCTTGCTATATTCAAGTATTTAATAAGCAGTTTTTATTTTTGAGTATTAAAACCAACATCTTTTAATTGTAGGCAACCATGTTGACAGATAAATATAAACAAGGTAAATTACACGCTTATAAACTTATTTGTAATACAATGAAAAGAAGACAAGATGTTTCTCCAAATAGAGATTTTCTAACACATTTCTACAATATCATGCATTGTGGATTACTTCATATTGACCAGGTAAATATATATACTTTCTAACAAGTTGCTTTCTTTATAAGTTTACCTTTGATTCTTGATTCTGTTGAACTCCTGACTTTTAAGGTCTAGAATTAAAAATACTCACTTATGTAGTGGTTTATTTACAAGTTTCTTCCATTTTATGACCTCGTTTGTTCTTGAAATGTAGTTGAAAAACAAATTATTGTAGTTAAGGGGACTGACTTGATTATTAAATGCATCTTTCCTCTAATGTTATACCAACGAGTTCACTTTTGAAGAGATTAAACCATCCTTTACTTAAATTGACAACATCTTCCTTTAATGTCCTAATGTACTTATTCTTCAGCATTTTGTAATTGTTACTTGATAGTTGGCGCTTGAGACATATGGATTTACTCATCTAGTCATGTAGCAGTCAGGTTTTTCCCACTTTAAGAATCAGCACATCACATTTTCTTACTACCATAGATTGTATTAGCATAGTGACTTGGCATTTATATTAATCACAGTCCTTACATTACATAGTCATAAATGTGACCCTAGAACACAACTACAGGGGTCTTGAGCCCGGTCATAAAACTAAAAAGTGTGGGAGGTTGCAAGTCCAAGTAACATAAACCTTTTTATCATCATGTGGTTAAATTTCACTTGTACTTCATTTAGAGAGCAGTGAGTTAATAGTAAAAGATAATATTTCTTTCTGAAAAATTAAAAAACTTTTTGCATGAGTTAGAAAAAACTACTTTACCGAGTGTTACCTTATGAACATGTTTCAAATAAAATCACACTCTTAATTATTGGAAAAAGACAGAGTTTTCTCATTTAAGATAAATTGGATTGAGTAATGCAGCTTAATACACTGCATCCTCATGGTAAATTACAAAGGCAAAGTGAGTGAATAACCAAGTTAAGATATTCCCTGAAAAATGCCTAGGTCTAGATTTCTGAGGCTAAATATCTATCATCAAAAGACTGCAATTTATCTAAAAAAAAGAGAATCTCTCCAGTTGCCACATAACGGGTCATACCACTTCAGAGATCAGAGTTATTACATGGAAGCAAATCTGTGGTGGGAGGATCTACTCTGCAATCTGGTTTCCAGCAATGGGTATATGTTAAACCTCTAAAGCAAAGAGCCTTCCGTCTTGCTTGCTAGTGCAAAAAGAATGCTGTATCGAGGTCAAACAAACACATTTTAAGTTTACTTTCCTTTGACAGAATATAATACTAAGCATGGATTATTTGGAAGAGTTAAAATTAATCTTTCCAATTAGTCAGCCATTGTATAGTAATTACCTATCTCATTATTTCGTATGTTATCTATTTTTAAGGATATTGATTAGCTGATACCCAAGGTTATATTTGTGATACTCTCTTCCTCTTTTTTCCTTATTCCTAAGGATATTGTCAATACAATCATCAAGCACTGCTCACCCCAGTTTTTTTCACTTGGTTTACCTGGTGCCACGATGCTTATTATGGATTTTATTATAGCAGCTAGTAGAGTGGCTTCTTCAGCTTTTCTCAATGTAAGTTTTTATTTCCTGTTCTTCATAATATAACAAACTGTAGTTAACCAGGACTCAATTAACAAAACAACAAAGGAAGAGCCGTTGTTGGTAAGATATAACAAGCTGATGTTCAAGAAAATTTGCGATTTAATTGGAATTGATTGTTTCTCCCACATTTAAAAAAAAAAGTAACAAATTCTGAAGTGTAAGAAAGTACTAAAATTAGTTGATGAGTTCACCCAGGAGCTATAAAAATAGATTAAATCTGATAAGCAAAAGAGAATTTAAAATTGAGGAAATCTAACAAAACAGGCAGAGGGAGGGAAGAAAATTTAAAAAGGACAATGGGCTATAGCAAAAGAGGAGAAGGAAACAGGTGAGGTAGTCCCAAAATATGCTCTAAACTCAAAGACAGCATGTGAGGATTTTTCGTATAGCTGTGGAGCAGTGAGACAGTGCCAAGTAACTCTGCATAGCTGGAACTTGTTCTTGTGTAAGTGGCAGAGGTGAACTAAAGAGGAAGGCAGTAGCTGTGTTTATAGTTTAACGAGGTTAGACTTTGTCCTAAGGAAAGAATGGGTAACCATTGAAGAATTTTAAGCAAAGAGTGACACAATCAAATTTGTATTTTAGAAAGATCACTCTGGAGCAAAAACATAAATGAGAAATAACGATTAACTGAAAGTCTACTGGAAAAAACTAAGAGTATTTGGGACAGAAAAAATAGTAATATTTGACTAACACTTTATAACTTGCAAAGCAGTTTAACATACATTATTTAATTTATAAGCTGTGAAAGATCAACAGTGAATGAGAAGGAGTTCTGTTTGGGGCATAAGAAGCTGCCTATCAGACATCCAGAGGAGATGCCAGGAGGGCCATTGCATGTACAAATCGGGAGCTCAAAGGAGATATTGGGACCGAAAATGTAAAGCTGGGAGACAATAGCTTACAGATGGTATTGAAAGCCATGAAACTAGATATAATCATGTAGAGGAAATGTGCAAATAAGAGAACAGCTGTCTTTATAGCTAGTTATTAACCGTGTTTCTCCAGTTCCCTGAGAACAGTGATTGGTCTTACTCCTCTTGCTATCTCCAGGGCTCCTCTCCAGCACTGCATCATGGTTATGGGTGTTTATTAATTGAATGTGTAGGTATTTATTCAGCGCCTAGTCTGTGTTCAACATGGTGCTAATAAGCCCTTTTGTGGTTATTAAACTTCTGTTTCCCATTGTGTACCAAGTGTTCCTTTGGGTGGAATATAGGGTGATATAGAATAAATGAGATATACGTTGTGCTCAAGGAGCATATAGTGTGCTGTTGGGAAGATAGGAAAGTATATTAACAACTAGAGAAGGTACCAGTAGGAGAAGCTTAGCATAGTAGCTAAAAGGTGGAATCTAGAGCCAGTCCGTCTGCTTTCAGATTCCAGCTCTGTCACTTACTAACCATGGGACGTTATGCAAGATACTTAATTTCTCTGTGTCTCAGTTTCTTCACTGATAAAATGGAGATAACCTTTCTCATAGGGTTATTTTATAAGGATTAAATTACTTAATCTTTGTAACATAGTTGGAACATTACGTGACGCATTGTATGTACAATATGAGAGTTTGTTAAATAAGATAAAATTATTTAGTAATTCAGACAAAGGAGAGATCTTATTTGTTTAGGGATATCACGGAGTTTTCTTGAAAAACATGTTTGAATAGATCCTTGAAAGATTAGTAGTATTTTGTTTGTTTTGTTGAGAAAGATTTGCTCTGAGCTAACATCGGTGCCAGTCCTCCTCTATTTCATATGTGGGTTACTGCCACAGCATGGCTGACAAGTGGTGTAGGTCTGTGCCCGGGAACCAAACTCATGAACCTGGGCCAATGAAGCAGAGTGTGCTGAACTTAACCACCATGCCACAGGGCTGGCCCCAAGATTAGTTGTATTTTTGTAAGTGAAAATGACAATGAGGGAAAGTATTCCAGGCAGAGGGAAATAGGCATGAGTAAGCTGTGTTCAAGAAAAGAGAAATAACCCATTTTGTTTAGAAGATAGTTAGGGGTAGGCCATGTGGCCGAGTGGTTAAGTTCGCATGCTCTGCTTCGGCAGCCCAGGGTTTCACCAGTTCGGATCCTGGGCGCAGACATGGCACGACTCATTAGGCCAGACTGTGGCACTGTCCCACATGCCACAACTAGAAGGACCCACAACTAGAATATACAACTATGTAGTGGGGGGATTTGGGGAGAAAAAGCAGGGGGAAAAAAAGATAATCTGACTAGAGAGTAGTGGACAGAAAGAGCAGAAAAGTACTTTAGACCCCAGCTACCCAAAGTGTGGTCTGCACACCAGAAACAGAGTCTCAGACCCCATCCAAGACCTACTGAAACAGTGTGTATATTTTATCTATATCCCAAATGAAATGATTAGTATGGACATTAAAGATTGAAAAGCACTCCTTTAGACTACATCTTAGAAGCTCTCAAACGCCAGGAATCGGATTATAATGCTATATTAGATAAACAGTTAACTTTTTTAAAGTAGGGAGAGAGATGATTAAATCTGTGCTTTGGGAATATCAAATAAATTTATTAATCTAGGCATAGATTAAATGGAAGACGAACTAAAGATGGTAAACAAGTTACAAGGCTATTATAGTATTATCAGTGTACACATTATCAATCTCTTGGATAATGGCAAAAGTTGATAGAACTCCTGAGGAGAATGAGACATAAACCAATGTCACTTTTTTGTCAATTTACTATGAACACTATTACTATTCAGTGGGACAATTATTTCAGATGATTGCAGCACATTTCCTGCAGCCTTTCTCAAGGTTCTACAGGAGAATTAAGCCCTAATGTCCTTAGGCATCCATTTTATGTGACTAAGTTTCCTTCCTGTGCATCTTGAAGGATACTAGTTATATAACATCCTTGGGAAAATTTGAAAATAATCATTTTCTGTTTTCTATTCTTCATATGAGGAACACCTGTTGCGAAAGGCTGCGTAGGAAACCAAATCATCGCAGGAATCAGACCTGACACCCACATCTCCCCTGTAAGGTCAAGGGCAGTCTTTTCCTCTGGATGATGTTGGAGATACGCAGTCTAAATCTTTCTCCTTGGATTCCCATTTTAGGTCCCATACATATTATCATCTTCCTCCTGTTAATGCACCCCCCACCCCTGGCAGATTACAAAACAATTGATTAGACTTGCCTTTCTTAATTGCAATCACCTTCCAGGTCTGCTCCCATTATATCCACATAGCTGAACATTCTCAGTTACCTTATCCACCTTTAAAGAAAAACCTTTAGCTACTCTCTTTCATTAAATGTTGGATTTTTATCGTTTCATTTTTATAGGATAACTTATTTTAATTTGGGATGGTGGCTGCGAGCTTACCCTGCCCTGTTATGCTGCTGCCTTGTGTCTGTAAATCTAGATTATATTTTGAATACAGAGACGAGTTGTTTTGTTGGAAATCATAGTAGAGTACCACTCCATTGTCTCTATTATAACATTTATTAACATAAGGAAATCCTTTTGGAGATAGATAGGTTCTTGTTTTATGTGAAGAGAAGTATTATATTTCTAATATATTTGTTTTAACATTTTTGTTAGGTATTATTAAGCATATAAATTAATGTGTAGATATTTTAGTAAATAAAGCAGTATATTAGTAGGTGGGTGTTGGTGTTTGGTGGGCATGCAAGAAGATAGAAGAAAAAGAAATGTTCAGTGCTGGTACTTTAGAAATGGCTTAATACAATTAAGGAAAAAAGATGAAAAGTTGCCTTCATCTGCAGTTCAAGGATAAATTCTAATTTTGTTTTTTGTAGGTAGTGTAGGCAGTGCTTTTCTCATGTGCACGTATCATAAAAACCATCCAGGCTAGTGCCTATTTCTTGAAGATATAGTTAGCATTTTCACCCTTAGTTACTTTATTCATTCTTAGTAACAAATATAATCTGGTGAAATTGAGTCATCTGCTTCTTAGAACAATATGTGTAAGTTGCCTTTAAAATGAAAGTATTTATATTTTTCCTCAAAATTAGGGTAATTTTATGCTCTTAGGTAAGCTATAATTTTGTTTGCAGTCTCATTAATTGTGGCTTATTTCTGCTTATTAGCTGCTCTTAAGGAAAGCTCTGCTATTTGTTCATTGAATTTATTGAGAATAACAGTAGTTTGCGTGGAAAGTATAGGTGAGAACTTGAATCTTTTTGTGTTTCCCCCTTTATTTTTGAATTTTGTGTTGCACTGACTTCCCTGTGTAATATGGTTAGGTAATAAAGCAGTTTTTCTAATAATTTGAGGACCTAATCAAGTACATCCTAAAGATTTTTTAAATCTGGTACACAGGCACCAAGAGTGGAAGCACAAGTTCTCCTGGGCTCCTTGGTTTGCTTTCCCAACTTATATTGTGAACTGCCTGCTCTCCACCCCAACATTCCTGATATTGCTGTGTCTCAATTTACAGATGTTAAGGTAAGAAATCAGATGCTAATTTTTAGCATTTAAATAATTTTGTAATCGTAATATATATTCGATAAAATTTCATTCTTTCTTTTCCTTTAGAAATCCACACAGTCGTTAACGTAAACCAGCGATACCCTTTAGACACAGAGGCTGGAATGTCCATTAGAAGCATAGCCCATTTTGTGTTTGTAACTGCTTTGGAAACGTTTTCTCGTTGTTGAACTCACTCACATGTCAATCTCAACAGGATTCATTCATTCACTGACATTTATTGAAACATCCTATGAGCCAAGATACGATGCTGCTAACATAAAGCTTCCAGGATTGAGATGGCACTAAACCTGCATCTTTGACTCTCTCCCCCTCCAAGTTTCCCAGTGTGCTGAATCAAACAATGTAATGGAATAGTCTTTTCTGCTGTAGGAAACTATGGAATTGGGGCAGGGATCCCATGTGTCTGAAGCATTAACAGGCTTGAACAGGAGATGGTGCAAAAGTAAACAGTGACTCTACAATTGCTGGTGGAACTTACCCCAGATATTAAACCTTAAAAAAATAGATGATAGTGTCTAATTAGAAGCAGACTTCCAACTGTTGCTTTTAATTGTTGCTTATAAGCCTTTTTAAAAATTTCAAGTAAAAAATTAGTGACAAGTTGTTTTGTGCCTCTGTAGAGGTCTGCCTCTGTTTGAAGAGGAAGGTGGGACATGATAAGCATTCTTAAGTAGTCTGGACTCAGTAATTCTTAGACCAAGGTGAAGGGAAGTGGTGTGGTCAGGTCTTCTAGTTAGGATAAAGGCGCTTAGTGCTCTGGACCCAGCAGTGTGCTGGTAGTGAATAATTCCATCGCTAAGCCAAGACCTGTCTCTAACTGAATTTCCATGTATGATAAATTCCCAAGGGTGTAACAGTCCTGAGAAGTTGTGCCTATTAGAGTATTTGCCAGATGATCTCTGTGTTTGACCTGCGTTGGTCCCTAGAGTTAGAAGGGAAGAGAGAATAAAGAAGGGAAGAGCAAAGGGCATCACAGCTCCTCAGAAGTCAGGCTGATGATTTTTTTAAAACTTGTGCTTTCTCTGAAGGAAGTTTTTTAATCCAGTTTTCATCAGGAGTGTTGCGTATACTTTCCATGCCACCTGTATTTCTCTTTGCAACATTTATCACGCTTATAATTACTCGTTCAGTGTCGAATTTACACTTTAATCAAATTAATACCACAAAACCTTATTTACTGCTATATCCTCAGAGCTTAACATGCTGTTTGGCATGTGGTATATACTCAGAAAACATTTTTTAAACAAGTGAACTTCGCTTGTACATGACATTGTATGGGTCAGTGCAAATTTACAATGACACTTCATAAAGCTATACAAATGGACTCTTGGTCTTCATGGATTTCATACTTTTGGCTTCTATTTTCAGAAGATCCTGAAGGTCAAGGATGGAGAATAGTTTTAATTTGCCGAGGCAGTTTTGGGTAACCTAGCCTCCTACATACAATCTGCATTTCAGACTGGCCTTGTTCTCTGCTGGCCATTGTGTAGGCTGAAGTGATTTAAAAAACAAAACAGCACTTTTTTTGTGGAGGGGAGAAGTGTCCAAAATAAGAGCTAATTCTAATAGCAATGAAGAAAGGAAAAAGCCTAACAAAATGGTGATTACTCTTAAAAAAATGAAGATTTAAGGGGAAAGTTGCATACCATAGTGGTCACCTTTAATTTTCACATTTTCATTGAAACCAGCTCCCGATGTACTCTAAACCACAGCCAGATAGCCACATGGAAACTACTGTGCCATTTTTCAGTTCTATGCTTTTGCAAATCCATTTCTTTCTGCCTGAAGCATCATTATATAGACCTGTTCTCCTCTTCTTGCCTCTCTTAATCACCCCAAACACACATAATCATAGTCCTTGACCTTGATCAGTGGTCAAAATCCTGTTTACCTACGACCTCTTTGTGAAGTCTTCTATGACTTTCCCAAGTTGAGCTATTTGTTCACATTGATCCTTGTACACATGACCTTGGGTTTTAACTGTTGACAAATCTGCCTCCCTCCCTAAACTTCTTAAGGGTAGATACTATGTCCTAACCATCTATTTATTTCCAGCACTTAAGATAGGGCCTATTACGTAGAAATTTCTTCAGCTTAAACAGCAGCTGTCTTCCATGTGCTATTAACTGCCGGCCATTGGGCTAGATGCTAAGTTTACAAAGTAGAAAGTTACTCCTCTCAAGGAGCTTACAGTCTTTTAAGCTGATAAATGCTTATGAATGATGTTTTAAAAAGGAATGAACAGGGGCCGGCCTGGTGGTGCAGCGGTTAAGTGCGCATGTTCCGCTTTGGCGGCCTGGGGTTCGCTGGTTCGGATCCTGGGTGCGGACATTGCTGTGGTAGATGTCCCACATATAAAGTAGAGGAAGATGGGCACGGATGTTACCTCAGGGCCAGTCTTCCTCAGCAAAAAGAGGAGGATTGGCAGCAGTTAGCTCAGTGCTAATCTTCTTCAGGAAAAAAAAAATATTAAAAAGGAATGAACAGATTCTTAATCATCAAACTTAGTGGCATTCTTGTTCTCCTCTCCTTAGCCACTCTAGTATTTGACCCTGTTGATGTCGCTGTCCTTCCTAAATCTCTTCAACTTTGACTTACGTTCCACAGATCTATCTTGATTTACTTCTTGCCTAAGTATTCTATCCAAGACTCCTTAATAGACTAGTTTTCTTTTCTCTTTCCACTAAACACAAACTCAGTACAAGAGCCTCTCTTTGGATAGTTACTTTCTCTTTACTCTCCCTCTTAAGTTTTTATTCAGTTACATAATTTTAACTATTATCTAGCACTTCTCCCCAAACTTTCACGTTATCATGCTTTACAAATTATCAAAGAAGAGGAGGCTTGCTTTTAAATGATATTTCTCACATTTGAAAATATGTTCATACCTTGGAGATAATCAAATCTGCTTTGATTATCTTATAGTGAGCTTTTTATTACTCTTCTAATCAGAAAAAATTACTTTTTAACATATACATTTGGTTATAAATTTCAGAAATGGTTTGTCTTAGTCTGTGTGGGCTGCTATAACAAAATGCTGCAGACTGGGTAGCTTATAAACAACAGAAATTTAATTCTCACAGTTCTGGAGGCTGAGGGGTCCAAGATCCAGGCTCCAGCACACTTGTATTCTGGTGAGGGCCTTCTTCCTGGTCCACAGCCAACGCCTTCTCACTGTGTCCTCACAGAGTCCTTCACAGGAAGGAGCTCGTTGGGCATCTCTTTTACAAGAGCATTAATCCATTTCACAAAGGCTCCAACCTCATGACCTAACCACCGCTTAATACCGTCACCTTTTGGGGGTTAGGATTTCAACACATGAATTTTAGGGGGACACAAACATTCAGATCATACTATTGTTTTATTGATTTAGCTAATTTTATGAATTATATTGGACTCTGTAAGTATGTACATGAGAAAAAGGACTGTTTTATTTCACTATTGTATACCTAGCACCTGGCACAGTGCCTGGGCCCATAGTGGCCATTTAATAAACATGTGTTGAATGATTCACTATTGTATACCTAGCACCTGGCACAGTGCCTGGGCCCATAGTGGCCATTTAATAAACATGTGTTGAATGAAATCTTAGTCATTGCTACTAACTATTTTCCCCTTATTTTAGGAACTTATAATCAAAACTGTATTAAGTTCCGCAAGAGATGAGCCCTCTGGTCCTGCACGGTAGGTCAGATGCTCTTAAGACGTGGTACAACTGTTCTGTGTTTGGAATCTTATTTTAGAAGTTGATTGAATTATTTAGCAGTCCAGATTGTTTTAGATACACAAAAGCTATTCTGAAGTAGAAATTTAAATTATTTGGATGATTAAATACCTTTTTTTCATGTTTTCAATACAAACCTTCTTTCATTAAAAAAATAAAATCCTGGGGCTGGCCCCGTGGCCGAGTGGTTAAGTTCTCGCACTCCGCTGCAGGAAGCCCAGTGTTTCGTTGGTTTGAATCCTGGGCACGGACATGGCACTGCTCATCAAACCATGCTGAGGCAGCGTCCCACATGCCACAACTAGAAGGACCCACAACGAAGAATATACAACTATGTACCGGGGGGCTTCGGGGAGAAAAAGGAAAAAAATAAAATCTTTAAGAATAAATAAATAAATAAATAAAATCCTAGTCATTTTTTTCAGTATAGTCACTCTCTGTATCTAAAACGATTTATCTTAGTTTAAGTACATTTTGCTTTCCCTTCAGGTTCTGTTTGTCACTGTCTCTTATGCGATACCTTGAAGTGCAGTAGTAATTACCCAATGAATGTTTGTTAAATTGAATTGAAATGAAATATTTTTATTGTAGAAAGTAATATATCTAAGAAAATAGTATATATTAATATTTATGAATATTTGATCAGGATATTTTTTTAAAAATAGATTATAAGTAATAAGATTTTAGAATGTTTTCCTTTTTAAATGTCTTATTAAAAAGTGAAAACTGTGGCATTTTTGCTGCTTGACTAAACCTTTCCCAAAAAGGTTGAAATTTAAATCAGCAGGTTGCCACTAGCACACCATGTTTCTTCTTTTCCGTTGAATATCATTAATTTATATTTTATATTTCTTGACGCTAATTCTAGTAGTATGTCATTAGCCTCAACAGAAGTCTGTGTCACTACTCCTCTGACCTACATCTGTGCAAAGCTACCTCTTTTCTAATAATCTACACAGTTTATCACCCAAGGTTCATAAAAGTGTACAGATCACGGCTTTGACCATTTGGATTCTAATTCTAACTTAAACCTCTTATTTTTGCAGGAGCTAAAAATCATGTAAAATGAGCAGTTTGCTTAAATGAGACATAGCTCCAGCTTTTTAATTCCATTGCATATTTTTCTCATTTAATATCCAAGTTAACTAAAAAGAAATCTCTTTGAGTAAATTCTTCTTTTACATTAATTCCATTTTAATACTAAACAACTACTCCAGAAAACAACATTATCTTTTCCATTATTCCATATTTTCATTTCTGGTAGTTTTTAGCCCCAAGTTTGATGATTTTCAATATTATTTCTCTAGCATTTTCTGTGTTAATAATGATAACCTTTAATTTTACAAGGATTTTCCCATAATATTGTTTCATTTAGTCCTCCGCACAATTCTAAGAAATTATTGGAATCATTATTATTGTTCCAATTTTGGTAGGAAAGAACTGATGGCTTAGACCGCTAACATTTATTAAGCCGTTTCTGTCTGCAAGGCACTGTTCTAAACACTTTTATTACCTCATTTAATCTTTGCAGCCACTCCAGGATATAGGTACAATTTTTATCCTCCCTTTTATAGATGGGAGCCCAGAGAATTTAAATAATCTCTTCTATCACCCAGACATGGCAGAGCCACGATTAAAGCCCTGGCAGTTTGTCTTCAGAGCCTTGTTAGATGTATAGGTAAGAAGTGGCAAAACAAGATTTGAACCTAGAGCTTCAGATTCTAGATCTTTTGCTGTTTTTTTTTTTTCTTTCAACTACATTGCCTCTCAGTGAAAGAATATTGAAGCCTAAAACATATCTACCCAGAAGTAGCCTTGGGAATCGTTAACACAATGGCTTGTATTGAGAGTATAGGAAAATTGCAGAAGTTGAACATAAGCATTTTCTAAACTTGTTTTCGTATAACTTTCAGGAATGTGAGGTCTTAGAAGCTTATACCTGAAAATCTGACCAGGAGCAGAGAGTTGAGCCATACTGGAAAAAATCTAGATTATTTTGACATCTTGAGGAATGTAGGCAACTGTACACACAAACAAAACAAACTGGTCTCACTCCTCTGTTACCAAACAAGTGCCTTAAGTTAGCTGCATCCACGGACAGCTCTGTTTCCCTTCAGAGTTTCTTGTTACTCTAGGGATTACAGCTCTTTTCACTGTGAAACCTGAAACTTGGTTATTTTGATCTGTAAATGTCACCTAAGATTTAGGATAGACAACAGTAGGGAAGAAATAAAGCAGTAGACTTTGCTTAGAAGACTTTCTGAGTTTTGACAGTAAACTATTTAGTAGCTTTAATGCTGTGATAGACTGAAAGAAGGGACGTAAGAACTTCTGATCTACTGTGTTCGGAAAGGAAAATAGTTCTGCCTTGAATTGTTCTCAAATTTAGCATTCTACTGAATTTAATTTAAGAATATCAATATTGGGGCCAGCCTGGTGGTGTAGTGGTTAAGTCTGCACACTACGCTTTGGTGGGCCGGGGTTTGCAGATTCAGATCCCAGGTGCAGACGTACACACCACTCATCAAGCCATGCTGTGGCAGCATCTCACATAAAATAGAGGAAGATTGGCACAGATGTTAGCTCAGTGACAGTCTTCCTCACACACACACAAAAAACGAATATCAGTATCAGGACATGCCAGGTATACCAGGAGACTATAGGAGTTGACTCTTTTTATACTTAGTGAGAACCATCATGTGCTTCATCAGACGCTTATACTTGAACACAGTAATAGAAATTCCTACTAATTCTGATCAGCTGAAGTAGGGAATTGAAGTTTCACAAGACATTAGGGAACAGAGCAAAATTTCCACAAGTTCTGTTTCTGTTGGAATCCCCTAATAAAATGTAGAAATTTTGTTTGTGTTGCTAATTTGTTTTAAAAAGAATTTGTATGTTAAATGTAAAAGATACGAAAAAAATATTTGACTTATCTCAGCAGCTTCATGTTTTTGCTTAGGTTTACCTTGCTATCAGTCAATAAAATTACACACTTTCCTTTTCGAAAGCAGATTGCATATTTGTTTGGGAAGCTTTATGATAATATCAGTTTATTACTATAGGTTTGGTAGAAAGATCTTGTGTTATCACACCTATGATCTTGGTAGTAAATTATAATTGAAAATTTGGCTTAGAGTTTCGGGGATGTGCTTTCCTCCTGCTTTCTCTTTCTAAGAAGAGCTAAAGAACAGAGTAACAGAAAGAGCTAAAGAACAGAGTAACAAATTGATTAACTCTTAAACAGCGCATGTTGGTTCTGTATTGGATGGTTATGGGTGTTTTGGTTGAGGTGGTGGTTTCATTTCACGACTCATCCACTTTTATTGTATCATTGTTTTGGTTGCCTTTTTTGCAGATGTGTAGCACTTTGCAGTTTAGGAATTTGGATTTGTGAAGAACTAGTCCATGAGTCTCATCATCCTCAAATTAAGGAAGCTCTGAATGTAATTTGTGTTTCCTTAAAGGTAAAAAAAAACTAATTTAGTGGAAAATATTAAGATAATATAGAATGCATGATTATTTTTCTCCGAATGTTAATTATATCTATGCCCTTACTGAATAAAACAATAAATGTTTTCATTAATTAATTATTACATTATTTCCTTGTTCCTGACTTTTTCCTTAAGAGTGGTCCTACTCTTGAATTTGGGGTATCTTAGTGATGACCTATTTTTATCTCAACTTTTTATTTATTTGGCTTTGTCCCTAGGATACATATTTCCAAACCAGTCATTTAACAACATATGTGGGCTTGTTTGTTTTACCTTAATTCCTGTTTTTGTAACCTACTCTTTGATCTTTATTACTTCTTGAATTCTTGAGCTGTTCAACTTTTTGGTTTTATCATTCAAGTTAAATTCCCTCTTTCTGACCAGAATAAGATTTGCTCAGAAATAATAACCTAATTGTTTGGAGAGTCTGAGAGAATAGATGGATATTTTTTGTTTGCAAAAGGATGCATGATATCATTTTTGTCTTAAGACTTGTAATACAATATCTCTATAGGATTCTAAACATACAAAGTACAAATACTAACTATTTGGTGGTATTTTTGAGTTTGTACTATGTTTGAGGCACTTTGCAAAGCAGAGTGAGGGATACTAGAATGAAAAAATATTATAAATACTAGATTCAAGAGATAAATAATATGATGGCTGAAAAAGATTAAAATAAGAGTAATAAAATATAAAAAGCTGAGAGAACCAGATGAGTGGTACATACAAACTGCTGACTGAGTTCAGAGGAAGCAGAGATCACTTCGACTTAGGTGTCCGAGAAGACTTTGGAAAGAGGAGATGTTTGGTCAGGGTACGAAAAGTAGGTGAGATTTGGTCACAGAGAGAGAAGCATAAGAAGTTGGACGTTATGCCATGGGAGAGTCGTCCAACAGTTTTAAGCATAGAGAACGTCAGTATCAGAACAGTTCTTTAGAAGATTAATTTGGAAGTATTGTGTAGAGTAGATTGGAATACGGAAAAGATTGATAACCAGATTAGCAGTTTAGAGGCCATTGCAGAAATCCAGGTAAGAGAAAATGGAATAAAACTTTAATGAAGACAGTCATACATTACAAAGAAAAAATAAAGTTAATTGTATCTTTGGAATGTGTCGTGATTTTATTTTGCAGCTGTATGTTTATCTTCTTAATAGTATTTCAATAAACACATTATAAATATAGAATAAAAAAAGAAACATGAAATTTAAAATTTTTCAGCAATTAATGCATTGATGAATAATAGTTCAAGAAGAAATGTTTTATAACAGTGGTTTTCTTTTTTTCTTTTTTTCGGTTATTATTACAGTTTACTAATAAAACAGTGGCCCATGTAGCTTGTAACATGCTTCACATGCTGGTTCATTATGTACCTAGACTTCAGATTTACCAACCTGATTCTCCCTTGAAAATTATTCAAGTGAGTATTTTCTCATTTATTTCTTATTATGACCTTGTTAAAGATCCTTACATTTGGATACCTTGAAATATAAGACTATTTAATAGTTTTCTTTAAATTTTATATAGCTAAATAATGGCAACCCAGGATGCTTTTTTGAGGTATCAGAGTTCATGACAGTCCCTTTGTATTTTTTGTGTTGTTGGTTTTAAATGCTACGTGCAAATTTGTGATTGCGATTGTCTTTATAAATGTATATTCGACTTCATTCCCTCTCTTACATAAGAAAACATTTTATCCCTTCATTTACCAAAATCAGGACATTATTTTGATTCATTCCTTTCCTTTCCTCTTGAGCCCATCATTTATGAAGTTCTTATTCTGTGCCTCCTACAACACCTGACACATTCCAGGCCTTCGTTATTCTTTCTTTGTCGTAGCCTTCTAGCTGGTCTCCTGGCTTCGTATGTCTTCCACTCCAAGTTATCGCTCACATTCACATGACTTTTATGTCACTAACCCCAAAAACCAAACAAAACAAAATCTCTGAGTGATTTTCCTTTGCTTATAAAATAAGACCCAAATTCTTTAGCTGGGAATTTGAGGCCTCCAGATGAAGACCCAACCCATCTTTTCAGAATCCTGTACAGATTCCTTTGAAATACCCTATAGTCCAGGCGCCCAAGTCAGCTTACTCTCCCCTAAACATACCCCTCACTCTCTTCTTCTTGCCTAAAATGCTGTATTTCTCCTCTCTACCCTCTCATCTTTCAGTGATTGGTTTAAATACCATCTCCTCAAAAAATAAGAATCCTTACCTCTCCAACAAGAATTTATCTTTTGTGTCTTCATGTTCTTATAACATTTTTAGGAAAGACGATAATTAATATTTATTGGGCACCTACTATGTACCAGTCATATTTTCATTATATCTTGTTTAATTCTAAATCTTTTGAGGTGGACTATTATCCCCACTTCCCGCCTTTATTTAAGATGAGAGAACTGAGGATACAGTATCTATATAAAGTCACAATCCAATGGAGCAGAAACAGAGTTCAAACCCAAGTCTATAAGATTTCAGGTCCAGGCTTTTCTCACTTAACCGTGTTGCCAGCCTCTCTTTATGGCACAAGATATGTTTGTCTACAAATTCTAAACTCCTTTAAGACACGCCGGGTTTCTTTTTCCTTTATTGTTTTTTATGCCTAGGGTGACTTTCAGGTAGACTCTGTTCACTAAATATCTGTTGAGTTGAATATAGTATTATGGTTAAGAGGTTGGGTTTGAGGATTAGACACACCTGGTTTAATTGCCCTTGACTCTGCCACTTACTTACTTTGTAGCTATGAACCGGTTCTTTAGCCCTCTGAACTCCAATTTTCTTACCTTTACGTTTGGGATAAAAATATCTATCTCAGGGGCTGGCCCCGTGGCCGAGTGGTTAAGTTCGCGCGCTCCGCTGCAGGCGGCCCAGTGTTTCGTTAGTTCGAATCCTGGGCGCGGACATGGCACTGCTCATCAGACTACGCTGAGGCAGCATCCCACATGCCACAACTAGAAGAACCCACAACGAAGAATACACAACTATGTACTGGGGGGCTTTGGGGAGGAAAAGGAAAAAATAAAATCTTAAAAAAAAAAAAAAAAATATCTACCTCACAGAGTTGCTCTGAAGACTAAATGAGAAAATACATGTAAAGCATTTAGTACTTTTTGCCATAAAAATGATGAGACATAAATCTTAATAAATATTGACTGCAGCTTTTATCATTATCATGTGGGCCATGATAACTGGATGTAAATGTGATGAATGTGCATATGTATGTCAGTCAGTATTAAAACATTTGAAATTTTACCCTTTAAGATTGATTATTCTGTCTGAAAATCAAGGTTGTTCTTTAAGTAGGCAGATTTTTTTTTTCATGTGAAAGCCTCCAAATTCTTTCCCTTATTTTATTCATCAATTTATATATTATTAATACTTAAGTACTTCTCTAGTGTGCAAAGTTTTTGCAGATTGCTTCACTATGCATCATAGTGGCCAATCGCTACAGATACACATGAAGAGTTATAATACTCCACCTCTACTTGAATGAAGAAATGAAATCTGAAAACAGTGGAGCATATTTCACTAATGGTTACCTATTTGCCTAGTTGGGAACAGAAGCGCAGTTCTGTTACTATTATTAAGCGGGTGCGTCTATATACTAGATTCTACTAGTGAGTAAAGCTTTATACTGTATAAAGTATATTTAGAGGAATTTTTCCTCTAAATTTGATGCATTGAATAATAATTTATAAAAATATAATAACATACAAGAAAATAACTGTAAATGTACCCCCATACATTTATAACATACACATAAAAAAATTGAATGAGATCAACAGATTGCCAGGGTAAGTTATAATACTGTATATGAATATTCTACCTTCACTTAATAATGTCTTTTTATTATTTTATATTTTCTGTATCAAATTTATTCATGTACTCATTGTAAAATATATGTAAATTTTAAAAGCCACATTATAAAATGCTTTTTTTTAAAAAGCATATGTTTACATATATACAGAGAAACATCTGGAAAGACAGGGGAATAGATTTCTTTGTATTTTTAAATTTTTTTTTTCCTGATTTTTTTCTCCCCAAATCCCCCCAGTGCATAGTTGTATATTTTAGTTGTGGGTCCTTCTAGTTGTGTCATGTGGGATGCTGCCTCAACATGGCCTAATGAGCAGTGCCATGTCTGTGCCTAGGATCTGAACCCTGGACTGTCAAAGCAGAGCACACGAACTTAACCACTCGGCCACGGGGCCGGCCCGTAGATTTCTTTATTTTTCACCCCAACTTTATTGAGGAATAATTGGCAGATATAATTATATATATTTAAAATGTACACCATGATGATTGGATATTGTGGAATGATTACCAAGATCAAGATAACTAACCCATCCATTACCTCACATAGTTAACTCGTTTTTTTTTGTGGGGAGAATGCTTAAGATCTACTCTTAGCAACTTTCTATGAAATCTATTTCTGTGAAATCAGGTTTTTTTTTTTTATAGACCACATATAAATGATACTGTACAGTATTTGCCTTTCTCTGTCTGGCTTATTTCAGTTAGCATAAAGCTCTCCGGGTTCATCCATGTTGTCACAAATGGCAGGATTTCCTTCTTTTTTATGGTTAATAATATTCCATTGTGTATGTATGTGTGCGTGTGTGTGTGTGTCTGTGTGTGTGTATGTATCACATTTTCTTTATCCATTTGTCTGTCAAAGGTCGTTTAGGTTGTTTTCATATCTTGGCTACTGTGAATAATGCTGCAATGAACATGAGTATGCAGGTATCTCTTTGAGATAGAAATTTCATTCCCTTTGGGTATATACACAGGAGTGGGATTGCTAGATCATATGGTAGTTCTAGTTTTAATTTTTTGAGGATTTGCCATATTGTTTTCTGTAATGGTTATACCAGTTTACATTCCCACCAATAGTGCACAAGGGTTCCCTTTTCTCCACATCCTTGCCAACATCTATCATCATTTGTCTTTTTGAAAATAGCCATCCTAACAGATGTGAGGTGATATCTCATTATGGTTTTGATTTGAATTTCCCTCATGATTAATGATGTTGATCATCTTTTCATATATCTTTTAATCATTTGAATATCTTCTTTGGAAAGCTGTCTCTCCAGGTCCTTTGGCCATTTTTTAATTGGATTATTTGCTTTTTTGCTGTTGAGTTGTATGCGTTCTTTATACATTTTTGGATATTAATCCCTTATCCAGATACATGGTTTGCAAACATTTTCTCCATTCCATTCGTTGCCTTTTCAATTTATTGTTTCCTTTGCGGTGCAGAAGTTCTTTAGTTTGATGTAGTCCCACTTGTTTATTTTAGCTTTTGTTTCCTGTGCTTTTGGTGTCTTATCCAAGAAACCACTGCCAAGACCAGTTTCAAGAATCATATTCCCTATGTTTTCTTCTGGGAGTTTCATGCTTTCAGGTCTTAGATTTAAGTCTTTAATCCATTTCGAGTTAATTCTTGTGAGTGGTGTCAGATAGGGGTCCAGTTTCATTCTTTTGTATGTGGATATCCAGTTTTCCCAACACCTTTTATTGAAGAGACTGTCTTTTCCCAATTGTGTGTTCTTAGTGCCCTTGTCAAAGATTAGTTGATGATAAATGCATAAGTTTATGTCTCAGCTCTCTATCTTGATCCACTGGTCTATGTTCCTGGTTTTATGTGAGTACCTTACGGTCAGTGCCATGTTTTGATTACTATAGCTTTATAGTAGAGTTTGAAATCAGGAAGTGTGATGCCTCCAACTTTGTTCTTCTTTCTCAAGATTGGCTCTTTGGGTTTTTTTGTGGTTTCATACAAATTTTAGGATAGTTTTTCCTATCTATTTTTATATTCTAATGCCATTGGAATTTTGATAGGGATTATGTTGAATCTGTAGATTGTTGTGGGTAGTATGAACAATTGAATAATATTCTTCCAATCTGTAATATGGAATATTTTTCCATTTATTTGTGTCTTCTTCAATGTCATTCATCAATGTTTTATAGTTTTCAGTGTACAAGTCTTTAACCTCCTTGGTTAAATTTATTCCTAAGTATTTTATTGATTTTAGTGCTGTTGTAAATGGGATATGTTTCTTAATTCCTCTTTCCGATAGTTTGTTGTTAGTGTATGGAAACACAACTGATTTTTGTATATAGATTTTGTATCCTGCAACTTCACCAAATTCGTTTATTAGTTCTGTTTTTTGGTGGAAAGTTTTGAGTTTCCTATATATAGGATCATGTTGTCTTCAAACAAGTAATTTTACTTCTTCCTTTCAGATTTGGATGCCTTTTCTTTCTTTTTCTTCCCTAATTACTGTGGTAGGACTTCCAGTACTATGTTGAATAGAAATGGCAATTGTGGGCATCCTTGTCTTGTTCCTGACCTTAGAGGAAAGGCTGTTAACTTTTCACTATTGAGTATGTTGTTAGCTGTGTACTTGTCATGTATGGCCTTAATTACGTTGAGGTACATTTCTTCTATACCTAATTCACTGAGCAGAGTAGATTTCTATTGAGTGATAGAATTGCATTTGGTTTTTATAAATCCTTTTGCTTCTCTATATCTTCTAATTTTTCTATTAGAACATATATTATCTTTGTGTTTATAGATATTGATTCATGAACTGAACTCATAAGAAATCCATTTCATAGTTAACAGAGCATATACAATTTTGGTTCTGTACATAAGGATTGTAAATGATTGATACTTAAGTGTACTTGAAAAACTTGCTTATTAAAAATTACTTTGAAATAACAGTTAATGTATTTAGGATAACTCTCAGCAATGGATTTTATATCACTTTAGTATTAGCATTTAAGTTTTAGGATGCACCGTTAGTTTAACATATTTTGAGCTCTTTTTTTTCTTGCCTACAGATCCTAATAGCCACTATTACCCATCTTTTGCCAAGTACAGAAGCTTCGTCTTATGAAATGGACAAGAGGGTAATTTAAATTTTGTTTGATATTTAACATGTAGTTGTCTAGTAAAGTATTTGTATTTTAAAGTTGAAAGGTATATATATTTAGTAATGGTAAACATTAATTCATCTTGTATTTAAAATTAACTATAATGTGAAATATATCTTTCCATTATTTAAGTGTAACTAAATTATATTTTAGTTCAAATTTCAAGTTAATCATGGTCGTTCGATAAAGTCTTTGACTCTCAGGGTTGTAAGGAACCTTGGAGGACATTCTGTCCCTTTATAATTATTTTATCCTGTCAAATTATGGTTTTGTCTGTACCTGAAAATTATTAATTCTAAGGAATTCATCAACTCTGAAGGCAGCTATGCATCTTTGTATAGCTGTTACTAGTGGAAAGTAAAGAAATTTCCATTAAGTAGAATACATATAATATAGAGAGATGTAACACTTAGGAGAAGACATACCGTCTGGCCACCAAAAAGTTCTACAAGATTGCATTTTCCTCATGAAATCATTATGAGACTCCTTTAATTATTTCAGGTATTGTATTTATCAGTCTAAAGTTTCTATTTGGTTTCTTTTTACAGTTACCATATCTTTCCTGAAATTCTGCATTTCTTCATCAATTAAATCCATCTTTTTAATAGATTTTAACATATATATCGTAATTATTTTGAAGTCTTTGTCTGTAATTATGTTTCTGGACCTATTCTCAGTTGTTTTCTTGGTTGGCTTACATACTGTATACACTTTTGGTCTTTTCATTTTATTCCTGCTGTCTTGTATATCACTAATTTTGTGAGTTTACCTCAGAATTTTTTATTCTTCCTCTTCCTATTCAGTGTAATATACCCATTATCAAATGCGTTTTGTACCTATTTGTCTAGCTCTTGATGAATACATTTTTCCTCATTCTTGAAGATACGTATACTCCACTTCTAGCCAGAGTCCTTTATTTTAGTGTCTTAGACTATAGTGAAGAATTCCAAATCCAGTTTTTGAACAATATCTGGAGAACTAATTAGCCATCCCTTCTAGATCATCTTTGTCTGCCAGAGGCCTAGCTATTAATATGAAAAAGCTCCACAACCAAGTTTTTGTTCCTGGCCCACTTAACTCGCTAAACATTTATTCATCGCAAAATATGTGTGTGGTATTCTGCTTGGAACTGGTTAAACAGATATAAATAAGATAGTCCCTGCTCTCATGAATTTTAAAGAGTAGAGAGACAGTTGAGGCAATCCAGTATAGTAAGTGTTTACTATAAAAGGTAGAAAGATGTATATAATAAGAGGTAGGATAGAGGAGGAAGTAATTAATTACTGAGACAGAAAGGCTTGTTAAGGGAAAACTTCCTTAAAGGTATAGGGTTTTCTACATAAATGGATACAAAGGTTAGACTCAGAGAGTTATTCCAAGTGGAGGGAATAGCATGTGTGAAATCCGGAGGTGTGAAATGGCATGGTATGTCATGGGAAAACAGGCAATTCCATATTAGAGGGTATGAAGTACATGGCTCAGAGGAGGAATTAGGCAGCAGAGATAGGAGGGGTCAAGATAGGAAGGGCCTTGGATGCCATGTTAAGAACCTTGGACTTTTATGAAAGTGACTTTTTAGAAGCGTTTTAATGCACAATGAAATCCCAAATTTGTAAAAGATTCCTTGAAAAAGTGTGAAAGTTGACTTAGGAATAATATGGTCATTGTTATTACAGTCATCTCGGTAAGAATTGATGATATTTGAACTAAGGCTAAAGGAGTAAAGAGTAAATATTTCCAAAGTGGAATCCACAATCAAGGTCAGGAATAAAGAAAAAAAGAGCAGGGTTGTTGGAGAAAGCTGAATTTCAATTTTCGTCATATTGCACGTACAGAGTAACGCCCGGGTAGAGACCACAGCAAAGCAACTATATACCTAAAGTAGTCAGTTTGAGGCTCAACACAAAATTATTGACATTGTCAACACACGAGCAGTATTAAACTGTGGGAATATATGAGATCGCTTAAGGAGAATTTACAGAGTATGAAGGGTTAGCAAAGTATAACACCTTGAAGAATAACAATTAAAGAGCAGGCACAGAGGGGTCACCAAGACAGCGACATAGGAGGCTCCTAGATTTCCCTCTTCCCATGAATGTACCAAAGATACAGCCCTACATGGAGCTCTTCCCTCTGAGAGAAATCCAGAAACTAGTCCTACACATCAGGCGACTGAGAAGATACCCGCGTTGAAATGGGTGGGAAAGGCTAACACACGCTCTTGCTATAAACCCCACCCCTGGCATAGCTCCATACAATCAGGAGGGAACCCCTGACCCCCAGCTTCTCTCTGAGGAGAGGAAGGTTTAGGCCACACACATAACACCCCCACTTTTAAGCCTGCCACTCAAAGGGCAGGCCTCCAAATCACCTGGCTCTAAAAGCCACGAGGCTTGTGTTCACTGTCCCATAGAACTACAGAAAACAAAAGAAAGTGCTTGTTGGAGGCACAGGAGCGTTGCCACAGCTGTCGCCCCAGGGCTAAGGGCAGAGGGAGCAGGCCAAACAGCCATCTACTCTTCTTCCTCTGCAAAGGATTTAACTGCACACTTTGCCCAGCTGCTGCCTGAGGGTCTAACTTCTAATCACCCTGCATGTAGGTGCTGACTGTAAGCCTCCCACCCCACCAGTAAGAGCCAGTGGGCACTTCCCCTGTATTCTCTGGCTGGCTTGCTCCAACAATAAAACCAGGTCTCCAGCCTCTCCCTGGAAGGAGCTTGTCCACACATCTAGCACCCCAATGTTACAGCTGCTACCTAAGGGAGTGGCTCCCTCTTACCTAGCTCTGGGAACTGACAGGGCTTGGCATTCATGAGTCCCCTAGGAACACACAAAACAAAGAGGTGGTTCTATTTGAGCATACTAGCACCCCCAGAGACTTCCCTCTGGCTCAGGACAGAGTAAGTAAGCAAAAATACCTGGCTCTCAGTTTCTCCCTGAACATTGTCATTGGGTTGTTATTTTTTTTAGGCCCTCTCAGCAGATAGATCTAGAAAATAGCTAATATGTGTACACACACATATATAATATGTATTTTACATATATGTAAAATATATACATATATGTATTTCTTTATCTACCTATATGCATAATTTGGGTTACTTCTCCCCCCCCTTCCTCACCTCAGTGTGTTTATATAATTCATTTGAAATGCAGTTCAGGTCATTTTTTTCTGTATGTATTCCATTTTAGGGTTTTTTTCTTTCATCCCTGGTTTTTTTTTTTAGTCTGTGGTTTATTCATCCTTTGTTTATTTTTGTACAGGTGAGCAGATACATCTGTATTTTGTTTTTTCTCCTTGTTTGGTACACAGAAGTACCATATTCTGGATATTCTTTGGTGTTTCAGATCTTTCACTTCACTGTACATCCTGGAAATTTACAATACCTCAATTCACAAAGACCTTTGATGTTCTTTATTACAGCTCCATAGTATTAGTACTCCATTGTGTGAATGTGCCATAGTTTATTTAACTCACTCTCCTACGTATGGGCATATAGACATATGTTTTCAGAATTTTGCGGTTACAAACAGTGCTGCAGTTGCTAACTTTGTGCCTATATATTTTACATTTTGGAAGGTGTTTTCAGGGTATATTCCTGGAAGTGGTATTGCTGGGTCAAAGGTAAACAGATAAAGGTTTGTTAAATATTGATGTTCCCACAAGTGAACTGTGAGAGTGTCTGTTTCCACAGAGCCTAACCAGAGTGTGTCATGTTTTTCTATTTTTGCCAGTTTGATAGGGGAACGATGGTATCTCAGTGTCGTTTTCATTTACCTTTCTCTTTTTATAAGTGAGGTTGAGTATCTTCTCGTATTTACTAATGGCCTGATTCTTTATTTTTCTAAATTGTCTATTAATGTCTTCTTACAGTTTCTGTCAGGTTTTGGTATTTTTCCCTCAAATTTTTACGTACTAGGGATATTAGCTCTTAACTGTGATATATGTATATGCAAATAGTTTTCTCCCTTTTTCTCATTTGTCTTTTGATTTTGTTTATGGTGGGTTTTTTGTTGTTTCTTTTGGGAGATCATGGAAAAGAATTTATTCTTATGTAGTCAGTTTATAAGTCTTTTCTTTGATTGTGTCTGGATTTTGAGTCATCAGTAGAAAGCCTTTCCCTGTACTGTGGATAAAGAGGAATTTACCCGTGTTTTCTCTAGTACTTGTATGGTTTCATTCTTTATGTTTGCATCCCTCATCCTTTCAGAGTTTATTCTCTATGTTTTGAGATAGGGATCTAATTTTTGTTGTTTTTCCTAATGGATAACCAGATTTCTGTGTTCCCTTTGTTAAAAAGTTCATCTTTACCCTTTAGTGAATAATTAAGGTCTGTTTCTTGAGTTTCTGTACTAGCGGTTTTCCCATTTTTGGTGACAAGATCCCTTTAATATTGTTAAACATTGTTGAGGATCTCAAGCAACGTTAGTTCACGTGAGCTATATTTTGTCCACTTGATCGGTCTTGTACTAAGAGTCGTGTCTTGAGGTCTCCCGTTGTTAATGTTCCTCTTATTTACTTGCGTCTATTGTAGTTTTTGCTTTATAAAAATAGTCACTGTTATTTGATACATGGATATTGATAAATGTTTTGTCTTCATTTTAAATAATAGCTTTTAATGTTAATGCCTTTTCGTTTGAATTCTAATTTGCCTGGTATACTTTTGCCCGTCTCTTTAATTTTAGCCTTTCTGAATCTTTTTGTTTAACTCTTTCTCATGAATATAACATATATTTGGGTCTTGCTTTGTGAGCCAAATTGAATATCTTTTTATTAGGCAAGTTAAACTCATTCTGGTAAGACGTAATTTTTATCTTGCCTCTGTCATTTTATTTTATGGCTATTATGCATATTATGTTTTCTATGTTTCTTTCTCTATATGATATATTTCCTTTGTTCTTCTGTTTTTTAAGTTCCTTTCAGTATTCAGGACATTTTGTACTTTGTTCTTGTGGTTACCTTTATATTATACCTTTTTTAATGCCTTTTTCCCCTTGCTTTCTTATTTAATCTTTTACTGTGTGGTTTGTGATTATTTAAGGGTGTCCTTTATCTCCTGTCTACTGCCTATATGTTAATAAATGAGCTTTTTCACTTTTCTCTCTCTCTCTCTGCGTTCATTTTTAGTTATTTCTATACATACCATCATATAGCATATGTCATATAAAAAATGATTCTTCACATTCATCTCTACCTTTTTTTTTAATCTTAGATCTTTAACTAAATATGTCGAATATGCACCATTAGTCTTTTTGCTGAAGTTCCTCAGTCACCTTCTTGGTTAGATGAAGCTCGTCTTTATTTTCCAGGATGGGCTCATGAACACAGAATTCTCTGAGCTCTTTTCTGTAACACTGACACTTGAAAAACAGCTTGGCTAGATATGGAATCTTTGGTTCACACTTAACTTTCCTTGAAGGTTTTTTTCACAATGTTGCCTTTGCTTTGTATATTGTTCTTGAGAAGTCTGATGCCAGTTTTGTTCTCTTACTCTCTTAAATTATTTCGCCGTTTTTCCTGGGGGCTCTAAGGATATTTTTTCTTTATTTTTGAAGTCTTACTTTTGCAGTTTTACCAGGATATGTGTTAGACTTGAATGTTGCAGGCCAGTTTGTCTTGGCTTCTGGTGGACTTTTGCAGTCTTTCTGTCTCCCATGTCAAGCACTTTCTCTCTGACACTTTTTACCTTTTTTGTTATCTCATTATTATTCTCTTAATTGTTTTCTCACTGTACCTTAATGCCCCTTATTAAATCTTGCTTTTGTTTTTCTCAAATTTATTCTTCTTTAGGCATCTTTTAATTCAGGCCTCATTTCTAATATGATTTTGTCCTTTTCTTTTAGTTCTTTTCCTGATTTGAATCAGTTCTTCCCTTCTTTGTTTATTTCTTCTTAGTTTTTCTTTTTTTGTTGAGCTAACATCTGCCACCATTCCTTCTCTTTTTGTTGAGGAAGACTGGCCCTGAGCTAACATCTTTGCCCATCTTCCTCTATTTTATATGTGGGACGCCTGCCACAGCATGGCTTGCCAAGCAGTGCTGTGTCTGCACCCGGGATCTGAACTGGCGAACCCTGGGCTGCCAAAGCTGAACGTGCGCGCTTAACCACTGTGCCACTGGCCGGCCCCCTCTTCTTAGTTTTTTCATTTCTGATTTAAGATGAGATTTTCTTTGCCCCTCATATCTAAATGCTTGTTTAAAAATATTTAATCGGATTGCAATGTTGTAGTACAGTTTTTTTCTGCTTTGTAATTGGGGGTTTTTTTGGCGGTGGGGGGAAGGATTTTCATCAGCTGAATTGCTTAGATTCTCATTTTCTGTTTTCTTTTTATAGTAGTTTTGTATAGATGAAGACTGCCTCTGCGTTTCTGTGGACAAGGTTGGTGGCTTGGGGTGGTTTACAGGATTCCTCCTTCAAGAGCTTCCTCTTCTGGCAGTTTAACCAAGTATAGCATCTTTATTGGAGGCTGCTTTTTAAGGAGGAGAGGAATTGTAGGTCCATCGATTTTTAAAACTCTTCTGTGTCTTGTAGGATCCTACCTTTCTCTTTTGCTTCTTCCTTCCACTACATATTTTCCACAGGATGTCTTTCCATCCCTCTCAACATTCTTCTCCCCAAAGCGTTCCCTTTCCTGCGTCCGCTTTAAGTCCTTTCTTTCTGCTCAGTGCTCTCTGCACCAGTACACTTTTTCAATGTTCTCACACTTAGGGTGGATTTTCTCTCTGGCTTAGTTTTTAGATTTGTACCTAGTTCCCTTCTCTCTTTACAGTTTTTCCCAAACTGCCCTTGCTCTTCATTAAAGCTTTCAGTGGGAAAATGCGAAAAAACTTGCTGGGATTTGCCATATATCTTCTACTTATGAATAATTTGAAGTTTGGATATTCTCTGTTTTTTGGTTATACTAAGGATGTGGTTTTGTGTTGTTTTATCGGTTCTTTTTGTTCTTTATTGTACTTTTGAAGGATGGGTTGGGAGATTTAGGCCAGTATTCGTCCTTGAATTGGAGAATTAGTCTTCACTCTGAAGATCAACAGATCTCTTATTGCTACTTGACTGACACTTCTGTGGCGCTACTTATGATTCGTTATCCAATAAAATGGACCAAATGGATACTACTACTTTATTCCACATTTTGGATAAAAGTGTTTTGGTATAACATCCATTAGTTTAAAAGTGTCCAGTGGAAAGATTCGTATAATAAAACTGATAACAGTTTGAGAAAGTGGTCAAGAGAGTCTTTCTGGCAGGATACTCAGTGAGGTGTTGTTATATTAGAAAAGGAATGTAGAAGTGATTGTGATACATATGGACTAAAACCTTTCTTTTGTGGTACGTTCCTTGTGCAGTTAATTAAGTATCGCTGATTGATGTCTGTCATCTTTTAAGCTCAGTGTTTTTATATTAATTTTAAAATAGTTCTAACATTACTGCTTTATTATGTTTAAGGTTTCATTGTACTTGCCCTAAAATATAAGGGAAAAATTCACGATAATGTTCATATACAACATCTTAAAATCAATTAGGTCTAGGTAAATATTAATGATAGAACTTAAGGTTGATTTCAGTTCTGAAATAAATTTTAGAAAACAAAAAATAAATTGATGAATTTCTATTAAGGTTAAGCTCTTATTTGATGAATTTACAATAATAATGATCTTTGTTGTTGTTGCAGTTGGTGGTATCCTTACTTTTGTGCCTTCTGGACTGGATCATGGCCTTACCTCTGAAGACACTGCTTCAGCCAGTCCATGCTACAGGAGCAGAAAATGACAAAATAGAAAAATCTGTCCTCAACTGCATTTATAAGGTAAACTTCTTTGCTTTATTATTTGTTTGTTAAGCAAGGGTTTTTAAAACCTAAAGAAATAACATTTCTTAGTGTTACGTTTTCATTGTTTTAGAGCTAGGTATTTTCTAACAATGTAGATTTATCTTATAGTACCTAAGAATAATTAAAAAGTACTTCCCTGAGCCAGCCCTGATGACCTAGTGGTTAAAGTTCGGCATGCTCTGCTTCAGCAGCCTGGGTTCAGTTCCCAGACTCAGAACCACACCACTCGTCTGTCAGCAGCCATGCTGTAGCGGAGGCTCACACAGAAGAGCTAGAAGGACTTAGAACTAGAACATACAACTTTATTCTGGGGATTTGGGGAGGGAAAAGAAAGAAGGGAAAAGAGGAAGATTGGCAACGTGTTAACTCAGAGCAAATCTTTCCCTGCAAAAAAAAGTACTTCCCACAAGACACTGTTGTTTCATTGCAAAAAGTTGAAAGGAGTCAAATCTTTGTTGAATATGAGAATCATTAAATTTTACTCATTCGTCTTTTGAAGAGGCATTAAGTTTTACTTTGATTGAAGAGTTAAGTTTTAAAATATTTAAAATTTTTGTCAAGCTCTTGTATTACCAGTTGATGTTTTTCTCCTTTTATCTTTATTTAGTTATTTATTTTCACTGAAAAGGAAAACTTGGTATTTTTTTCCCCCTGTATTTTCAGGTATTACATGGGTGTGTTTATGGAGCTCAGTGTTTTAGCAATCCAAAGTATTTTCCAATAAGCCTCTCTGATTTGGCATCTGTAGATTATGATCCTTTTATGCATTTGGAAAGTCTGAAAGAGCCTGAACCTCTGCACTCCCCTGATTCAGAACGATCTTCTAAACTCCAGCCTGTAACAGAAGGTAAAGTGAGTTCTCTTCAGGACAGTATTCTTGCTTGGGTTCTCTCACAGTATGATTTGAGCCCAAGGGTAGAAATAATGAAGGAGAATATATCTTACTTTGTACTTGTTTACCTTGCCATCTATAGTATAGCAAAATTCATTTTTAATTTAAGAAATAACTTCGGATACACAATTACTAAGATTATAGGTGATGACATTCCTTTTATACACTTAGCTAAGTTACTCTGGTAAGTTCTTTTTCATATTTTACTTTATACATCATGGGATTTATATAATTGAATAAGAGATTTAGCTTTGGAGTCTGACAAACCTGGTACTGAATTTTGACTCTCGTTTAATAGCTGAATGACCATATGTCTGTTTCCTTATTTGTAAAATGAGAATACTAATATTCGTTCCCTCATAGGGTTGTTTTGAGTACTAGGTAAGATAATATGTGTAAAACCCCTTGCACAGTTCTTGGTACATAGTGAACTCAGTAACATTTTTTCTACATTCATAGAGTTTGCTATCTGATACAAGGGAAAGATGTAAAGAAATAAACTTGTAATATGAGTTTAAAAGTAAAAGTACCTTCAAGATGCAGAAGTAGCCCAGAGGAACCCAGCAGTTATTGAAGGGTTTTAAGGAGGTAATATACATGATAAAATTAGTATTAAGAGCACTTTGACAATAGTATTTTACATGAGGATGCAAATTAGGGCCCATGCCTGCTGCCTATTTATAAATAAAGTTTTATTGGAACACGTCCGTGCAGTTCATTTATGTATCATTATGGCTGCTTTTGTGCAACAATGGAAGTGTTTAGTAGTTGCCACAGAGATCACGCGGACCATACAGCTGATGGTGTTTACTGTCTCGCCCCTTGCAGAAAAAGTTTTCTGATCTCTGGTATATTAGATTGATTTTAGGGACGTCAACCCAGGAGCAGAGGCACCAGTCAGTAGGCCAAGCAAGAGTTGCTAAAGGCTTAAATTGGTTAGATTTTCCCCAAACTAGACCAAAAATATGAGAAAGTTCAGAGGTTTGGGAGGGAAGATGAGGAGGGCAGTGTTGGAAATGGTCTAGTTTGGGTACCTATTGGATATTCATATGAAGATGTCTAGCTGACAGTTCATTATATATGCAGGTCTAGATCTTAGCAGAGAGGTCTTTGTTAGAAATGTGTGTGTGTGTGTGTGTGTGTGTGTGTGTGTGTGTGTGTTCTGAAAAGAAAAAGTTGGAAAGGAAGGAAAACTAGGAGAGAGTAATTTCTCAGAAACAAAGAGAGGAAAAAGATTTTTAAAAGACTGGCCAACAGTATTAAATGATAGAGAAGTCAAGTACAACAAGACCGACAAACGTGTCTGCTTCAGTTTCAGAGAAGTAGGAGGCAGAAGCAGTGGCTGTGGGTTGAGGAGCAAGCAGGAGTTAAAGAGGTAGAGCCATCTGTTGAAAGTCCTCTTTAAGGAGCGTGGCTGTTTAAAGAAAGAAAGAAAGACAAGTGGTAAAACAGTAGGTAAGCTAAGATGGTTCAGGGTTAAGAGAGTTTTAAGGAGGCAGAGAGTTGAACTTAATTATAAGCTGAGAAGGAAGGTGGGAAGGGGATCATTAGTAGAGTGAAGTTCCTCAGGGGATGAGTTAGAAAGTATAGGTGCTATTAGCCCTTTTTCTAAGACCAAAAAGAAGAAGATGGAAGTAAATTAAAGGGAGTGACAGAAGTTATTGGGGACCCAACAGAAAATGGAAACTACAAAGTTTTGGTTGCACCAGTCAACATTCAGTAAGGAGGAAAGGCAGGAATACAAGGGAACTATGGCTTTCAGAATATTGATATATGGTTTAGCCGTGGAATCTAGGCTTGGTAAAGATTGAACTGATGCTAGGAAATGACTAAGAAGTTGGAAGAAAATGTCATGATCCGTTGAGTCAGAAAGTAGGTGTGGTTAGTAATGAGAAGTTAGAACAGTGATTCTCAGCCTTGGCTGCACATTAGAATACTGATGCTTGGGGCCGGCCCAGTGGCACAGCGGTTAAGTGCACGCGTTCTGCTTCGGCAGCCCGGGGTTCGCCACTTCAGATCCCAGGTGCGGACATGGCACCGCTTGGCAAGCCATACTGTGATAGGCGTCCCACATATAAAATAGAGGAAGATGGGCACGGATGTGAGCTCAGGGCCAATCTTCCTCAGCAAAAAGAGGAGGATTGGCAGTAGTTAGCTCAGGGCTAATCTCCTCCCAAAAAAAAATAAAATAAAATACTGATGCTTTAGTCCCATCCATAGAGATTTTATATATTGATCTGAGATTGCTGGGATTTTCTGAAGCTTTGCAGGTAATTAATATGCAGCCAACGTTGAGAACCCCTGAGAGCATCAGTATATTAGGACAGTGATTTTTAAAATGAGTTTTAAGAAGTGGAACCTCTTCAAATAAATTTCACAAGGAATTCCAATTTGTGAAACTTCTTAAGGTAGAGCTGCAGCAGGGTGAAGGCCTGGGATCCCACTGACTTCTCTCCCGTCCAACTATGAGAGCCCCAGAGCCCTCTCCAAGGGAAATCACTAGACCAGGAGGTTGTGGTCAAAGAGTCAGCTATTTGGGAACAGTTTGGTTTTTAAAGGTAGAATAGTTATAAATGAGTAAACATCTAGGATGTGGCAATGATAATGGATTGATGACATAGAGTGCAAGAGAAGATAGGAAGCTACACATCAAGGAAATAGGGCTAGGGTTTTGGGTTGACCACAAGTTGCTAATAGTTTGTCTAGAACACAAATATACAAGTGAAATAGGAATATAAATTTAAATTATAGCTCAGATATAATAGAGATATACTGGTCAGTACAGCATAGCAAAATAATTTAGACAATTCTTGATGTAGGCACCTTATAATTATTTCTTGTCTTTCTTTCTTTCTTTTTGGTGAAAAACCTTTGCCCTGAGCTAACATCTGTGCTGATCTTCCTCTTTTTGCTTGAGGAAGATTGGCCCTGAGCTAACATCTGTGCCAATCTTCTGCTATTTTGTATGTGGGACTCTGCCACAGCATGGCTCGATGAGCAGTGTGTAGGTTTGTGCCTGGGATCTGAACCCATGAACCCTGGGCTGCCAAAGTGGAGCACACGAACTTAACCACTACGCCACTGGGCTGGCACCTAATTATTTCTTTAGATTTGGCATAGTGAAATAGAATGTTTATTTTACTTAAAAACAAAGTTATATGGAAAGATTACTTGCTTTTTGCATTTTTAAAGGTGTAAAGTGATGAAGTTTGATTCACAGCAGTATAGTGTATTTCTTAAACAGTGAAATAAATAGTTTATGTATATAAAGGGGAGTTTTAATGTATTTCATACAAAATTTATTGTACCATCAACAGTCACTGTAAAAGACACAAAGGTAAAGATTTAAATAGATGAGTTTTATATTGATACCAGATACTCCATGGAGTACTATTCTCTGAATGTATTAAGTTGTTCCCTTTGGACTTAAAAATATTAAGGACCAGATAAATGCAGAACCTTTTAGGAACAGCTGTGAGCTAACAGCAGGTGATTCTGTGGTCTGTAGTGACTACATGCTGTGGGGTTTTTAATGTGGCAAAAATGACTAATCATTGTGCCCTTGTCTAAGGCATGCTTCATCATCTTCAAGTACTTTTTGGCCAAAGATTTCTAAACATAGAATGTCCCTAATAAGCTCAGTATTGGATTGAACAAGTCTGATTTGAGAACTATTGGCAGGAGTAGCTGTAATTATTAAATTTACTAAAGAATAAAGCGAGGTAGTGAAGTTGGCTTTTTGTCAAATGGCAGTAGTCTTATTAGCAAGAAGTCATCATTTTCAGGGTCAGAGTGAAAGCAGGCTCTGAAGGATTCATTCTGTCCTAATTACAGTTTCACCTATACATATTATGCAAAGCTAATAGTTAAAGCATTTGCCAAAATTAACTTCCTCTGCATGTTCTATTACAGTGTAGTGAATTGCAGCAGCTTTTTATGTCTTGCTGCTTTTGTATGCCATAATAATCTGTAATTATGGGTTTGCTGCAAATGCTGTAGGGTTTGTTTAATCTGACAATCTGAAAAGACAACTCTGAATAGACTTATTTAAATGAATGCCACTTACACGAAGCTTTAGAAGCATCGATATCTTCATTTTGCATTTTCTTACAAGGCTGGTTATTTTAGAATTTCATTTTGAGTTTCTAAATTAGAGAATTTCATATGTTTTCTTTATATCTAAGTAGATATGTAGAAGAGAGAGATGTATGTTCTATAGTTTATAACTAAAAAATAAATCTAAATCAATCTAACTGCCCAATTAACAAGTTGAGAGATTTTTATCCTTTTTATATATATCTTGAATTTAGAGAAGCAGCTTAGGAAAGAAAATGCTTTTACCTACCTCTGAAATCTAAATTTATTTTTTAAGTGTTCTCAATATTAATAATTATGACATATTTATGAACAAGCTCATTTAAACTGCGTTCCTGCTCTCTCTTCCTTTGGAAGAGCGTGCATAGGATTGACTGGTACCTGGATTTGGAGGTTTATGTTTAGGGAAAGAGCTGGCTCATTCTTGCAGTTTATTTATAAGCAAGTTTGAAAAAGAAACTCATAAAACCTATGTTACCAATAATGCTTGAAAAATTGAATGATTTATATTGTTTCTGTTATATCCAGCTTTGTATATGAATTTTTAATTCATCTTTACAAAAAGTCTCAGTTATTCTTAGAGAAAAATGAGGTTTAAGAAGTTCTGTGTGATTTGCCCATGATCAAAGAACAAGCCAGAGACAAAGTCAGGATTTTTTCTCTTTTCTGTGATCTATTTCTATTAAATTATACTCTTTCGCTTCTGCAGAAATGTCCTGCAAAAAAGATTCACTGCTTAGAACAAGTTACCTATTTTAAGTTTATCACTCAAAACGAAGAAAGGGGGAAAAGAAAATAAAGAACAGAACATTTTTTTCCTACATCAAAAATAAAAAAATCTTGGGCTGGCCCGGTGGCATACTGGTTAAGTTCACTCTCTCTCCGTGGGCGGCCCAGGGTTTGCAGGTTCAGATCCCGGGCATGGAGCTAGCACAGCTCGTCAAGCCATGCTATGGCAGCATCCCACATAAAATGGAGGAAGGTTGGCACAGATGTTAGCTCAGCGACAATCTTCCTCACAAAAAAAAAGGAAAGAAAATCTTTAATTTGTATTAAAACGTGATTTAGACTTATTTACGTGAGTTTTTTACATTGATTTTGGCAATTTATTTAGTAATTTATACTAAATAAGTTTTTGAAGTTACTGAACAGAGGAAAAAGATAAATTTTTAATTCATTGTTTCCACATGTCATAGTGATTTGCCAAAAGAAAAGGGCAGTTTAACAAAAGAGAACAATATGGAAATTAGACTGTGATAAAAATGGAAATAACACTGAGATGGGAAGCAAAAGACGAGCCCTGATGTGAAATCTTGAATGGCAGGCAAATCTCTTAAATTCTGTGAACCCATTTGTCCTCATGTACAAACTGAGCAGTACTGGCTAAGTTATCTGTAAGGCCGCTTACAGTGTGAACATCCATTATATTCCAAATTATAACTAGAGAAGGGAAAGCAGACACTAGATTCAAGCCACTCCTCTGTTTCTCATCACACCGTGACATAACTTTTTACTTTGCTTATGGTCTTGAAAATGTAGGATTGAATTAAAGTTAATCATTTAGTGTTGTTTTGTAGTGTTGAATAGCTGATTTTCAGAACTAGCCGTAAATATAATTAAAGAAAAGTTTAGTGTAATTGGAACTTTTTAAGTAAACTGAAAAATGTTCATATATACATGTATGTAGACATAAAACTTGATTGATAATAGAAAGTTAAAATTTTGTAAATCAGTAACATTTCAAAATCAACCAAAGCCAAAAGAGAACTGTTCTTTTTTAGAGTTGGATAATGTAGAAGATGTTATGTTAATGGCAGAAACTGGTTTTTTGCTGACTTTCTGCCCGTACCCGGTGGTGTTGGTTCTGAATCTTGAGGGCTATGGCCTTGAAAATGTAACACTATTCATCTCTCTTGCCTCTTTTTAAGTAATCATACCAGCAGTGTACGTTAGTCTCCTTATGAACTTTTTTAAGTTGGGTTTATTGAGGTATAATGTACATAAAATAAAATTTATTATTTTTGTTGGTGGGGAATTTTAACTATGTATTAGATTATGTTGATGGTTAAACAATTCTACACAGTTACTAAAAGTCACCACAAAGTACACTTAAAATTAAGGAATTTCTGTATGTAGATAATACTTTGATCATCAGGACATTCCCAAATCTATATTTATTCTGGCAGCTAGGTCATAGTATTCCCAAATGGTTAACTTTAGGAATATAAACAATACTCAGACGAGATCAGTCTATGACTGTGGCAGAACAATACGGAAACAAAATCTGTAATCATGTCTATAACTAAGTGAGACAAGAACACTGTAAACACACATGTACACACAAACACACAACTAAACTTCGTCTTCTAGCTGAATGATCAGTACTTACCAATAACAACTCTCCTTTGGTCTCCTAGATGAAAAGTATCAAGATAACTGTCGCTGAATTGTTCCCAGCCCCTCACACCACTCATTCCAGAACTGGCTTCCACATCTTCCTTCTCTCCTCCCTCCTCCTTCAGCTCCTGACGTTAGGCACCTTGCCTTTTCAGGCCTCTTACTAATAGATTCTTTGAGTTTTCTCTTTTTACTGTTTCCTTTGATTTTTTTTAAGTTACTCATTTGATATGTTCCTTACCTATTTGCTTTCCCTCATGTGCTTAAGCTTCTTACGTACAACTGACTGCTCACACTAGACCGCAATCACATAGAAGAACACCTTGGAAAAATTTAACACATAAGGAGGCCCATAAAATATGTTTTCCTTTAAAACAGAGTTTCCTTGGCATGTACTGGCTACACTGACTTACTCTTTAAATTGATCTCATGACTCCTAAAGTTTAATGAAAGATCACTTTTCTCTGAAACTTTCACATCATCGATAAAAGCCATAACTGAGTGACATTTAAGGCATGCTGCAAACTGTCTCTCTGAATCTACTCATAAGAAACATATCAGTTGGATTTCATTCGCTTTCTAATCTGTATGCCAAGTGATTTCAAGTGGTTGATTTATAATACTTTTGATCCTTCTTTGAAAGCATCATATACATTTAAAGGTATAAGTTTGAATTAGGAATCCATAAGCATAAATTTCAAAAAGGGCTACCTTACAAAATTAACAAAACTTCATCAAAGAACAGTTTTCTTCTTCTTTGTCATCATTCCTGTGGTACAGAATCTAACTTGGAAATAGTAATATTTACTGAAATATGTGAGTGTGATTTTGATGATGTGACCAAATCCATTTGTTGTCTAATATTTCATTGTTATATGACTCCCTGGGAAGCAGCAGTGTCTCCATTCACTTGTATTTTTCATTTCTAGTGAAAACTCAAATGCAACAAGGATTAATCTCAATAGCTGCCCGCACTGTTATTACACACCTGGTAAATCACTTGGGCCATTATCCAATGAGTGGTGGTCCTGCTATGTTAACAAGTCAGGTGTGTGAAAATCATGACAATCATTACAGTGAAAGTACTGAACTTTCTCCTGAACTCTTTGAGAGTCCAAATATCCAGTTCTTTGTGTTGAACAATACAACATTAGTGTCCTGTATCCAGATCAGGTCAGAAGAAAGTATACCTGGAGGAGGTTTGTCTGCTGGTCTTGCATCAGCCAATTCAAATGTCAGAATCATAGTACGTGATCTCTCTGGAAAATATTCATGGGATTCTGCCATCCTGTATGGACCACCTCCTGTAAGTGGTTTGTCAGAACCTACATCTCTCATACTTTCATTGTCTCGCCAAGAGAAACCAGAAGAGCCTCCTCCATCTAATGAATGCTTAGAAGATATAACAGTAAAAGATGGGATACCCCTCCAGTTTAAAAGAAGATTTAGAGAAACCGTACCGACTTGGGATACAATAAAAGATGAAGAAGATGTTCTTGATGAGCTTTTGCAGTATTTAGGTGTAACTAGTCCTGAATGCTTACAGAGAACTGGAATCTCACTTAATATTCCTGCTCCACAACCTGTGTGCATTTCTGAAAAACAGGAAAATGATGTTATCAATGCTATCCTTAAGCAACATACAGAGGAAAAAGAATTTGTTGAGAAACACTTTAATGACTTAAACATGAAAGCTGTGGAGCAAGATGAGCCAACACCTCAGAAGCCTCAGTCAGCATTTTATTATTGCAGATTGCTTCTTAGTATATTGGGAATGAATTCCTGGGATAAAAGGTAAGAATAAAAGAGAAATTTTTCCTTTTTTTTTCACATTAGTCTTATTCAGCTTTTGATCAAGCATTTTAGTCTTTATTTTTTTCCTCACTAAGTTTTTTATCTACCAGTTAGTTCTTTGACCAGTGGGCAGATTTTTTTTTGAGACCACCGGATTCAATGGAATAAAAAGATAACACAGTAAATTAACTATTAACATTTTCATAATGACTAGTAGAACTATTTGACTTAGAAATTATAGCTCATAAAATTGAAAGTGTCTTATTTTTCCAACGTTCACATAAACTATTAGGAAAGCCTTTTTTTCTTATAACACTTCTGGCACCAGATGTGTGGGTTTTCCACACCGAGAATTCCAGCACTACCTGGAGTTGGCATAGACTGGTTAAAGGCTCAGACCCACAAGACTGTCCCCGACTTCAGACACCAGTTGCAAGTTCAGCTATGAATCACGGGTTCCCAAACCCCACTCCTCGGGTTTGATAATTAGCTATAATGATTCACAGAACATTTACTTAAGATTTACCAGTTTATTGTAAAGTATAGTTAAAGGATACAGGTAAACAACTAGATGAATAGGTACATAGAGTGAATTCTGAAAAAACCCGAAGCACAGAAGGTTCTGTCTCTGTGGAGTTGGGGTGTGCCACCCTCCCAGCACAGTTGAATATGTTCACCAGCCTGGAAGCTCTCCAAACCCCATAGTTTAGGGATTTTTATGGAGGCATCATCATACAGGCATGATTGATTATTAACTCAATCTCCAGCCCTTCTCCCCTCCCCAGAGGTGGGGCTGAAAGTTCCAAGCTTCTAATCATAGCTTGCTCTTTCTGGTGATGAGGCCCCAACCTGAAGTTATCCAGGTGCCCACCAAGAGTCACCTCATTGGAACAAAAGATGCTCCTATTACCCTGGAAAATTCCAAGGGACCTAGGAACTTTGTATAAGATGTCCCCGTCACCTCCAACACTCAGGAAATTACAGGGCTTTAGGAGTTCTGTGTCAGGAACTGGAAGCAGAGCCCAGATATGTATTTCTTATGTCACATAAGCCTAACTGTTTTTTTAGACAAACAGCAGTGTGATCATTTCTTGTTTGTATCAGAAATTTGACTCAAGATTTAGTATCAAGAAAAAAAATCTAGATTTCTTTTTAATTTGGTTTTCTTATGTATCTTGAAAAACCTCAGTAAAAACTGCAATAAATACACAGTGTATTCAAGTAAGTTAGGTAGGAGTTAAATGAAAAGGCATCAAACTTAAATCAGAAGACCCAGGTTAGAGTCACTTAACCTTTGAGCCTCAGGCTATAGTCTACAATTTAGGAAATAACTCCCACCTCACATAATGGTGAGAATTAAATTAGCTAACGTACATAAAATACTAAAGTTGTACACTAGTGTAAAGCATAATAGACACTTTTTAAATTTCTATGATACTAAAAGCTGTAGGGGAGTGGAAGAAGAAGCACTATGTAACACATTGTTTTCAATTAGTAGTAGGAGAGGAGCTCAGATATCACTGGACGAGTGTATCTTCAAGTAATTCAACCGCATGTGAAGCATTGAAATGGAATTCTACTTGCTTGCCTGGTGTTTGTAATCTTACTTGATTTAAACCCTTCCATTTATTAGAAGGAAGTATCCTCTGCCTTATGGGAAAGCCACACTGTATCAGGAGCACAGTTTGCCTTTCGTATGTCCAAATACAAGTAACTGCCACTCATATAAGTACATTCTACTATTTTTTGCTATAGAATCATCCATATATTGTCTTGAGAAAAATTAAAGGTGGGAAGCTATATTTTACCACAGCAAGCATTGATTTCCTGAATATAATTTGTGCATATTTAGCACCTATAGGACATATGGGAAAATTTATACATCACTTAGTAGGGTAAAAAAAATACATATAATGTAAAACAAAGAAGAAAGCAAATTCCGTTTGAATTACACAGGCTTACTTAGTAGTGATTTAGATTTTGCGAATATTTTATTTCTTGTGAAGAACAACTTTTTTGCATATTTTTATGAAACTCTTGAGAGGGAACCTACAAGTGTTTTCATCCATTTTTCTAGATATGAGTTTGGGAAGCTCACAGGATCTGCGAGGAAAAATTGAAGAGGCCGATAGATAATGATCCACTAGCAGAAATGCATGATGGCCTGGGCAGAAATAATGACTTAAATTCTTGGCATTTGTTTTAGGGTCTATTCTCCTTTGTGTTAGAAGTATGAAAAGGCAAGAACTCAGTGTAAGAGTTGCATGAGTAGAGTGGAAGGTATTTCCAGGACTGTGATGTCATTCACTGCAAAGGTGATGAAAATGTTTATAATTCTCTCTATTTAGGAGGAGCTTTCATCTCTTGAAGAAAAATGAAAAACTACTTAGAGAACTTAGGAATTTGGACTCAAGACAGTGGTAAGTTGTTGGAAAACCTTCAAATTTATAATTTGCAACCGTCAGCTGTATCTCTATTTATGTGTGAATAATGCCATCTTGTTCAGTTATAACTTTCTGAGCAGAAACTGTCTTTCATTTATTCATACCTTAGAAATAGTAAATGTTTTGGAAAAATGTAGGGCTGCATTAAAATATTTGGTATCTTTGAATTGTTACACCTTTTTTTATACATTTCAGAATTATCTTTTGAAACAGAAATCTGATTGAACCTATAAAATGTCCTTGGTTTTCGCATATTTAGGCATTCCAAATCTGCCCTTGATTATTCTAAGAGGCCCCAAGTGAAATGACTGGTGAATACAAACTAGTACCTACAAAAAATATTAATGGAGCAAAGAAGATGGGTATAGTCTGTTATATTGTTGTAACTGATTTCTCTTTAAGCCCTTAGATGTGTACCCACTTGCATGTCAGTTTGGATTTGTAAAACCTTGTTAAATCATTATTTCAATGATCTCTAAGTGCCTGTATCGGGATGAGATTTCCTGGGAAACTGGTACTAGAAACTACAAAATATTACTTAACTGAAATTCCTATAAGATCAACCTATGTATATGTGCTTCCTTCCTTTCCAAACTCATAAAAATAAAATGTTTGGATAGGTGATTTTTGGCAGTCTAACTGGAAATACATTAATAAAGTGAAACTTTGGATGTCACCGTTATTGAGAATGCCTGTATTTCTGAGACTGAAATCCACAACCTCCTTAACATCCACATTTCTCACTCTCTCACGTCTTATTCAACCGGTGTTTTAAACTTTTATGCCTCCTGTTTTTTGCTTTTCCTATTCCCACTGTCAAACTGCCCACCCACCTCTGATTTCACTTGCCGTCCTGTCCAGGAAACTCACACATTGTCAACTATTTTTAAAATGCCATATCTAGCACCCTTAAAACTGTTCTTCCACTTACGTTTATATATATCTGGCCATAATCAATTCTCTAATCAGAATCATTCTGAACATCTACTTTCTCTATTCCTAGGTGACAGTACATTACCAGAGAAAATTATCAAACCAGTCTGCTAATAGAGTTACTCTAGATTCATGCTCCATTACTCAACAATGCCTTCTCTTCTGTTCGGCAAATTTCTTAATTCCTGTTCACCTCTTACTTTCTTTCTCAGAATAATTACAGTCATGCACCGCGTAACATTTTGGTCAACGATGGACTGCATATACAATGGGGGGTGTCCCATAAGATTAGTGCCATATGGCCTAGGTGTGTGGTAGGCTATACCATGTAGGTTTGTGTGAGTATGCTGTATGACATTCACACGATGACGCAGTCTCCTAAGACACATTTCTCAGAATGTATCTCCATCTTAAAGCAACGCATGACTGTATTTTAAACACTTTTTTGTTTGTCAAACCCTTCATTATAGTCAAAGGATCATCTCTATTCTAACCTCACTAGGAATTCAGTTCAGCTTCTTGAGCTCCTATAAGAAAGACAGTCTGCTAGAACAGTGATTCTTAAGCTTTCTTCTTCCTCCACACATTCACATTTTAACACATTGGTCACATCTCTCATTAATTACATCCTGAGATTCTGATAATTGGAAAGCTAGTTTGAAACAAGCCACCCACCATGCCATCACTATTCTACAGGAATGCAAAGCGAATACCATGATTCGGGCCTTTCCTTCATCAAACAGCTCTGCCTTACATCTTCGTCTCTTTAAAATTTCTAAATTAAGCCACCTTCTTTTGCTCATTTTTGGTTTCAGAAAAGCCTTTTTGTTTTTCCCCTATCTGTACTTCTGCTTCCCACCTTCTCTGCCTGTTCTAGGATCTTCAAAAAATTATCCTGGGGCTGGCCCTGTGGTGCGGCAGTTATGTTCATACTTCACAAGTTCTGCTTCGGTGGCCCTGGGTTTGCCAGTTCGGATCCTGGGTGCAGACAAGCCATGCTGTGACAGGCGTCCCACATAAAATAGAGGAAGATGGGCACAGGTGTCAGCTCAGGGCCAGTCTTCCTCAGCAAAAAGAAGGAGGATTGGTGGCAGATGTTAGCTCAGGGCTAATCTTCCTCAAAAAAAAGTTATCCCTTCTTTTTGTATTTCTACTTATTCCTCTTAATAGAAGTATGTTTGTTATCTATCTTTAAACAAAACAAAACAAAATTTTCCTCAGTTACCATCCTTTGAAATTATAGTCTATCACTTTTGTGCCTTTTGCTACCAAATTTATGGAAAAATATAACCTTTACTCACTTCCTGTAATTCCTAACTGGTTTTTGTTGTTTTTAGCTTACTTCAGAATGTTCTTTTTAAAATAATATTTAATTTCTTTATTATAGAAAATATAAAACAGAAAAATAAACCATATATTTATAACACTGTAGTTAACTTTTGTTTATGTATTTTCAGCCTATTTTGATAGACATACGTATGATTTTTTGTTTGTTTTATAAAAATGGAATCAGATATGTATAGTAAGTTACTTTTTAAAAAAATTTTATATTGTGAGCATGTTCCTCAACCATTTTTTATATTATTCAAAAATAATTTCTTATGGCCCCAAGTTCTGTCATTATTGGATGTTTAAGTTGTTTTTAATTTCTTGCCTTGGGATAGATTCCTAGAAATAGAATTATTAGGTCAAAGCATGACAACTTATTTCAGGCCATACATTTTGCACAGCTACTTTCCATTAAGTACTAATTGCTAATTCTACCAACATTATGTAAGGATACCTATATAAACGTCAGCTTGGTCAGCACAAGATATTAATCACTTTTTCTTAATCTTTATCGCTTGAGAGGCAGATCATAGTATCTGTTTAATTTATAGTTCTTTATTACTGGTGAAGTTAATATATTTTTGTAAGAAATTTTAATCTGTTTTCAAATTCTCTCTTAGTGTTCTTTTTCTATTTTTCTATTTAGGAATTTTTCTTAATAGTTCTCTTACGTGTTGCTGTGTGTTAAGGATTAACTTGTGTACTGATTGAGGAAGTTTACCCAGTTAATTGTTTGGCTTTCAGTTTTCAACAACTTTAGGTTGTTTGGCATGTAGGTTTTTCATTTTTATGTAACTGTATCTCTCAATCTTTTTTATTTGGATTTCTTCACTTGTTTGCTTTGCTTGGAAAGTTTTGTCTTGAAATCAATTAAACATTATGTTTCCTTGTAAATCTTTAATTATTTGGTTGGTATTGTAATTACTTTACATTTAATTATTTGTTCCTTCTGAAATGTATTTTGATTTATGGAATGAGAAATGAAACTAGCTTGAATGTTGGAGAATAGTCTATTTCTGTGATTTGTTGAATAATCCGTACCTTGCCCATTGATTTGATGTTTCTTTTATCAAATACTCAGCCATTTCAAAACTTTATATTCATTTCTATTGATTTGTCTATCAATTTTGTGCAGATGTTAATCTTTAATTTGTTACAGCCTTATAATTTAACGTCTGATAAGCCCATCTTCTTCCTCACCCCACCCACATACATTTTTCTTATTTTCTTAGATATTCTCACCTGTTTATTCTTCTGGATTCATGTTAGAATACTGGATACATGTTAGAATTATGCTGTTGTTTTCCAGAAAAAAATACCATCGATACTTGGGTTTGATTTGCAATGAAAACTTTCATATGGAAAGAATAAGCACATTTGTTATCATTATTCTTCCTATTTACATCCTCATCTTTTCTGATTTTAAGGGAAATGACTCTTCTGTTTCATCCTTGAGTAAGATAATCAGTTGTTGGTTTGAAATAGGTAATTTTCGTCATGTGAGAAAGTAGCCTGTTATTATAATGTTATATTATGTATATTATATATATATAATGTTATATTATAAATTGTAATGTATAATTATATCATATATTATAATGAGTTATTATAATGAAAGGGTGTTAAATGTTATCAGAATCATTTTTAGCATCTATTCAGATTTTCATATAGTTTTACTTTCTTAACTAATTGATGTATATTGTATTTTAACATCACTAGATTGCTAATATTAAATAATTCCTTCATTCTTGGGATAAACCCTACTGGGTCTTTTGACTTCCTATTATGTTTTTCATAATTGAATTAGAATTCATTTTTGAATTAGGGTACAGTCTATTAGCATATTCTGTAGATAATTTTCTGTCTGTTCTTATTATGTTTTTAGAATTAAGGTTATAGACAGCTTTATAAAATGAATATTATTTCTAAGTCTTTCAATTTGTTTCATCATTATTAGTCTTTGTGGGTTTTCTTTTAGCTCTTGGGTCAATTTCAGTGTTTTTTGCTTTTTTACAAAACTCCAATTTATTGAGATTTTCAAAACAATACTAGTAGAGATTAATACATAATGTCATAATTCTCTGTTACATTCCTTTTCTCATTTTAGTTTTGTAGGGCTTTTTTTTCTTTTGATTTTTTAAATTAATTAATTTATGTATTCCCATATCACCTCTTCAAAGTTTTTTTTCCCTCCAACTTTGAGATGTAATTGACATGTAACGTTGGGTAAGTTTAAAAGATTTAAATGTAATGATTTATCTATGTATATATCACAAAATGGTTACCACAATAAGGTTAGTTAACACATCCATCACCTTCCATGGTTATGATTTTTGTGTGTGTGGTGAGAAATTTAAAAATCTACTCTCTTAGCAACTTTCAAATAAACAGTATATTATCGTCAACTATAGTAACCATGCTGTCATTACATCCCGGAACTTATTCATCTTATAACTTGGAGTTTGTACACTTTGACCATCATCGTCCATTTTGCCTGTCCCCCCACCCTCGTCCCTGGCCATCACCAGCCAATCTGTTCTTGGTTTCTATGAGTTCATTTTTTTTAGATTCCACATATAAGTGAGAACATACAGTAATTGTGTTTCTCTGTCTGACTTATTTTATGTAGCATAATGCCCTCAAGGTTCATCCAAGTCATTGCAAATGTCAGGATTTCCTTCTTTCTTGTGGCTGAATTCCATTGGGTGTGCATA